ATGCCGAAATGTTTACACTGTTTGGTATCTGTGTCAAAGTTGTCAAAGGTCAAAGGGAGACTACTCTTAAAACCTCAGAGGCCAAACCTTGTTGATAATTTTCGTGCCGGTGAGGCGCCAATATGGACCATGTGATATTTATCATCCAAAAACTGGCTCCAGCAGGAGATATCGCTTGGTTGAGATCAAAATTGCATCACAATACTTTGCAGACCATTGTGACGTCATTGGTTACCATGACGTCACAATCAAATCACATCACCAAAGGCTCTACTAATGAAGCTGCTAGCAATACTTTTTACACGTAAGACACTTCTAATTACTGTCTACAAACTGTAAGAATGATGTTGGATGATAAATATAATCTCACCCGAGTGTCTTTTGATATCAGATATATCAACAACTTTTATCAACTCGTGTTATATTTGATATCCAAAGACACTTGGTTGAGATTCTCTATATGATTACAGGCCATATGTTTTGGGATCCTCTCCCAGGTGGTGATGCAGAACAGTCCATAAACCTTGTAAGCAGCATGCACCACCTTGTAGCACATCATTGTAGCACCATGCACCACCTTGTAGCACCATGCACCACCTTGTAGCACCATACACCACCTTGTAGCAAAACCTTGTAGCCATGCACAAACCTTGTAGCAAATCCTTGTAGCATCATGCACCACCTTGTAGCACTACCCTGTAGCACCATGCACCACCTTGTAGCATCCCCCTGTAGCATCATGTACCGCCTTGTAGTACTACCCTGTAGCACCATACACCGCCTTGTAGCATCCCCCTGTAGCATCATGCACCACCTTGTAGCACTTCCCTGTAGCACCATACACCACCTTGTAGCATCACCCTGTAGCATCATGCACCACCTTGTAGCATCCCCCTGTAGCATCATGCAACGCCTTGTAGCACAACCCTATAGCATCATGCACCACCTTGTAGCACTTCCCTGTAGCACCATGCACCAGCTTGTAGCACTACCCTGTAGAATCATGCACCGCCTTGTAGCACTTCCCTGTAGCACCATGCACCGCCTTGTAGCACTACCCTGTAGCACCATGCACCACCTTGTAGCATCCCCCTGTAGGACCATGCACCACCTTGTAGCACCATACTCCACCTTGTAGCAAAACCTTGTAGCCATGCACAAACCTTGTAGCAAATCCTTGTAGCACCATGCACCACAAACCAGTGATTAATATCATGAGCAGCACTCCATGTATCACTCTGCAACTTTTTGCCACTAGTAAACAGCCAGTGCCTTGCAACATTGCTGAGGAGCTGAGCTGTTAATAGTCCCGCCATTATGTTACAGTTTGCCTGAAACTGAAGCCAAACGATATAACGTCCACAAACAGTCTGTAAAAGGCGACTATGCTTTTCGTAAGAGGCGACTTACGGGATCGGGTGGTCAGGCTCTCTGACTCGGTTGACATCCTTGAAGCACCATGAACCGCCTTGTAGCACTTCCCTGTAGGACCATACACCACCTTGTAGCATCACCCTGTAGCATCATGCGACACCTTGTAGCACTACCCTGTAGCATCATGCACCAACTTGTAGCACTACCCTGTAGCATCATACACCACCTTGTAGCATCCCCCTGTAGAATCATGCACCACCTTGTAGCACTACCGTGTAGCATCATGCACCACCTTGTAGCATCCCCCTGTAGCATCATGCACCACCTTGTAGCATCACCCTGTAGCATCATGCACCACCTTGTAGCACTGCCCTGTAGCATCATGCACCGCCTTGTAGCACTACCCTCTACCATCATGCACCACCTTGTAGCATCCCCCTGTAGCATCATGCACCGCCTTGTAGCATCCCCCTGTAGCATCATGCACCGCCTTGTAGCACTTCCCTGTAGCATCATGCACCACCTTGTAGCACTTCCCTGTAGCACCATGCACCGCCTTGTAGCACTACCCTGTAGGACCATACACCACCTTGTAGCACTTCCCTGTAGGACCATACACCACCTTGTAGCAACCCCCTGTAGCATCATGCACCACCTTGTAGCACTTCCCTGTAGGACCATACACCACCTTGTAGCACCACCCTGTAGCATCATGCACCACCTTGTAGCATCACCCTGTAGCATCATGCACCACCTTCTAGCATCCCCCTGTAGGACCATACACCACCTTGTAGCATCCCCCTGTAGGACCATACACCACCTTGTAGCACTACCCTGTAGGACCATACACCACCTTGTAGCACTTCCTTGTAGCATCATGCACCACCTTGTAGCATCCCCCTGTAGCATCATGCACCACCTTGTAGCACTACCCTGTAGGACCATACACCACCTTGTAGCACTACCCTGTAGGACCATGCACCACCTTGTAGCATCCCCATGTAGGACCATGCACCACCTTGTAGCACCATGCACCACCTTGTAGCACTACCCTGTAGCATCATGCACCACCTTGTAGCATCACCCTGTAGCATCATGCACCACCTTGTAGCACTACCCTGTAGCATCATGCACCACCTTGTAGCACTTCCCTGTAGCATCATGCACCACCTTGTAGCATCCCCCTGTAGCATCATTCACAACCTTGTAGCATCCCCCTGTAGCATCATGCACCACCTTGTAGCACTTCCCTGTAGCATCATGCACCACCTTGTAGCATCCCCCTGTAGCATCATTCACAACCTTGTAGCATCCCCCTGTAGCATCATGCACCACCTTGTAGCACTTCCCTGTAGGATCATGCATAGCCTTGTAGCATCCCCCTGTAGCACTATACACCACCTTGTAGCACCACCCTGTGGCATCATGCACCGCCTTGTAGCACTACCCTGTAGCACCATGCACCACCTTGTAGCACTACCCTGTAGCACCATGCACCGCCTTGTAGCACTACCCTGTAGCACCATGCACCACCTTGTAACACTTCCCTGTTGCATCATTCAGTACCTTGTAGAACTACCCTGTAGGACCATGCACCACCCTGTAGGACCATGCACCACCTTGTAGCACCATGCACCAACTTGTAGCACATCCTTGTAGCACCATACATCACCTTGTAGCACAATGTACATCCTTGTAGCACCATGCACCACCTTGTAGCACATCCATGTGGCACCATGCACCACCTTGTAGCACTATGCACCACCTTGTAGCACCATGCACCACCTTGTAGCACATCGTTGTAGCACCAAGCACCACCTTGTAGCACCATGCACCACCTTGTAGCATCACCCTGTAGCATCATGCACCACCTTGTAGCACTACCCTGTAGGACCATACACCACCTTGTAGCACTACCCTGTAGCATCATGCACCACCTTGTAGCACTTCCCTGTAGCATCATGCACCACCTTGTAGCATCCCCCTGTAGCATCATTCACCACCTTGTAGCATCCCCCTGTAGCATCATGCACCACCTTGTAGCACTTCCCTGTAGGATCATGCATAGCCTTGTAGCATCCCCCTGTAGCTCCATACACCATCTTGTAGCATCACCCTGTAGCATCATGCACCGCCATGTAGCACTTCCCTGTAGGATCATGCACCGCCTTGTAGCATCCCCCTGTAGCACCATACACCACCTTGTAGCACCACCCTGGAGCACATTCACCACCTTGTAGCAGCACACTGTACCACATGTACTGCCTTGTAGCACCACGCACCACCTTGTAGCACCAGGTATCAGGTGCAGGTGCTTTCAACAATAATTCAGGAAGAGAAGCTGAAGCAGAAAGTTGCCAGCAGGTTCTTCGTGATATAAACAAAATCGGCTATGGTCCACTTCGCAAAACAGTGGGTCAATTGTTGTGAACTAGCCAGTCAGCATGAAGAAAAACTTGTAATGCCAAGTGAGAATTATACTGAAAATAGTTTTATCTATATCTCAGCCACAATGGTAATATAACCTACATATGTAACAGTGTTTCAACCACAATTTCTTGCATGTCTTCTCTTTGAGAATCAAAATTTAATTTTCGGTTAATTTGATTACTTAACCCAGTGATACATCAAAGAATACATGATATTCATCTTACAAGAATATGTCGATGGTCAGAGGTGAGGTCAGGTGAAATGGGGTTTAACGTCGCGTCTAAGATTATTGCACTTTTATAGCGACGTGCATGCACGTGTATGGCTGCTTGTACTAGTCCGGACTGATGCCGATTTATAGTGCTAGCACACTGAGATACCATGCCGCAGTTTAACATGAATACCCCACTCAGACACAGTGTACTGACTCTGAGCCGACCAGTCCTTGTTTTAGCCCCTTAATGCCGAGCGCCAGACAGGGTAACAACAAGTACCACCTTTTAACGTCTTTTGGTATGACGAGGCTGGGGATCGAACCCCGGACCTTCCGCTCTCCGGGCGGACGCTCTACCATTAGACCACGGAGGCGGTCGTCGATGGTCAGAGCTGTTAAGTGGATGCAATATCTTTCTACCAGGTCAGTTTCGTTGACGTAGCAGTATTTTAGCTCTCATGTCTCCCATCAGAGAATGTGTCAACAGAGTGTTGACGATGATAACCTATAGCTCATATATTTCTTAATATTCAAAGGCTTATAAAATGGTAATAAAATTATTTGTGCTCTTCTCAATATTACTTTACGCTGCTGACTTTACAAATCATGGTTCAGACAAACCAGTGATTAATATCATGAGCAGCAATCCAAGTATCACTCTGCAACTTTTCCCCACTAGTAAACAGCCAGTGCCTTGCAAGAATGCTGATGGGCTGCACTGTTGATAGTCCTGACATTGTGTTCCAGTTTGCCTGAAACTGAAGCCAAAAAACAGTCCGTAAAAGGCGACTATGTTTGTCGTAAGAGGCGACTGACAGGCTCGCTGACTTGGTTGATTGCATAGATTGATGCTCTTGATGTCAATCACTGGATTGTCTGGTCCAGACTCGATTATTTACAGACCGGCGTCATATAGCTGGAATATTCCTGAGTTCGGCATGAAACAACAAACAAACAACCATCAGAACAACAAACAACATTGGCGAGTTATACTACTTTATTATATCATGCTTCATTGTTGTCACCATCCAGAAGCTAGGATGAAACAATGAAGGTAATAGCAGTTTGTAATACTGGTTGTCACAGCACTGAAGTTAGGTTCGTTATCAGTGGACTTCACATCTACAGCTGGAAAACTTGTATATAATGCTCTGTACCCCAGCCCAAGGAACAGCATGAACAAAACATAAGTATACTGACAGGTAATATTGATAATACTAGGATAATATTCACAATTATGTTTGGAAATGAACATGTATATGTTTGATGTAGTAGTTGACAGAATGGTGTAAAGATTCACAGGTCAAGCCAATACTGCTTCTTCTTCACGAGGCAAGGAAGTTAACTGACTTTAAAAGTCCAGTTTCCACCCTTGCCGAACTAGGCTGGAATTCCTGGGCTCGATCATAGCGCCACCAGTGGCTATAACGAGTTATGTCCCTTCTAAGCCTCTCCTGTGGACCAATCAGATTCCACCTCTCTTATCACTTGCATTTGCTTCAAACAAAATGGCGGCACCCAGTCAAGATGATCTGATAGATAATCAAGATCTATATTGTTATAAAACGGATATTTCATCGCGAAGTGCATCAAATCACATGAGCACCTTGATTAAAATCATGAAAAGATTTGGTAAATATCTGTTGACAACGAGTTGGCGGTGTACATGCTTTGCAAATCCTGCAATCGACCGAAATCTACATGACAGTTTATGAAGCGGATTTCGTTGCAAGATTTTGATTGGACCATGCATAGACTTATTAGTCCATAATGCCAGCCTAGTTCGGCGAGGGTGGAAGCTGGACTCTAATACTCAGTTAACTCCCTTGCCTCAGGAAGATGGTACTGCTCTTGTTTTGGTGGAAACTTTCATACATGACTGGTACTAGAATAAAGCTTCAAAATGTCATGTTTGTCATCATCAAAACACTTCATGGTTAATATTGTTGAAAACATTTGGTGAGAACTTTTTATAACTAAAGGATGTCATGTTGTAAACATTCATATCTCATTAAGAATCTTACATGTAAATGTTATTTTAAAGCATGATTTCATGATTGTATATTTGGTTTGGTAAGTTAAGAAAAGCAAATTCATCCATCAAAATGTGACAATGTGTAAAATTAAAGATGCATGATTTCAAATACTGGTATTGACATTTGACACTTGTATATAATCATTATAAGAATCAATCAGACATAATTTAGTAAATGACTTCATGGTATTTGATAGAGTTACATCCACCAATATTCCTAATTAACACATACATTATATATCTTACAATAGTAAATCTATCACAAGCTTTTTCAAAACTGCCAACATGAAATACATCTCATGATTGCTCCATCAATCATGTGCCTTCAACACTGATTACATTTTGACATACACTTACCTAAAAAAACTTCCCATGACATTTAACAACCTGCAGCAAAACAAAACACATACTTTCTCTTCATCAAATCCCCTGCCAAAACAAAAAATGGCCCTGAAAGTCCCTCCTCCCAATATGTCTCCGCCTATGCCACTCTAATGATTGCAGAGCTCTTGTATCGGTGAGCCGCCTGAGGCTGAGCGATCTTCTTCATCTTGGGCGTGTGAGCCTCCATGTCCCGGATGTTGGCCTCCCGCTCCTGCTCCTGGTTGCGATGCAGGATCTGGTTGATGCAGTACTCGGACTCCTGGCCACACTCGGTCAGTCTCAGGTCCATCTGGGTGATGGTGGTGTTCTCCTCCATCCCCTCCTGCAGCTGCTTGCCTCCGTCCTGCAAACATACACACCATTAGCAGGGCAACAACCATGTCAAACATACACACCATTAGCAGGATGCCAGTCATGTCAAACATACACACCATTAACAGGGCGCCAACCATGTCAAACATACACACCATTAGCAGGATGCCAGTCATGTCAAACATACACACCATTAACAGGGCGCCAACCATGTCAAACATACACACCATTAGCAGGGCAACAACCATGTCAAACATACACACCATTAGCAGGGCAACAACCATGCCAAACATACACACCATTAGCAGGGCAACAACCATGCCAAACATACACACCATTAGCAGGGCAACAACCATGTCAAACATACCCACCATTAGCAGGCCTTAACAATGTCAAATATACACACCATTAGCAGGGCGCCAACCATGTCAAACATACCCACCATTAGCAGGGTGACAACCATGGCAAACATACACACCATCAGGAGGGCGTCAACCATGCCAAACATACCCACCATTAGCAGGGTGCCAACCATGGCAAACATACACACCATCAGGAGGGCGTCAACCATGTCAAACATACACACCATTAGTAGGGTGCCAACCTTGTCAAACATACACAACATTAGCAGGGCGCCAACCATGTCAAACATACACACAGTGTGCCAACCATGTCAAACATACACACCATCAGCAGGGCGCCAACCATGTCAAACATACATGCTATCAGCAGGGCGCCAACCATGTCAAACATACACACCATCAGTCGGGCGCCAACCATGTCTAACATACACACAGGGCGCCAACCATGTCAAACATACACACCATTAGCAGGGTGTCAACCCTGTCAAACATACACACAAATTAGAAGGGAGCCAACCATGTCAAACATTTACACCATTAGGAGGGCGCCAACCATGTCAGACATAAACACAGGGCGCCAACAATGGGAAACATATATTCACACCATTAGCAGGGGGCTAACCCTGTCAAACACACACACCATAAGCAAGGTGCGATATCTCCTGTGGGATCCAGTTTTGGATGATAAATATCACATGGTCAATGTTGGCAACTCACCGGCCCCAGTCTGTTGCAGGACAGGTCTATGGACTTGACGGTGTTGTTCTGCATCACCACCTGGGAGAGGATCGCCGCTGTTGGTTCCGCCATGTCGTTACTGCCGACGTTCACTTCCCGTAAGGTTGTGTTTTTCAGGAGTGACCGACAGATGGCTTGACCTCCATCGTCTCCCAATCTGAAATAGAATCAGTGCTCAGGTCCGGTCATCCAGGAACTGAATAATACTCTGTATCATATAAAGGCTTGTGCTTTCAATTCAATAAACCAATTTGATAATCATGGCGATGCCTTCTTTCTCAAAGAAACTATTGATTAACGGTTGTAATTTCCATCAGTGTCCGAAATAACTGCCTGCCCACCGGTCTGTGGCAGGTAACTTTTCTGTAGGGCTGCATGAAATTTTATTTCACCTGCCCGACTGTCTGGCAGATACTTTTACAACTACTTACATTTTATTATACTTTCTTGTAGAAGCTCAAGTAATTGTTAGCATTATTTCAACTGAATCAAGACACGATTTGTCTCATATTTTAAAGATTTTTCAATATTTGTAATATCTGAATGCGGGCAGGTAACTTCAAAGATGGGCAGGCAACACTTATAGGTCACCTGCCCGACTGTTTTTTTTGGTTTCATAATTATTTCAAACACTGATTTCCATGTGTCATGTAACATGTTATGAACAAGACTGACATGGAAGACATTTGGCACTACGTGATAAATCAGGCGGTTCACTCAACAATTGTATTAACATACATTTCCTGAAGCTACTTCACTGTAAATTACATCTTAAACATCCATTATTTTAAGAATGACATTACATTATACAAGTATTATTACCCTCATGTGCATCCTTATAGACAAAATCATATATTAGGAATAAATATATGTTATGCTTGCCAAAAGATTTTTCCTGATATATACTGTAATATGATATGATATTTACAGTACAGAAACATTTCATGCTGGTTAAGGCTACAAAAAATAAGTCTTGGTTCTCAGGTACCACCCACATCATCATAAAGTTTGCCGGATGTTTCATTTTAATTTCCATTTTAAAAACAAACAAACAAATCCTTAAATATTCCAAGTACAACGGTTTTCAAATACTGTTTATTTAGTTATGCAACTGTTTATTTCATTACATACCAGTTTGAACAACTACAAAAAAACAAAAAAAACACTGCCCGCCCGTAATATATTTTCAAAAGCCTGCAATATATTTTCAGAAGCCATTGCCTGAGAAAAAAACTTTTTCTTGCAGAGTTATCTTTTGATTGTACAAAGAGTAAACTTATGTCACCAGGAACTTATTGAATCTTTTTAGTTTAATTTAATCATTTACACCCTAGTTCATTGGTCACTAATATACATTTTATTTGGAACTTTTTACAATACTCTTTGACATGTAACTTATTAATGGAGTCATCCAGCATGTAAAGGGAAACTGGTTGCCGGACTTTAAGTTGTATATATAGAGACATAACAGCTTTGTACATTTCACAAACTCATCAACATCCCAGAGTTTCCTCAGGATTTAGTTCCTCCAACAAATAAAACTTTGTCTGTTTATAATCAGATAATCTGAGACATCAAACTAATTTTGCAATTCCCTAAGCTCAAACTGTCCCTCCCTTTCCCAACTCTTTTGTCCATCACAGAAGATATTAGTGGAAAACTTTTCAAACTGAAATAAAGGACACTTCATTATCATTATTCAAAAATAAGACAATCAAAGTTCCTGTAAAGGTGCCACTATTCTTCTTGCTGGGTTTAAAAAAACATTCCATTCTCAATTAATTTCTGAAAAAGTGATGTAAGCTTTATATTTGATACAATTTTGTTTGGCAATGAATAAATTTCAGAAAGTTTGAATGAAGTGTCTTTTGGCACAATCCATTCAAATATGATTGCAAGCCACAGATTCCATGGCCGATTTTAATTAACTACGTTTTCTCCAAATTTAATGATACATTTTTTAAATACATTTTCTATTATATATGTGGTGATTCACTCAAACAAAGTGGATTCATCATGTCTATATTATTATTCCTACAGTGAAGAAAACAGAATCTTGGATCAACCACAATCTAATTCTCAAGCAGCCTACCGGGGAGAATGTCTGGTCCAGTCGTCTTAAGCGCCGCGATCCACTGCGCAGAGTTGCGTCCCTTGGGCACGCCAGAGACCTTTGATTGTGGGTTCAAATCCCGGTTCGCCCGATTATGTTTCTAGGTTTGTCAGCACCATACCCGTGCTCATCGGTTTCACCGAAGTGGTAAACGTCTGAGGCCTGCATCACTTCGGGCTTTACTCCCACATAAGTTGACATGCCACGATATAACTGGAAAACTGTTAAAAGTGGCTTTAAACCCAACTCACTCACTCACTCAAACCGCCTACCTGTTGAGCCTGAGGTTGAGGAACTGCAGCGTTGTGTTTTTAGTGAGAGCATGAGCGATGGCCTGGGCCCCTGCTGCCTTGATCTGGTTGTCACACAAGTTGAGACGAACAAGCTGACTGTGATTATTGAGGAACTTGCCAACTGCGCGCGCTCCTCGGTCACCGATCAAATTATGCGACAAATCCAACTCGATGAGGCTTGGGTGATCAAGAATATGACTGATCAAAACTCGCACTTTGTCTTCATCCACTTTACTCCTGTGCAGTTTGAAAACCTTGAGCGTTTTGCACTTAGCAACACATTCTGCAAGCTGCAGACAGTCCCTGGCTGTGAACTGAAACAGATTCCATTCAAAATTCATGCCACAGTCTTTGACACCGTAGGTCAGATGAAGCTCCTCCAGGTTGGGCAAAGCTTTGAGGACGGGAGTGAAATTGAAATGATCACATTCTGGTTCTTCCCCTATATCACTGCCAGCATCCGAAGCTTCGTCAAAATCAGGACCCTTTGGCGCCTCTCTGACAGGTGGGAGTAACTGATTAATGTCAATCTTCTTAATATAGTTGGCAGATAGAGCCAGAGTTTCAGTCAACTTGGTTGGGTCTGTGGTTTCAGGAACAAAGTGTTCAATAATTTCTTGCAGATGTTTCTCAAAGTACATTCGTTTCCAGCTTTCACCATAAGCAGAGACGTCACAGATTTCCCAGCGTGCTTTGCAGCATCTCTTCCAGTAGTCTTCATCCTGGACAAGATTAGCTGTTACTTTTAATGGGAGGCTTGGTGATATCTTCTCCAGGACCTTGTTCTGGTGTTTTGGTAAGAGGTCAGTCAGAATTTCAGAATTGTCTGATGGAAAGAAAATTCAATTTCATTAGCAACACAAAAACACGAGAAAAAATTAACTTGTTGCATTAGTAACATTGTAAATATTGATACTGATAATGCTATTCTCCATACGTGACCCACCGGGACAAAAGGGGCCTTATGGTTGCTAGGATACAATTGTGCTGTGACGTCATAACGACGTTTGACGTCAACTTACTTCAGTGAAGATCGCGATGTGTGTGGACTGTACAAAATATTTGATTTTTCTCTGGTTAGTTTGTGATGTAATAAAAGCATTATTTAAAAACCTCCTCAGCATACATATCTACTTTCAATTCATAAGACATTATGTCTAAAAACTGTAATTATTGCATAAACAGTTATAAGTCGGAAAATGAGTCCAAATGTTTGATGCCATGTATCTCTGTAATAGATATGAATTGAAGCTTGTGAATTGTATTTTTATGTGCCGAAGATACCGTTGTTTTAAAATATAATGAAAAGTCAAAATGTGACTTTTCACCCATTCACACATAGATAGTCTCACCCTCGGCTCTTTTGATATCAAATATATCAACGAGCGTTGATATATTTGAAATCAAAAGACAAGAGGGTGAGATTTCATTTATCATCCAACATCATTCTTCCAACTTTTTAAGTTTGTAGCCAGTAATAAGCAGTCTTAAGTGTAAAATGTACTGCTAACAGCTTCAGTAGCAGAGTCATTAGTGATGTCATTTGATTGTGATGTCATGGTAACCAATGACGTCACAATGGTCTGCAAAGCATTGTGAAGCAATTTCATTGTAGCATACTACACTGTAGATATCGCTCAATCTCACCCCAAGGATATCTCTTGTGGGAGCCAGTTTTGGATGATAAATCATAATATTCATGAATGTCTTTGAATTCAATTTTCCTTCAAATTAACACTAGGAATATTTCAACTGATACTGTTATAATTATATCCTAAATGTGAATTGTTTAGAAGTAAATAAGTGAGTTGCTTTAACAATTATTATATATCACGGCAACTAATGTGGGAGGAAAACCCAAAGTGAGGCAGGTATCAGATGCTGAAAATCGTGGAACCCACAAACACTGGAATGGTCCTGACAAACCATGAATATTGGATTTGAACCCTCTATCATAGGATCCCTGCATGCCAAAGGGATGCAACTCTGTACAACTTATAATAACTTCTAGTAGCAAGTTTAATTTTGATTGTTAGATTTAATAGATAAATACAATCTGAATATACTGCAACTACAGAACGTTTTAATCAGATCATTCTAACAACACTTTCTTAATGTTTCACTTTCCCTATTTTATCTAGCAAAACCTGATTATGCTTGTCACAAAGAAGTCCCATACAAATGTCTCGAGGTATGACATAGACACCTGAGTGTAGCATTTTCTGTGATTACGGTATGCTTTCAATAATTACTCAATGCTCATGATGTAAATCACTGGATTGTCTGGTCCAGACTCGACTATTTACAGACCGCTGTATTCAACGTAATAAGCGCCCAGGGCGCTCTCAAAATTAGAAATAGGGGGGTCTTATTAGAATATTATTTTGGTGAAAAAAAAGTTGAAAGATAAATTTCGTGTTTATGCTGACAGCCTGAAATGTTTATGTACGACAGATATATTGTTCCAGAATTTAATTGCCCATGATTAAGGGTGCATATATCACACGAGTGCGTATTATACGCGAAAAATTAAGTCTTGTGTACATTGATCAATTGGGAAGGGGTGCCAATTGGGATTGTTCACTAGCCAATATATTAGCAAATATCGCCATGGGCGCTTATTACATCGAATACGGTAGCTGGAATATTGCTGAGTGCGGCGCTAAACAACAAGTAAAACTAACAAAAACTCACTTTCAAAATTTTCAACAATGTGCTTCACAGAAAGCTCTGTTAGAAGTGGCACTGTTGCAAGTGACCATTCTGGATCCTCCGCAATGATTCTTCTCATGTTCCGCCAGTCTGCCGCTGGATTATCTTTGGCTGATCCTGTGGGGGTTTGAACAAATTCTCTCCCCCTCTTACTTCCCTGACTCTTTCCACTCTTGTGGGAACCTGCTGACCCCGCTCTAGAGGTTGGCTTCGAACCCCCCTGGCTCTTGGGCCCACTCTTCGTACTCTTCGCATCCTCATCAGCAGGAGAACTCTGTTTATCTCCCCCCTCACTCTGCTGAGTTTGTTCTGTCAGTGGTGGTTCAGCCATCCTGTAAAGTGTTGTTTGTTGTCATTAATATAATTGAAAACAAGCATGAAATACTCATATCCCGCGCCAATATGACATTGTGTGCAAGGCATAAGCCCTCCGGAAACAAGCACTACCACCATTTTCAGTCTAAGTAAAAGTTGTTGCTATGGAAACTTGAAAAATTATTTTTATTTTAAAATCTCCAATTATCAATAGGCACCAGTTTAACACTAGACCTATCTATGTGCCAAGTTTGGTTAAGATATCAAGACAGAAGACAGAAGACAGAAGGACAGATGGACTGCACCCATTCCTGAATCTCCCTTCAACTTCGCGGAGGTGGATAAAAAGATTTGCAAAGGAAAGTGACATTTTTCATTACCATAGTTACAAGAAAATACAACAAGCTGTTTCAACTTTCCTAGAACAGGGTTAGAAATTGGCACTAGTCCTATAGTCCTTGCCAAACTGCCCAATAGTAAAGGTATCCTAAGGACTAGTAGAATTTGGCATTTTTAAAGGTTTTGCTATATATCTATCTATCTATCTATCTATCTATCTATCTATCTATCTATCTATCTATATATATATATATATATATATATATATATATATATATATATATATATATATCATTATAAGGCTATAAAGTTTGAAAAGGACATAATTAATAAATGATTAGCTTTTCATCCCTCTCTGACTCAGTACCAAAGGCCAGCCTTAGAATTTCATTTTACAAAGTACCAAAGACGAAGAAACTCTGTTTCGTTCTTTCTACATACCTGATGAAATACACCTGATGAAATTAACAATTAAAGTATTGTGACCTCATAGCCTTCCAAAAGATAGATATGGAGGTTGTATACTTTGGACTTATCTGCTTATTATCCAACATCATAATGAGACAGGGTTCTTGTCATCAAAGGTTCAGTGTACTAACTCAGTGGAAAACAGTTAGGCTAGTAGCATTCAGCAACGAGAAAATTTCATGTGGGGTAAAACATGACAAATAATATACCCATTGCCCAAACTAACGAAACAAATTATCTCACAGAGCAATCAGATTTTATTTTTGATTTGACATGGTTGGATCGAAGTATACCGGAAATGATTCTGCTAATAAAAAGCTTTTCTTAAAAGTAAACGACATTTCTAGTTACCAAAGTCAATTAAGATTACTACTTGTTTGTTGACAATGCATGGCACTGATGGGGTTGTACGCCATTATGAAACTTCTGTTTTTGAGTAATTTTGTTTATGTGATTTTCGATGTTGATGAACTGCTTTCAGTTTCAAGGTTTTATCAGGTAAATGTAAATGGGGTCACTTTTTCTGGTTATTTTGAGGTAACACATGCATTAGACCAGACACCTATCCGCTATATTTGTTTGATGCTACCAATACAGCCACACACGACAGCATCACTATTTGAAAAATAGGGCGAAGAAGCTCAAAATAGGCATTATGACCTGCTTGCATTTGTATGGTTTAATATGATTAGACCTTGAAATTCAAAATTAAAACGATGTAAAATTGTTGAAAAGTGGACATCAACGCTGAAAAAGTACTTAAAAATTGAAGATCCTTGGCGTTTGACAACCCTGGGGACATCCGTCAGAGCTACACTCCAGCAAACACATATTTTGTATCTACTTTGGTAATAAAACATTACATTTACTCACGAAAGCATTTAATTAAAGTCATACAGTGAGGGGGGGACCCAAACTCCCTGTTATTTAAGTGAGACAACAAAAATGGTGTCTGAAAAACTTAGAAACCGTTACTATGGGCACATCCTGTGTCAAAATGGCGAAAGGTGTATGAGATATACTGCATTCTTGACATTTTGAGTATTATCCCCTATATATTTGCTTCTTTTTTGTGTTTTTAAAAAAAATATATATAGATGAATATAACCAAGCTATAAACCAAACTTAACATTTCGTACACAAAACTTTCCCTCCAAAGATGGAATTATCTTGAAGGTAAAAAAATTGATGGATCAACAAAAAACAAATGGATCCATCATGTTATGCTAAAACGGGAATGTTTGTTAATAAACTGATAAAACAAATTAGACTATAATGAAACCTGACGTGTTAGCCTATATTCCCCGATACACTTGTTTAGCCTGGATCAGCTAAACAAAATCTATATGCTCTTGAAAGCTATTACATGAATCATTTCAACGATACTACCTTAAGTCTGAATCGAAGTGCCTTCTTTCGTCTCTGTTCAGAAATCAAACAAAAAATCCGTAGACATAACGAGCAGGAACCGACGTTGTGATGGGGAAAGCTTCCTTTGCCAACTTGTTGAAAGAGTTGCTATGGATGCAGGAAGTAGGAAGTGAGGCAGACGCATGCGTGACTCAACGCTTCCGGGGAATTTAAGTATGGCGGCGCCCATGTGAAAACATGGACCAGATTTTAGTCTGTCAAATAGGATGGTTTCGTTCTTATTTAATACATAATTTCGGATACTCACCCGAAGATTAAACAACAGTTATAATTGCGATTACATCTGTTGTACACGTATACTGTGACAGTTGGCAGATTAAATAAGCCATGTTAAAACGACCTAAGCCAGGTGAAAGTGAAGATGATTTGCTTAAGTTTCAGCAGGAATTTCTTGCTCGTAATGAATCAGATCCATCAGCCAGCGTAAAGAGGGCAGACAAGAGAAAACCAAGCGGCGATGAGAAGATAGATGTCGTCAAACTTGATGGTGCTTATACAAAAATAAATAACTGGTTTTAACTTTCAGGCCTGCAACTCGAGCTGTCATTTATTTTTCGTCGATAATCAGTCTAGCTTTACAATTATTAGGAATCTAATAAGATTAAACATATTTAAAATGTTTGTTAATTAATGTACATACCTGTCAGGTAGGGCAGGGACGAGCCCAAATTTACTACCCGGGTACCCGCTGTAAGTCTCAAAAGATAAGTACAAACTGTCCGATTGGGAAAAGTTTGCCCTTGCAAAATGTATTTAGAAACACATATAAAACGATCATGCATACACTGAAGTTTACTGCATGAAGTTTTATCTTTATTCAAATGTATCAGAAGGAATGGGAACATTGGTGACTTGTAGTGTAAACATGGAGTTTTAGATAATTTTTGTCATTAACAATATATCACGTGACTAACCACAGGTCCGGGTAGTCCCGTGGGTATCCGGGTCCTACTCAGTACCCACCCAACCTGAGTTACCCGTCCAAGTCCTACTGTCTGGTCAAGGTTCTTGTCATTCATCGGGAGTAGTGCACTTTACCAGGTTTTCGGATTTCAATTAGCGCAGGGTGGAGCATCGAACTCACGTTGCCAGCTTGAAGCTAAGTAGGCTGATGTGTTAATCTAATGAGACAATGCCCTACCACAGGACCAGGGGTGCTATCACAAAAAAATAGTGCTCGTTTACCAAACCATCAGTAGTAGCCATTTTCTCTGTGAAGCTTGATAAAAATTGTATGGCATTTCTTCAAATTAGATTGGATTAATTCATTAAAAGAGATAGCTAACACATACCTTACCTGCCTCATAACTTACCCAAGGATCGTAAAGGGGTGTTCAATTGGTAAGTAGCGCCTAGTCCTAAGGATCGTGAAGGGATGTTTGATTGGAAGGGGGACCTAACCCTGATGATTGAAAAGGGGTGGGAAAGGGGATCAAAGGCTAAGGAGAGAGTTTGGGGTAACTTTCCCTCAGGATCAAACTGCATCTTTACCTCATTCATGTTATACATGGTTGCTGTCAACTTTGCATGTCTACCACTTGTTTAAGGTGGGTGAGACTGAGAGCCAGTTGAGCATGTCATGACATTGGCTGCCTATATGGACAACTCTGTAGGAATGTTCAGCTGCATTTCAGTAGACAATAATTCACAGTTGTCTTTGCGGAAAAAAAATATGTATTGTAAATAGTGATTCAAATGCATGTTCTAAACCAGGGTTGTTCAAATACCAAAATTTCCTACTTGCCCAGTCTGATTTTCAACTTGCCCTTCTGATTCAAAGAAGCAAAGAAAACCTTCATTTTAACAACAAAACTATATGATTTATCAACTGCAGCAACAGCTGATGGAAGATGTGCAGAATAGAAAAATGACTAGTTATTTGTAGTTCATCCGAAGTTGACAAAATCATGATGCATCTTCTAAGTTTCAAAGACAATACCGCCGGCTTTCATACTTGCCTGAGAAAAACTAAATTAAGTTTTCCCTCTTGCCTGGCACTTTATTTTCATAGGTCAGCAAGTCGAGCATGTTTTGAACACCCGTCTAAACACTCTTTTCGGGGCGGTCGGGTAGCCTGGTGGTTAAAGCGTTCGCTCGTCACTCCAAAGACCCGGGTTCGATTCCTGACATGGGTACAATGTGTGAAGCCAATCTCTGGTGTCACCCGGTGTGATATTGCTGGAATATTGCTAAAAGGGGAGTAAAACCACACTCACTCACTAAATACTCTTTTCATTCCTTGAAATGAAACAGGCATTGAACTTGTTCAACAATTTCTTTCACTTTGATTCATCAACCTTGTCAAGCATAATTTTTGTTTTGACAACTTCTATTCTCGAAATCAAGCACTTGGCATTCAACAGCTCTAAATTCTTAATAGCTTCTAGTTAAAGGGTTAATATTGTGCCATCAGTGAATAGACAGACGTTTGAAAACACTGTTAGGATAACACAATCATACATATTTCGGTCCATGAATGACAAAATCATGATAAGAGTATAATATGTATTACATGTGTGATGAAAATATTTGTTGAATTATTCATAGTTTGGCTTAGGTAAAGAACAGATTCAAAATCAGTTTCATCATTTATGTCTTGTGTAATGATATTCTGTTCCCTATGTTTTAGAACTACCTCAAACTTTGCCACCTGGACCAGCACCAGTAAAAAAATCCAAGTTCAGAAGAGCTCGGGAAGAACAACTTTCCAAAGAAGCTGCTGACAGGGCGAAAACAGACGATGCTGAAGAAAGACTTGAAAGTAAAGACTGTATTCCTGTCTTCCTGTTTAATGCCAAAATAAAGATATAAGGAGAGCTCCAGATAAGCTTTTGATGTGGGTATTTTACCCATGCATTTTAAAATCATTGGGTATCAGTAATTCTATCTGGGTATTCAAATTTCTGTTACCCACTAGTTTTTACACATGTGGGTATTTAAGTTAAATATTTAAACACTATTCATCTAGTCCCTGCAAACTGGTGTCGTGTGGGTTCGAGAGCTTTACAGGACTCAAAAATACCACGATACTTCCACAAGAAAGTGTGATGGCAAATGATCATGATGTAACTGTCATTGTGGAGTTTGGCAAGGTTGACGAAATGCCTGTTTATAATTTCAAAATAAGTTGCTGATTTGCTTATCGAATACGCAGGGTTACTTCACAATATTTTGATGATACGCACAAGTTTTATTTTTGTAGTGTATCTGTAATGTTCGTTGCGTATTTGATACGCTTGGATTTTATTTTACTGCGTCTTTCTGCATTTCTGATGCGTATTTCAAGCAGATACGCAGCTTATCTGGAGCTCTGTATAAGGATATGATAAATAAAGGAATAAGAGTAATGAAACTAAGCATGCAGGATTTTACCATAGTTTGTTAAACTTGTGATGGCGAGGAAGGAATTCTTTAACTTCAACGTGTTTTGTGTCCCGATGAGAGGGTCCAGCCTATGACACAATGGCAGGTCAACTTTAAAATTTTGAATATGACTCTTAAAACGTAAGCAGTGATAATCATGATATATTAACTGTATTTACAGATAGGATCTTTTCAAACCACCGATAACGAAAATAAATACAATGTTGAATATTTAACCTTTTTACCAAGCCGTGCATTTTTGTTTATTAACATGTTGAACAAACATTTGTGTGTCATGTAAAGTCTCTGTGCATGATTTGAATCATGACTGTGTGAGATTTGATTATCAAACATTTACGTTCAGACACAACCCATTCATATACATGTATGAGTGTAACCAAAATTATCAAACTAAGAGATGTCATCATTGTTCATGATACAAACTGTATCGGGATATCAATTTCACTTGTTGTCACTCTTGGCCTTTTGTTTACAGAAGATGACCGACATATGGCTCAGGTTTTGACACAAATTATAGTAAGTACCCTTAATTTGTATTTTTTTTATGGCTATCATTAACAAAATCATTAAAATGTTGAGCAGCAATTTATTCATGTTTGAGCAGTAGTAAGGTTGTGCAGTAACCCTGCTTAGAGTTTATGAAAAGTTCACATGTACTGAATCTTCCGGAGGCAAGGGAGTTAACTCTAAAAGTCCAGTTTCAACCCTTGCCGAACTAGGCTTGAAATTCCAGGCTCAATCGTAGCGCCACCAGTGGCTATTACGAGTTATGTCCCTTCTATGACCTTCCTGTTGACCAATCAGTTTCCACCTCTCATATCACTTGCATTTCCTTCAGAGAGAATGGCAGCGGCCAGTCATGGCGATCTGATCGATAATCAAGATCTATATTGAAATAAAACAGGGCTTACCTCACAAAGTGCAGGAAATCACTTGAGCACCTTGATTGAAAACATGAAAAGATTTGCAAAATATCTGTCGATGCCCAGTTATAGTATACACGCTTTGCAAATGCTGCAGTCGTCTGAAATCTGCACATAGAGGTCCGTGCCTGAAACGAATATCTTGTTCATTGCGCAATTTGCATCAAATCACCTGAACACCTTGATTAAAAACATGAAAAGATTTAGAAAATATCTGTCGACGCACAGTTGGCTGTAAACATGGTTTGCAAATCCTTCAGTCGATCGAAATCTGCAGGTTGAAATCCATGTTGTCTACGAACCGGATGTCTAGCTCGTTACGTGATTTTGATTGGACTATGCAAAGACTCGTTAGTCCAGCCAAAATGTAACACTAGTGAAGTAGCAAATTGTTTGGATGTAGTCATGGTGATGGATAAAAGTTGACGATTTCAGGGATTTACCCAGAATTCTAAACTAAGTGCTCTTGGCAGGCAAATTGGGTCAAAGTCTTTGTTTTATTAAAAAAAAATGATTTGTTTAGAGTTGTTATTGTGCCTGAATTCTGAGGCATTTTAGCAATGTATTCAGTGCCGCACCCTCTTTACTGGTCCTGTTATCTGTGAAATACAGGTCTCCTCTTTGAAGCCATGAGATTTGTTATAACTATATCCATTTGAATTGGGAAATTTCTTACTTCATGTTTGAAGGTTCTGTTCTGTTCCATAGGAAAGGGACACGCGAAATGCAGCTGTGTTTTTACCCAGACAGACAAGCCAGGCGTTTCCATCAGCTCTCCACCGAGGCAACACACCGCAGGTTGACAATCTCGCATCACATTGCTTGTGCTATCGTTGCTGTACAATAGGGGAATGGTTAGCCAGTGGTGTCTCCTCTCTTGTGCACCACACTGTGCAGAGTTGCATCACTGACTGCAGCCGACCCGTGAAGATCCGGGGTAGAATAGGTCTTTAACAACCCATGCTTGCCGTAAAAGGCGACTATGCTTTTCGTAAGAGGCAACTAACGGGATCGGTTGGCCAGACTCGCTGACTTGGTTGATGCATGTCATCGATCCCAATTGCGTGGATCGGTGCTCATGATATCAATCACTGGATTGTCTGACTCGATTATTTACAGACCGCCGTCATATAGCTGGAATATTGTTGAGCGAGGCGTAAAACAACCAACCAACCAACTGCGGCCAGGATCTGCTGAATATAGGTGTGATTTCCCAATGTGGCACAACTATTGTCCTTGGTCTGTCGGCCCCATACCTATGCGACCGCCTCCGTGGTCTAGTGGTAGAGCGTCACCCAGAGAGTGGAAGGTCCGGGGTTTGATCTCCGGCCCTGCATACCAAAAGACGTTAAAACATGGTACTTGTTGTTACCCTGTCTGCTTCTCGGGATAAGGGGCTAAAACAAGGACTGGTCGGCTCGGAGTCAGTATACTGTGCCTGAGTAGGGTATTCATGTTAAACTGTGGCAAGGTATCTCAGTGGGCTAGCAGTATAAATGGGCATCAGTCTGGGCTAGTACAAGCAGCTACACAAACACACACATTTGCGATGTTAAACCCAATTTTACCTCACCTCACCCATACCCACTCTGGGTTTCATCTATGTTGTCTACATCTGGGACCTGCATCAGGCAACTGAGGCGACTGATGGGGTCGGGGTGGTCAGGCTCGCTGACTTGGTTGATACATGTCATTGTATCCCAATTGCATGGATGAATGTTCATGATATCAGTCACTGGATTGTCTGGTCCAGACTTGATCATTTACAGCCAGCCATCAGCTGGAATATTGCTGAGTGTAAACAACAAACAAACAAACAAGCACCTGCATCACTTTAGGCTGATGTCAAATTGACATGATATGCGCCTGAGACTGTTCAATGCAGCTGTTTAATTTCACTTTTGGCAATATATGTATTAACATGATTACCGTATTCGACTTAATAAGCACCCCGCTCTAATAAGAGCCCACGGCGATATTTGATAATATATTGGCTAGTAAACAATACCAATTAACACCCCTTCCGATTGATCAATGTACACAAGACCTATTTATTCGTGTATAATACGTGTGTATTATGCATCCTTTATTATGGGAAATTAAATTCTGGAAAAATATATCTGTCGTATATAAACATTTCAGGTTGTCAGCATAAACCACGAAATTTACCATCTTTCAACTGTATTGTTTTTCATCAAGTAATATTCTTATAAGAGCCCCCTATTTCTAATTTTGAGAGCGCCCTGGGCGCTTATTATGTCGAATACGGTTATTGTTTTAAACATGAGGCAGCCCTATGTGATATTTACATACTGCTGGATTTTGGTCTGATTTTACTTCTTGATAAATGTATTTGGGATGGGTTATGGGTTTTGTGTGACAATTTTCATTTCAGATTTTGAAAGAAATTTTGTGATGCTAATGTATATATTAACATGATAAGCATGTCAATGTTGGAAACACACCATATCTCCAATCTCATTAAAATCAGACCTTAGTTCTCGCTACCGCTAAACAAAGATCTGAAGACATCCCATTAGGAGTCACGTCAGAACGACCTTTCATCCAATTAAAGCGTCGCTTACCAGATCATGAAAGTGACAGTCGAAATGGAATTTCTAATCATGCAACCTCGGAAACTTTTACATTGGGTATTCCGAATGATAGTTATGGGTTTAACACTGAATCCATACAATCTAGACTATCTATTATCCATTCCAGAATGTTCTTTTGTTCAGGTTTCAAATTTGTAATCGAGAATTTGTCAAACTATGTTTCGAAGCAAAGTCGCCAATTTGAAATTAGGGCCGTAAAGTACGAGAAAGCTGCCTTCTGATTGGTCATTCCATTGTTCGGTCAAAGTTTGCGCAAGGTCTGTCTGACATGATCCGTAACGGGATGTCCTCAGATCTTTGTTTAGTGGTAGCTAGGACTAAGATCTGATTTTAATAAGATTGACCATAGCTCTAGTTCAGTCCAAGATTTTCTTCTATTTATAAATTTTCTGACTCACAACCATGTATGCTTCAGTCCGCTGCCTCAGTTGCAGCATCGTCCGGTAAGAAGAAGAGCTTGTTTGCGCAGCACCTAGCTACGTCGGGGGTGAAGGACTTTGGTGTGGTGCTTCAGCAGGAGCTTCAGAAGACGGGGGAGATGCCACACAACCCCAACACCGACGTGGAGGAAAGGGGAGGTAACTACATATTCCAACTATATTTGTTACTTTTTGGCACAATAGTAGATGGTGAGCAATCTCATTAAGATCATATCGTAGTTCGCGCTGCCACTCAACAAAGATCTGAGGACATCCCATTAGGGGTCACATCAGAACGACCTTTCATCCAACCAATCAGTGCATCACTTACCAGATCATGAAAGTGACAGTCGGAATGTGATTTCTGATCATGCAACCTCGAAAACGTTTTACACAGGGTTATTCCGAACGATAGTTACGGGCTTAACGACTGAATCCATACAATCTAGGCAATCTATAAGCCATTCCAGAATGCTCTTTTGTTCAGGTTTCAAATTTTTAATCGAGAATTTGTCAAACTATGTTTCGAAGCGTAGTTGCCAATTTGAAATTAGTGCTGTAAAGCACGATTAAACTGCCTTCTGATTGGCTTATGTCGACTTCTTGTCAGTCATTCCATTGATCAATCAAAGTACGCGCAAGGTCATTCAGACGTGACCCATAATGGGATGTCCTCAGATCTTTGTTTAGCGGTAGCGAGAACTACGTTCTGATTTTAATGAGATTGGATGGTGAGTGAGTGAATGTTTTTGAATACTGCAGTCAGCAATATTCCAGATGTATCATGGCACCCTCTGAACAATCAAGTCTAGTCCAGGCAACCGGTAATGTTATAATGTACCCAGTACTCCTTCCTGATTCTCTTTATCTGGACATCTTCCAATTAGGCACGGCTTGGAGTAGTGAACAGATTATTAACACCTAGGACTGACCAGGAAACTTGGTATCAGTGTCCAGATTGTTTCACAGTTACTTAATTCTATTCTTCTTACAGTGAGTGATTTAAATTTAACGTCGAATCAGCATTATTCAGCCGTATAGTGCTGATATAAGCAGAATAAGGGAGATTTGGCAGGAATGTACACGCTACAGGCTTTTATGTATCAAGCTGGAGAGGACAAAATCTGTAATATAGAAATGTTTTCATGTCTATGTATCGTGTCACATATATAATGTATTTATATGCTAAATTTTGATGATCACAACAAAGTCTTTATTTGTCTTAAACCAGCCATCATTTCAACATACAGTTTCCCACCAACAGTTTCAGATAATTCTGTCTCAAGCACTACGAGGCTGACTTAGACTTGTCTTGATCGCTCCTACATCTCAGGCAGGAAGGTTCCTCCCACATTCAGTAGACATGCTGTGATATGTCGGATATATCCTGGAATAGAACTGTGATATATCCTGTGATGGAACTGTGGTATATCCTGGGATAGAACTGTGATATATCCTGTGATATATCCTGTGATAGAACTGTGATATTTCCTATGATAGAACTGATATATCCTGTGATAGAACTGTGATATATCCTGTGATAGAACTGTGATATATCCTGTGATAGAACTGATATATCCTGTGATAGAACTGTGATATTTCCTGGGATAGAACTGTGATATATCCTGTGATAGAACTGTGATATATCCTGTGATAGAACTGTGATATATCCTGTGATAGAACTGTATATATCTTGGGATAGAACTGTGTTATATCCTGGCATAGAACTGTGATATATCCTGGAATAGAACTGTGATATATCCTGTGATGGAACTGTGGTATATCCTGGAATAGAACTGTGATATATCCTGTGATATATCCTGTGATGGAACTGTGGTATATCCTGGGATAGAACTGTGATATATCCTGTGATATATCCTGTGATAGAACTGTGATATTTCCTATGATAGAACTGATATATCCTGTGATAGAACTGTGATATATCCTGTGATAGAACTGTGATATATCCTGTGATAGAACTGATATATCCTGTGATAGAACTGTGATATTTCCTGGGATAGAACTGTGATATTTCCTGGGATAGAACTGTGATATATCCTGTGATAGAACTGTGATATATCCTGTGATAGAACTGTGATATATCCTGTGATAGAACTGTATATATCTTGGGATAGAACTGTGTTATATCCTGGCATAGAACTGTGATACATTCTGTGATACAACTGAAGTACGTCTACAGTGTTGTAAACTCCATCTTGCAGACGGTGATTCAACATCCAGGATCGTGCAGGGCTCTGGTCTGAGTGCTACACTAGGAACAAGTGAAGCAAGAAAGATCCACGAGGAGAACTTGGATAAAATCTCTACAATGACACAGGAGGAGATTGATGAGGAGAGGAAGAAGCTGATGGAGATGATGGGTTAGTTACCTCCCTTGGCTGCCAGGATCCTATGTAATGATTAAGATGATGTGTGGGTTGTCTCCCTAGGCTGCCAGGATCCTATGTAATGATTAAGATGATGTGTGAGTTATCTCCCTTGGCTGCCAGGATCCTATGTAATGATTAAGATGATGTGTGGGTTGTCTCCCTAGGCTGCCAGGATCCTTAGTCATGATTAAGGTGATTAGTGAGTTACCTCCCTTGGCTTCCAGGATCACCAGGTCATGGGTTAAAGAAATATGTACATCCTGATAATAATGTTTGCTCTGTCAGCACAACATTTTAGAACTTATCCCATCTCTTGTGCATGCATGTCGCTGTACAAGTGCAATAATCATGGACCCTATTTCACCTCACCTCACCTCGAATCCTTGTGGAAATAATCCTAAAACAAGTTTCCAGCTTCAAAAACACCTCACCCAAACACATCCCAGCCATAACAATGGCTACCATCACTAACACTGGACTGTGCCCTGAATGATTCCCACGCAACTTCATGTGATGTCCCAAGCTTACTCTTTCTCTTTCTCATCACCATTGTGTGGAGATGTTTTTCGAACTGAAGAGAATATGCTTTTGGTTCCTTTCTACATTCTCCCTTGGGCACGCCAGACACCTATGATTGTGGGTTCGAATCTCGATTCCCCACGATTATGTTTCTAGGTTTGTCAGCACCATACCCGTGCTTGTTGGTTTCACCAAAGTGGTAAACGTCTTAGACCTGCATCACTTCGGGCTTTCCTCCCACATTAAGCTGACACACCGCGATATAACTGGAATACTGTTAAAAGCGGCGTTAAACCCAACTCACTCACTCCTTTCTACATTCCTGAAAACACAAAGTTTGTGATCCATGCCCATAATCCCCATCTAAAGTGTTGCAATTACCGTGGCTGCGGCACAGACACCAAAAGATGTAGCCAATGCAAAAAAACTGTCTACTGCTGATTTCACACTCTTATAAATGCAAGTGTCGGGATAGTGATCGCACATCTAAATCTATTTCCGTGGAAGTTGGTTCCTCATCAGTGAAAAAATCAGAAAGGACCATTCTTACTGCCATTATAACAGAATTGTCTGCATAACAAAATGTGGGAAATTCAGTTGCTTTGCCTGCCCTTCTTTAAGATGATGATAATGGCTCTGAATCCTGAGAGTTACAGCTGCAAGACCGCGTTCAGTCTAATACTGCAGATAATACTGTTACAACTGTCTGCTGAAGATCGGTGTCAGGTGCTACAGCGAGATTTGTCTCAACTGACTACTACACTCCCCTTGACAAAGGTTCGGGTGGACTATCGAACAAGTTGTCACAACGTGATGATCTCATGCTCTGACAGACATTCATTGCTTATCTCATTCATTGTGTAGGTGGGGGCACGGGGGACCCAGTTGTCTGAGGCGCAGCAATTCGCTCTGCAGAGCGGCATCCCTTGGGCACACCAGAAACCTATGATTGTGGGTTTGAATCCCAGTTCGCCTCGATTATGTTTCTCGGTTTGTCAGCACCATACTACACACAATGAAGTGAAAATTATTCCTCTGTAGACCTCAAGTAAAAAATCAAGTAAAATCCTAGATATTTTTTTATATTTGTATACTTATCCTGCATTACTGCGTCTAAAGAGACCCACCCATCGCAGAGCTGCATCCCCATGATACCTTCCAATGTTTGAGTAATGTGATGATCCGTGACATCACTATACTTGGTCACGTGGGAGCTGTGTGACAGGGTTGGCTTCTTCATGCAAGATCTTCACACAGCTCTTTCTCTCTGTCAAGAACAAGCAGTAAATGCATTAAGAAGTAATGTAGGATAAGTATACAAATATAAAAAATAGCTAGGATTTTAATTCCACTCATGTTTGAGGCTTGGGATAAATGCATTGTGTGAAATAGGTTAACTTTGAAAAATGTGTAAACTTTACAATTAGCAACCTCATTATAATCAGATCTAAGTTCATGCTGCTGCCAAACAAAGATCTGAGGACATCCCATTACGGGTCACGTCAGGACCACCTTTCGCAAACTTTGACCAACCACTGAAATGACGATATCAGCCAATTAGAAAGCAGCTTTCTCGAGCTTTACGGCACTGGTTTCAACCTGGCGACTTCCATTTCAGACTACGATTGAAAAATATGTTGACACAGTTCTTGACTAAAATTTTGAAAACCAAACCAACAAACATTCCACAATGTCTAATATATGGTTGAGAGTGTATGGCAGTGCTTCCCACATACTGCGCAACGCCTCCTCCGTTCAAATGTTTATCCTAAGGAAGAGAGAGATAGACTATAATTTTGATGGAATCAGTCGTACGGGCCGTAACTGTCATTCGGAATACCCCTTGTTAACGTTTTTCAGGTTGCATGATTAGAAAATAAATTCCGACTATCACTTTCATGATTTGGTAAGATCTTTGTTTAGCCGCAGCAAGAACTTAGGTCTGATTTTAATGAGATTGTACAAGTAGTTGTATATATATAAATACTTGTCCTATGTCACACGATTTACAGAGATTGTTAGTGGCTGTACCCTTGAATGGGATTGAAGTAGTGTGAAAATGATCGTCCCCCAGAGAGGGTATGGTATGTAAGACCCCGTCATTCAAAATATATTTATTTCTGCCATCTATGTATGTAAACAAAGATGGGAATTAATTAAATTACGAAAAATGGGCGTAATGGGCGTGCGTAAATAAATGGCTTGTAACTTGAAATATGTTCTTATGTTATTACTTCATAAATGAATTTTATTTTACGGGCACCAATTTAGTGTCGCACCGTGTAAACACAAAATGGCGACATGTGCTGGCGACACGCGACCAGTCATCGTAGAAAAAGACAACGCAAGATAAACATATTTTTATTGCATATATAATGTTTGTGCGTGCACTTGTGATGTGTTTCATTCCAGGTCGCCTTATACACGGAGTATAGGATTTTGGGTTGATTTCGAAGGCGTGTACAGGGGGGTCGTCTTATACGTGGGGTCGCCTTATACACAGCGTTATACGGTAAACCTTGTAGGTAGCAAATGTATGTCAAGTTTTAACTTTAAATTGTCAAGTCTACGACCTATTATGCTTTGCCCTTTCCTTCCATCATAATCGGACACACCTGGATACGACAGAATTAAGGCTTTGTGTTAAACCCCGGATAACTGACTAACTTGTCTTCGGAGCTGTGAGGTCACAGTATGTTTACCATGACACAGATGCTAACAGTGGTGCTTACATTATTCCAGATCCAAAGTTGCTGGCATTTCTGACTTCCAAGAAGAAGGTGAAGTCCGAGATCAAGGAAATGGAGACTGAAACAAATTTGAGGGAAAATGTTGCCAGTGGGAAGAAGATTTCAAAGAAAAAAGGTGTCTTTTTCTTTGCCCTATCTCATGGTGTTGTTGTTGTTGTTTTTAGGTGGCCCAGTCGTCTAAGGCGCCACGATTCGCTGTGCGGAGTTGCTTCCTTTGGGCACACCAGAAACCTATGATTGTGGGTTCGAATCTCGGTTCACCCCGATTATGTTTCTAGGTTTGTCAGCACAATATCATGCTTGTGGGTTTCACCGAAGTGGTAATCATCTAAAACCTGCATCACTTCGGGCTTTCCTCCCGCTTTAAGCTGACGCGCCGTGATGTAACTGGAATACTGTTAAAAGCGGCGTTAAACCCAACTCACTCACTCACTCACTGTAATATTGCTGACTTATGTTCTCCTTTCTCCCCAGGGCCAACTTGCACAAAGCAATCTTAGCGCTAAGATGATCATAACTCCCATACTTTAACATAGGCTTACGACAGTCTAAGCGCTGAGATCGCTTTGTGCAAGTTGGTCCAGGTCATTAGATCTACATATAGTTTGGCTCCAACTGAGAATGATGGATTGCAAAATAACTCAAAATCAGGAATAGTCTATTGAATGTCAATACGGTACTGTAATGAATAACCTGTACCCAACAATATCTGCGGCTTGTTATTTTTATTCCCATCACTGGAAAAAGTTGTTGAAGAAACTATCATGTTGTTGTGTGGCATTAAACAACAAACAAACAAATCTCTATCCAGGTTACAGTGACCCAGACATGGTATTCTCTTACTGAACATAATCTGTGTCTCTCTCCAGGTCACAGTGACCCAGACATGGTATTCTCTCACGGAACATAATCTGTGTCTCTCTCCAGGTCACAGTGACCCAGACATGGTATTCTCTCACTGAACATAATCTGTGTCTCTCTCCAGGTCACAGTGACCCAGACATGGTATTCTCTTACTGAACATAATCTGTGTCTCTCTCCAGGTCACAGTGACCCAGACATGGTATTCTCTCACGGAACATAATCTGTGTCTCTCTCCAGGTCACGGTGACCCAGACATGGTATTCTCTCACTGAACATAATCTGTGTCTCTCTCCAGGTCACAGTGACCAAGACATCGTATTCTCTCACTGAACATAATCTGTGTCTCTCTCCAGGTCACAGTGACCCAGTTCTGCCGGTCCAGCCCGACCCTACATGGGTGCACATGGAGAAAGTGGAGTATGACAAGCTGGAGTGGATGAGAGACCTCCCTCCTCCCAAGACCGGGGATGCCAAGGTACTCACTAAACAGAGAGATTCTTTACGAAAGAGGCTTAGGTACATAACAGTAAACAGAGTAAAAACAGTAAAAAGAGACACTCTATCAGGGGCGCTAAGGTACACATCAGTAAACAGTAAAAAGAGACACTCTATCAGGGCGCTAAGGTACACATCAGTAAACAGAGTAAAAACAGTAAAAACAGTAAAAAGAGACACTCTATCAGGGACGCTAAGGTACACATCAGAAAACAGTAAAAACAGTAAAAAGAGACACTCTTTCAGGGGCGCTAAGGTACACATCAGTAAACAGTAAAAAGAGACACTCTATCAGGGGCGCTAAGGTACACATCAGAAAACAGTAAAAACAGTAAAAAGAGACACTCTATCAGGGATGCTAAGGTACACATCAGTAAACAGAGTAAAAACAGTAAAAAGAGACACTCTATCAGGGACGCTAAGGTACACATCAGAAAACAGTAAAAAGAGACACTCTATCAGGGATGCTAAGGTACACATCAGTGAAGAGAGAGATTCTTAACGAAAGATGCTGAGGTACACATCAGAAAACAGTTTACATTAGTCAGAATCCATGTTGAGATACTGTTCTACATTTGTCAGATACAAGGATATATATAAAGTCATCTCTTACAGCTGTTTCATCTTGGATGTTGGAGTCCAGAAACTGAGGATAGCTTATAGATTATGAATGTGTTGCAGAATGGCCTGCCTGCAAGATTTGATTTCCATGGCAACATTCTTCCAGCTGATTCTGATTTGCCTGTCAATCAAGGTCTTCATCACCATGGCAATGAACCAGAGGTTGGTTTCTTTTTCTTTTCATTTTACAATAAGAGAATGATTGGATGATAACTTGTGATTGCTTCCCTATCTTGGTAGATGACCATTCAGACACCATACACGCTGCGTGAGTGGGATGTTTACCTGTGGGAATGCTTCATTGCATATTTAGGAAAGTCTTTCTATATGTTTCATAATTCTTCTAGCCAGTGGTTGAAGGCCCCAATGAGGATTCAGTTTAAGAATACATCCTCAGCAACTGATGCTACTCATAAGAGGAACTTTAATGAATTGGTTTGTGATGTGGTTGAGAGCATGTTATCGTACCCTGATGTTGTGGATCGTTGTTCATGATATTGCTCACTGGATTGTCTGGTCCAAACTTAATTATTTACAGGTATGTCGTCATACAGTGGTCAGGGGCACGGTTCTGACCATAACCCCAGGAAGTAGCCCAAAATGGTTATGTTAATGAGATGTTCTCCTAGTATGTGTGGGCTACGGGGTACAGCTACCAAACTGTATGCAGAGTTGTGACCCCTAGCTGGCAGGATCTGCTGGTCATGGTTTCAATCCTGATTCACCCCCGACCCTTGACCTGTCGGCATGTTACTTGACATTTAGGTTGTCACCATACTTTTTGCATCAACCACCTGCGTAACAATGGCCCTCCTCCCACATTACAATGACAGCAGTGATTGGCTGGTCATGTTCAGGGAGTTGCATGTTGTGATGCCCAGATGGTGTGTGGAATGTTGCTCAGAATATCAACCACTGGTTTACCTGGTCTAGAATCAGTTACTTACAGGCTGAAATATTGTTAACTATGGCATAAGAATACAAACAAGAAAACCAGAAGTCCATGTGTCTGCTGTTGCCAGCAGTGTTAACCAACTCCATGTGTCTGCTGTTGGCAGCAGTGTTACCAACTCCATGTGTCTGCTGTTGGCAGCAGTGTTAACCAAGTCCATGCCTCTGCTCTTGGCAGCAGTGTTAACCAACTCCATGTGTCTGCTGTTGGCAGCAGTGTTAACCAACTCCATGTGTCTGCTGTTGGCAGCAGTGTTAACCAACTCCATGTGTCTGCTGTTGGCAGCAGTGTTAACCAACTCCATGTGTCTGCTGTTGGCATCAGTGTTAACCAAGTCCATGTGTCTGCTGTTGGCAGCAGTGTTAACCAAGTCCATGTGTCTGCTGTTGGCAGCAGTGTTAACCAACTCCATGTGTCTGCTGTTGGCAGCAGTGTTAACCAGCTCCATGTGTCTGCTGTTGGCAGCAGTGTTAACCAGCTCCATGTGTCTGCTGTTGGCAGCAGTGTTAACCAACTCCATGTGTCTGCTGTTGCTAGCAGTGTTAACCAACTCCATGTGTCTGCTGTTGGCATCAGTGTTAACCAACTCCATGTGTCTGCTGTTGGCAGCAGTGTTAACCAGCTCCATGTGTCTGCTGTTGGCAGCAGTGTTAACCAACTCCATGTGTCTGCTGTTGGCAGCGTGCCGGCTAACTCCATGTGTCTGCTGTTGGCAGCAGTGTTAACCAACTCCATGTGTCTGCTGTTGGCAGCAGTGTTAACCAACTCCATGTGTCTGCTGTTGGCATCAGTGTTAACCAAGTCCATGTGTCTGCTGTTGGCAGCAGTGTTAACCAACTCCATGTGTCTGCTGTTGGCAGCAGTGTTAACCAACTCCATGTGTCTGCTGTTGGCATCAGTGTTAACCAAGTCCATGTGTCTGCTGTTGGCAGCAGTGTTAACCAAGTCCATGTGTCTGCTGTTGGCAGCAGTGTTAACCAAGTCCATGTGTCTGCTGTTGGCAGCAGTGTTAACCAACTCCATGTGTCTGCTGTTGGCATCAGTGTTAACCAAGTCCATGTGTCTGCTGTTGGCAGCAGTGTTAACCAAGTCCATGTGTCTGCTGTTGGCAGCAGTGTTAACCAAGTCCATGTGTCTGCTGTTGGCAGCAGTGTTAACCAAGTCCATGTGTCTGCTGTTGGCAGCGTGCCGGCTAACTCCATGTGTCTGCTGTTGGCAGCGTGCCGGCTAACTCCATGTGTCTGCTGTTGGCAGCGTGCCGGCTAACTCCATGTGTCTGCTGTTGGCAGCGTGCCGGCTAACTCCATGTGTCTGCTGTTGGCAGCGTGCCGGCTAACTCCATGTGTCTGCTGTTGGCAGCGTGCCGGCTAACTCCATGTGTCTGCTGTTGGCAGCGTGCCGGCTACACCCTGGAGGAGATGTTCCAGCTGGCTCGGAGTTCCAACATCCAGCAGAGGGCGCTGGCGCTGCAGGTGCTGGGCCGGGTCCTTCACAAGGTGAGACACGAATATAGCTGGCTAATAAGATCAATAATTGGATTTATCGTCGATGCGAAGAAATATTAACAACAATCGATATGATAATTGTCATCGATAATATCTTACATAAGCAATTGTGATGAAATGAACTTTAGATATACCCAAACAGACTTGTTTTTTGTAAATCATGTCAGTTGCCAAAGAAGTAAAACAACTGTTTTTGTTATAACTCTAATATCCACAAGGTAATCCATGCATAAATGTGTCACCACTCACCAGTGGCATGAAGTGTGTTGATTTCTTACGGATATTTGTGCGTATTGGCTCAAAGTTACTTCTCCGATATTTATCGATAATTGATTGAATGATATTAAGTTAATGAATATCGATCTGTATTGATAGCCAGCCCTAGACATTACATACAGCAGGATTCTCACAGCTTTAGTTCATTGGTTACTTACCAATATGGTCTTGCATTTTCCCAATTTGTTCTTTTATTCTCTTTGTTTTTAATGGAAATTCTATTCCTTAGTGACAAGTACCATATAAATTACACCGTAACGATGTATCACCAGTTGTATTAAGCACATCTGTTGTAATCTGCATGTTTCATTGAGAACCTGTGCTGATCTGTATGTTCAGGCCAAGAGAGGAGCCTATCGAGATGTTGTCCAGACACCGATCTTGCCGGCCGTGGTGGAGTCTGGCGTTGTCTTCCTGTTCCGCTGGGCTCTAGATGATGCTGTTGACACTGTCCTCGCTGCTGCTGTTGCTGCCATGCATGCCCTCATCTGTAACCCAGCAGATCAGGTAGGCTTCTCACCTGTAAGGAGTCTGGGTAGAATGACCCCGAGTGCCCATGCTGTCATCAGGTAGGCTTCTCCCCTGTAAGGATTCTGGGGCAGAATGATCCCAAGTGCCCATGCTGTCATCAGGTAGGCTTCTCCCCTGTAAGGATTCTGGGGCAGAATGACCCCAAGTGCCCATGCTGTCATCAGGTAGGCTTCTCACCTGTAAGAAGTCTGGGTAGAATGACCCCCAGTGCCCATGCTGTCACCAGGTAGGCTTCTCACCTGTAAGAAGTCTGGGTAGAATGACCCCGAGTGCCCATGCTGTCATCAGGTAGGCTTCTCACCTGCAAGGTTCTGGGGTAGAATGACCCCGAGTGCCCATGCTGTAATCAGGTAGGCTTCTCACCTGTAAAGATTCTTGGGCAGAATGACCCCGAGTGCCCATGCTGTCATCAGGTAGGCTTCCCACCTGTAAGGTGTCTGGGGCAGAATGACCCCCAGAGCCCATGCTGTCATCAGGTAGGCTTCTCCCCTGTAAGGATTCTGGGGGAGAATGACCCCCAGAGCCCATGCTGTCATCAGGTAGGCTTCTCACCTGTAAGGTTTCTAGGGTAGAATGACCCCGAGTGCCCATGCTGTCATCAGGTAGGCTTCTCACCTGTAAGGAGTCTGGGGCAGAATGACCCCCAGTGCCCATGCTGTCATCAGGTAGGCTTCTCACCTGTAAGGATTCTAGGGTAGAATGACCTCGAGTGCCCATGCTGTCATCAGGTAGGCTTCACCTGTAAGGAGTCTGGACAGAATGACCCCGAGTGCCCATGCTGTCATCAGGTAGGCTTCTCACCTGCAAGGTTCTGGGGTAGAATGACTCCGGGTGCCCATGCTGTCATCAGGTAGGCTTCTCACCTGCAAGGTTCTGGGGTAGAATGACCCCGAGTGCCCATGCAGTCATCAGGTAGGCTTCTCATCTGGGGATTCCAGCTACAAATCTGACCCCAGTAATCATGTTCTCATCAAATAGGTTTCTCATTTGGCTTTTCAACGATTGTATCAACCGACATAAACACTGTGGGGAAGTGATTTATTTAGAGTGAGTGAGTGAGTTGGGTTTAACGTCGCTTTTAACATTATTCCAGTTAAATCACGGTGTGTAAGCTTAATGTGGGAGGAAAGCCGGAAGTAATGTATTTCTCAGACAATTACCACTTCGGTGAAACCTACAACCACGGGTATGGTGCTGACAAACCTGGGAACATAATTCGGCCGAACCGGGGTTCAAACCCACAATCATAGGTTTCTGGCGTGCCCAAGGGACGTAACTCTGCACAGCGAAATACGGCGCCTTAGACAACTGGGCCACCTGTGCCCCCTATCGTTGCCTGAATAATAGGTTCCAATAATATCAAATCGAAAACACAGTCAACATGTGATCAATCAAGTCAGCAAACCTAACCACAAACTAACAAGTGGGGCGAAACAGGAGTCAAACCCACAATCATAGGTTTCTGGCGTGCCCAAGGGACGCAACTCTGCACAGCAAATTGCAGCGCCTTAGACTACTGGGCCAGCCGTGCCCCCTGATTTATTTACAAGATAGTTAGAACTGGATTTCAAGGAACAAGGGTTTAGTGAACATTCTGTGTCCATACAGATTTATGTTGTAACATTCAGCATATTTAGGATAGGATCCAAGCCTGATTATGCTTGACGTTAGAAAAAAAATCCAGACTGTTAACTGTCAGCGGACATTTTCATGCCAATTCTATCTGACGCCGTTTGATTCCAATCCTCTCTACTTCCAGGAATGCCTGGATAGATCTTTCAGCTGGTTTCAAGGTCATGTTATGCCGGGTCAGTGTCCCGTTACCATGGAGACGGAAAGACAGGATGGGGAGGAGACTGTTGATGAGACTGATGCTGAAGTAGCCAAGAGAGACGTTGTTCTGGTAGGATACTTTGTGTGTACCTTGTTACTTGTGATGCCGTGACATTCTATGATCCAATTGTTTTACTGACAGGAAGCGAGTTCATTGGTCCAGGAGTTGTGGATTATTTCTTATCCTGACGCAACACATTTCATTCTGGACTTTGATCCTAAAACCCCAAACCCAAAACGTGCCTCTTCCTCCGCAAGGGCGCCCCCAGGCCTTGGTTACCAACAGGAGTTATCTGTCCCTGATCCTTTCACTGTCTTCTCATCAGCGCTTCACTTGAATGTCAGACGGGACGGACGGGATTCTTGTGTTACAATAAGCGTACTAATATTAGAATTAGACCACTTTGTGGAACAGGGCCCCGATCTATTCGTGAGGAACATTAGATTCAGCTGCCTCCATAGGTTGTTGGCAACTTGATTCCAAAGTCTGTCCTCAAACTTGAGATGTGCTTATACCAGGTGTATCATGTCCCTTTATAAAAGTTCTGGTGAGTCTGGTGTTTGTTTATATGAAGCTTTGGATGTTTTGTTTTGGTGGAAATCAGAAGACTTGATATCGGTATGAATTTGTCAATGTTTACAGAGCTCCAGATAAGCTTTTGGTGTTGTGGGTATTTTACCCATGCATTTTAAAATCATTGGGTATCAGTAATTCTATCTGGGTATTCAATTCTCTTTCTGATTAAATCCTCCTTGGGGCACTTATTGCATTTTCCTTGCTCAAGAAAATCTACATGACATAGTTGTAACCATTTTCCTTAATAAAAAATGTTACCACACAAAAAACTTCGTTTTTGTATGATATACGACCACCCTTACGGGGCCTCACCCCCAACGGCGCCTCACGCCAGGGGGAGCAACTCTCACCCAAATCACTTTCCTTATGTCATCTGTAAGAGACAGACATGTTGATTTTTCACACAAGACAAAAATAAGAAAAATCTGTCGTTCGACAAGAACCATGGCTGACCAAACTGTATGTATGGTACATTTCTTTCATTGCAAAGGCGTAATACCTCGCATTGTGAAGTTATAGAGTTGTAATAAACGCCACGTGCACGGTACCTTTGAATTCAAATGGCCGTAATGGCGTCCATATTGTAGTTCCACGGGCTGATACATGTAACACCAAGGCCATTAAGAAACGGCTTGGGGTTTTGTTATATCATACAGCATTGGTCTACAATTTTTTCCTTTACAAAACCCAAGGTGGTGTGTTAATTCATAAACTACACTTACCTTTTTTACGGGTTTTACACCTTAGCGCGTAACACACCCCTTTGGTGTTATAATTATACTACGACATTGGCTATTAGTATCGCGTTACAAATCGCATTCGACATTACGCCTTTGCTTCTAGTTTCACAATTTATGCACGTATCTTTCCGATCTTTATATCGCACTGATACACGTTAATACCCTTCCCGCCCACCTCAGAAATTACGGTCTTGTTTACAAGACCTTCAAACTGTGTACGGGTTGTTCTAAGACAGGCGCGAACGCTGCCTAATATGTCTGGCGGAGGACATTGCCTTTACCCCCCGGGGCCCCCAAAAAGAGACAAGTTGACTTGTTCCACTTTATAGAAGTCTATTAAAGGCGGGGGTAGATATCAGATCTACTAAGACATCCCCCCCCTCCCCATCTAAAAAGGGTAAAAAAGCTGCCGAGATTGTCTCCCCCGCTCCCTCTCCGGGGGCCGGGGGAGAAGGCTCGAGGGTCCCCGTAGTAAGCACTGCACCCTCTCCTGCACTGTCTTTGGCAGACTTTTCTGCGTTACTTAAGTCGCAGATGGCATCGATGATGGAGGAGGTAAAGTCTCAGCTCCGAGAGGAGATGCGGACCGAGCCTTCCCCGTTGTCGGCGCCGGACGCGGCTTCGAGACCTTGTGATATGCCCGGCGTCGGCCGAGGCAGGCCACTTGGTCTCGGGGACAATCTCAGACCGGGCTTCGGCGCCGGCTCGAGGTCGCTCCCCAGCGGAGGGGTGGCGGGCGCCGGCCCGTGCACTACCGACGCACAATTTTTCCCTAGCGGAGCCAGACGCCTCTTCCGAGGCCGAGGCTTTCACTAGTTGTTTCGTAGCCCGGAGCCAGGGGGGTTCCCTTGGTCTCGGGGACGATCCGAGACCGAGCTTCGGCTCCGGCTCGAGGTCGCTCCCCAGCGTAGTGGTGGCGGGCACCGGCCCGTGCACTACTGACGCACAATTTTCCCTAGCGGAGCCAGACGCCTCTTCCGAGGCCGAGGCTTCCACTAGTGGATACCTAGCCCGGAGCCAGGTTGGTTCCCTTTGTCTCGGGGTCGATCCGAGACCGAGCTTCGGCTCTGGCTCAGGTCGCTCCCCAGCAAAGGGGTGGTGGGCGCCGGCCCGTGCACTACCGACGCACAATTTTCCCTAGCGAAGCCAGACGCCTCTTCCAAGGCCAAGGCTTTCACTAGTGGATATCCGTGCCGAGGTCGACGCACTTCTTATGAAAGCTGCGATCGAACCGGGTCCCGAGGGACAGGAAAGCGAGGGCTTCTACTCGACTTGTTTCCTAGTCACCAAACAGTGATCTCAACTGTCGAGACAGGAGAATGGCTAACGTCAATAGACTTAAAATACGCCACATACCAATACACCCCGAGTAGAAGAAATACCTGAGGTTTTCTTTCGACGGGAGGTGTTATCAGTTCAGGGTTCTACCATTCAGGATCTCCACGGCCCCGAGGGTGTTCACCAAGCTGATGTTGATTCCCGCTCAAGTGGCCAGGTCAAAAGGTCGGTTCTGCCATCGGTACCTCGACGACTGGTTACTAAGAGCTCTATTGCAATCCCTGAGTCAGATAGCTACACAACAAGTGATAGATATTCTGATCCCTCTAGGGTGGATGGTCAATCTCAAGAAGTCAGATCTGAGCCCCACTCAGAATCTAGTCTTCCTAGTGGCTAATTTCAACACGGTGAGAGGACGTGTATCTCTGTCACAAGATATCAAGTCCCTTAAGCGCAAGTCACACTGCTCGTACATGGCTCCAGTTACTGGACAACATGGCGGCGACAGTGGATTTGGTCTGGCGGGCGCGCTTGAGAATGAGTCCCATTCAACAAGCACTCCGTCGACTTTGGGCGAACTCGGAAGATCTCGAGACTGTGCTCGAGACTCCGTATAGTGGCTCATTACACACCTCCAGTGGTGGACCGAGGTCGGGAATCACTCGCGTTCCATCTCTCACAGTTCAAACAGACGCGTCACTCTCCGGCTGGGGAGGCGTTCTGAATGATCACACTGCCTCGGGACTATGGTCCCAGCAGGAGATCAAACTGCATATCAATGTGCTAGAACTGAGAGCGGTCAGGTTGGTGTTCCAACGCTTCCCGGATCTGCTTCATGGCCAAGTGGTTCGTCTAGAGATGGACAACCAAACGGCGATGACTTACATCTGGAAGCAGGGGGGAACGGCGCCTCCGTCGCTTCGACGAAAGACGTGGCAGTTCCTACTATAGTGCGACTCTCACGATATCAGGGTGCTACCTGTTTATCTCCCGGGGGTGGACAACGTCCGTGCGGACGCTCTGTCTTGCCGGATCCTCGCTCCTTACAAGTGGAGGCTCGACCCGGGGATATTCGGGATTTTCTCCCTGTTATACAGGTTGTTACAGGTGGATCTGTTTGCGTCTGGGTTAAATAACCAGTCCACGAGTCCACGACCCGAGGTCGGTGGCACCGGACGCCTTTCAGCTAGATTGGACGGACAGTTCTGTGGGCATTCTCCCCAGTACCTCTGATTTCCAAGGTCCTGTCTCAGCTAGGCACTCAGCCTGCGCGACTAATTGTGCTCCTGGCACCTCTTTAGTCGGCGCAGAGTGGGTTTCCAGTAATACTCAGGTTTCTGGCTCAGCCTCCTGTTATATTACCTTTACGACCGGACCTCCTATCCCAGAACGGGGCCCTCCACCCGAATCTCAGGATTCAATGGGTGGCTTGGCCACTGTCAGGAATCGCCTCCAAAAGAGCGGTATTCCTGCACGAGTTGCAGACACAATACTGGCTTCGCGGAGGGATTCGACAAACGTTCAGTACGATAGATAGGCCTGCTATGCGCCCTGGTGTGTCGATAGAGGGATTGCAGATCCCTGCAGATCTCGTATCCGTGCTTGAGTTTCTCCAGTCACGACTAGATGACGGCCTGGCCGCATCAACAGTCCGGGGGTACTCTACAGCTATCGCAGCTTTTCACGTCCCTGTCAACGGGGCACTTCTGGGTGCACACCCATTAGTGCAGCGCTTTTTAGCAGGTGTGGACAGGATCCGACCGCCAGTCCGGCGGATCAGTCCCCCTTGGGACTTGTCAATCATTCTCGATTGGCTGTCCGGTCCTTCCTTTCGGGATCTGTCGTCTCTCTCTCTTCAGCTGTTGAGCTGGGAGACGGCGTTCCTTGTGGTGGTAACGTCCGGCAGACGGGTAGGCGACATTCGTGTTATGTCAGCCGATCCCAAAATAACTGTCTTCCATGGGGTCGATAAATATCACCGGGACAGTCAGTTTTCGTCTACCGGACTATTTCCGTCCTAGGGTCGCACACGATTCCACGTGAACGGCTCCTATTGAGCTACCTGCTCTTTCACAGCCTTCCTCGTCGGGGACCACTGCAAGACATGCTCATGTCTTGGATGTCCGCACGACTCTCAAGGCCTATATCAGCAGAAATATGGGTGTCCGTAAGGATAACCAACTATTTTGCTGTTACTGCGGTAGGAAGGTTGGCTCACCTGCGAGTAAACAATCTATCTCGAGGTGGATAGTTTCAACCATTTGTACAGCGTATACGCTTACAGGCAGGGACCCCCCTACCAGGTTGAAAGCTCATTAGGTTAGAGCAGTGGCTGCGTCAAAAGCGTACGCCGCAGCTCTGCCCATTGAGCAGATCTGCTCCGCGGCTATTTGGAGCCAGCCAAGCACGATTCATCAAACCTTACCAACTCGACAAACACTCAAGCGAGCGTACTCGGTTTGGTCAGTCAGTTCTCCGAACTGGGCAAAGTTCTAATCTCTAGCTGATTGAGCATTCGAGATTTTAGACAGTCTTCCGGTTATACTGCTCAGTAATGGTCCGGATTTTATCTTCTGCGGTCGATAAATATCAGTCCTTACTACTCGATAATACTCGTATTTTGCGCACGCACTCCTTCGATCCTCGGGGACCCTCTGGCCTAGCTCAGCGCTGGTTATGGTCTCTCGTGATCTACGCCCTTATATCACTTGTTCAAAAAAAGTGTGGGGGGGTGGGAGGTGTTTCGAGTTTTCAACTTATGACAAGCCGCAAAAACAGGCTTTATCATAATATATGGTCGACCACGCCCTGTCTCTAGCCCCCCCTTTCGACGGTGGTGCCTCACGATAAGGTTGGTTCCATTTATTGAACTCAATATTTTATTCTGTTGAATAATCAAATACGATGTATTTATTTACGCCTGTTGCTGACGGATGCCACTTCCTAGATTATCTTTGGGAGTCTGCCTTGATGCAATAAGTGCCCCAAGGAGGATTTAATCAGAAAGAGAATTTTACAAACCTGTAGAGGTTATGAATTCTCTGATGAAATCCTCCTTGGGGCACGGCCACCCACCTCCCCACATTCCGTCAGCATTTGACATATGGAAAGTGATTTGGGTGAGAGTTGCTCCCCCTGGCGTGAGGCGCCGTTGGGGGTGAGGCCCCGTAAGGGTGGTCGTATATCATACAAAAACGAAGTTTTTTGTGTGGTAACATTTTTTATTAAGGAAAATGGTTACAACTATGTCATGTAGATTTTCTTGAGCAAGGAAAATGCAATAAGTGCCCCAAGGAGGATTTCATCAGAGAATTCATAACCACTACAGGTTTGTAAAAATTTCTGTTACCCACTAGTTTTTACACATGTGGGTATTTAAGTTAAATATTTAAAAACACTATTTAACTAGTCCCTGCAAACTGGTGTCGTGTGGGTTCGAGAGCTTTATAGGACTCAAAAATACCACGACACTTCCACAAGAAAGTGTAATGGAAAATGATCATGATGTAACTGTCATCATGGAGTTTGGCAAGGTTGACGGAATGTCCGTATATAATTTCAAAATAAGTTGCTGGTTTGCTAATCGAATACGCAGGGTTACGTCACAATATTTTGATGATATGCACAAGTTTTATTTTTGTAGCGAATCTGCGTTGCGTATTTGATACGCTTGGATTTTATTTTACTGCATATTTCTGCATTTTTGATGCGTATTTCACGCAGATACGCAGCTTATCTGGAGCTCTGGTTTATCAACCACTGTGTCAGGGCCTGGTGTCTATGAATCTGTGAATGTTTATCAAACACTGTGTTTATTGTACACTGTGTTTATTGCAGGGCCTGTTGTCTATGAGTCTGTGGATGTTTATCAAACACTGTGTTTATTGCAGGGCCTGATGTCTATGAATCTGTGGATGTTTATCAAACACTGTGTGTTTATTGCAGGGCCTGTTTATGAATCTGTGGATGTTTATCAAACACCGTGTGTTTATTGAACGCTGTGTGTTATTGCAGGGCCTGTTGTCTATGCATCTGTGGATGTTTATCAAACACTGTGTGTTTATTGAACACTGTGTGTTTATTGCAGGGCCTGTTGTCTAAAAATCTGTGAATGTTTATCAAACACTGTGTTTATTGTACACTGTGTTTATTGCAGGGCCTGTTGTCTATGAGTCTGTGGATGTTTATCAAACACTGTGTTTATTGCAGGGCCTGATGTCTATGAATCTGTGGATGTTTATCAAACACTGTGTGTTTATTGCAGGGCCTGTTTATGAATCTGTGGATGTTTATCAAACACTGTGTGTTTATTGAACACTGTGTGTTTATTGCAGGGCCTGTTGTCTATGCATCTGTGGATGTTTATCAAACACTGTGTGTTTATTGAACTATGTGTGTTTATTGCAGGGCCTGGTGTCCCGAATGGTGCTGCTCCAGCGACTGCGGCATGTACTGGAGACTCGGAAACCACAGGCCGTGACTGTGCTACAGGTCCTGGATATGCTGACCAAGATAGCCCAACACTCCCCTGGCCTGGCGTACGAGGTACAGGGACTCGCCATCTGCATTTTGGTCATTAAGTAGACTCTAACACTGCTTTTGTGGAAGTTTAGATGAGAGAAACTTTGTTAAGATGGCCAGTGACTGTTTTGGAGTGTGTAATACTTTTCTTTCTTTTGTGTTTAGGACCATCTTCCTGAGGCAAGGGAGTTAACTAAGTATAAAAGTCCAGTGTCCACCCTTGCCGAACTAGGCTGGAATTATGGAGTTATACTTTCGCTTAACGAAATTGACATCCGGTTCGTAAACTGCCGTGCAGTTTTCCGTTGATTGCAGGATTTGCAAAACATGTGTACCGACAACTTAGCGTCAACAGATATTTTCCAAATCTTTTCATGTTTTTAATCAAGTTGCTCACGTGATTTGATGCACTTTGCCAAGTAAGACCCATTGTTACAATATAGATCTTGATTATTGATCAGATCGTCTTCACTGGGCGATGACATTTTATTTAAAGCAAATGCAAGTGAGATGAGAGGTGGAATCTGATTGGTCAAAAGGAAGGACATAGAAGGGACATAACTTGTAATAGCCACTGGTGGCCCTACGATCAAGCCAAGAAATTCCAGCATAGTTCGGCAAGGGTGGTAACTGGACTCTTACATCATTTAACTCCCTTGCCTCAGGAAGATGGTTAAGGACATAAAATTTGCAACATTTTTTATTTTCTGTTAAAAGATAGTTCATTGTCCGAGATTGCTTGACGTGGTGTTTCTAGAGTTCCTGCCCACAGCCTGGGAGCCTCAAGGTGAGCGACATGACACATGGGTGTTCACACAATACTAGACGTGAATACTGAGAATGTCTGACCATGTCAACAGAGGCATATATGCTGCCTGATGTTTTGCAGGAAAATTGTTATAACTCTACTTCAAACAATATGGCAAATGTTCAGCATGATAGTGTTTGGTGGCCTCCGGTTGTCTTTCATGTATAAATAGGCGAGGTCGGGTAGCCTAGTGGTTAAAGCGTTCGCTCGTCACGCCGAATACCCGATTCGATTCTCAACATGGGTACAATGTGTGAAGCCCATTTCTGGTGTCCCCCGCCGTGATATTGCTGGTATATTGCTAAAAGCGGCGTAAAACCATACTCACTCACTCATGTATAAATTTCATTTAAAAAATTAGCTCCCTTTTATCATTACCTTGTGTGGGTGTCAGTCAGGTAGCCAAGTGGTTAAAGTGTTCGTTTGTTGTGCCAAGGTGCTGAGTTTTATTCCCAACATAAGTGCAGTGAGTGAAGCCCTGCTTTGTTCCAACCTCATGATATTGCTGAAAAACAAGTTGAAGCTCCTAAAGTCAAACACACCTTCGATATAATTATCACAATACATACCTGTATCATGTTTTCTAAGTTGTAGTGACTGTCATTGTTGATGAACTCTGGCAAGTTTGACCGTGTGTGATTGTTTCCACTGTTGTACATTGCCAGACTCAAATGCCCAGCTGTCTCGTGTCTATGGTCTCCCGCTGACTGCTGCTCTGAGACTGGTGGCGGCACTGTGCCAGGCTGGCCGGAACATGGCGGCACACATGGTAATACACCTCCACAACACAGAGGAATAAACTTGTATCACATATGGTAATATTATGCCTCAACAACATGGAGGAATAAAGTTGACATAAATTTGTGTCATCTGGAATGTATTTATCCACCTGGAAAAATGCTTAGCACATCTTTACTGTTTCCATGCAAAAAGGTCATATTTGGAAATCGTAACCATGGTAACTGTCCCATGGCAATTGTTGTTTGACTGTTCTTTCATCAGCTTCCCCTGCTACTTTTCCTTCTCTGATATGACCCTGTCCTGTAGCCCTGTGAAGGACCGAACATCGTTCTTGTAATAATGAAAATGATAATAAGAAGAATAGTATGTCCATTTATATTGAACTGAAGCAACTGTATGACTTTTGAGGAGGTATTGGGGATATGAAAATGAGATCTATGTCCGATGTCTATATTGTATGTTAGGATTATGTAAGTTAAGAAAGGATGATGATGATGATGATGATGATGGTGATATCTCCAGGTGAGAAAGACACAAGTTACAAGATTCCTGTCACATTCACAAAACCGTATTGACGTCATTTGTATTTTTTGCTTTTCTTTCACTAAATGAAGTATAACTACCATATTAGACATAATAAGCGCCCAGGGTGCGCTCAAAATTATAAATAGGGGGCTCTTATTAGAATATTATTTTGGTGAAAAACAACAGTTGAAAGATCGTAAATTTAGTGGTTTATGCTGACAGCCTGAAATGTTTATATACGACAGATATATTTTTCCAGAATTTAATTGCCCATAATTAACGGTGCATGTAACAAACGTTTTTTAAACGAATAAATAAGTCTTGTGTACATTTATCAATCGGAAGGGATGCTAATTGGGATTGTTCACTAGCCAATATATTAGCAAATATCGCCGTGGGCATTTATTAGAGCGGGTCGCTTATTACGTAGAATATGGTATTTAGCATGCATTTATTTACCCAAATGTCCCTGTGAGGTCGGAATCTTGTTTTCCTGGAAAATGTTTAGCTAGTCATTTGGACTAGTCATCTGGTCATTATGATTATTATTGGAAAAGTCAATAATAACATCTGCTCTTTTCTCTCATTTCAGATTTCAAAATACAAACTACAGGACATAATAATGAGATATATGGCAGTGAAAACAAGGTAATCTCATCTCTGTCACAGTCGACTAAGTTGACCATTGATTGCAGATGTGCATTACCACAGCAACTGTTGTCTCAATCTTGGGTTACCTCCCCTGACTATGTGAGCATCAGTACTGAGTACTATCAGTTCTGGGAGAGTCTGCTGTCTGTCTCTTGACTGCATCTCTTCTCTGTGTCTACATGCCTGAGCCTTGACTGCAGGGTGGGAGTGGGTCGGTTTTTGCCTTGTGGTTATAGCGTCCACTCAATCATGTCGAAGGTCCGGTTCGATCCCCCACGTGGCTGCAATGTGTGAAGCACAGTCTCCTGCTGTGATATCACTGGATTATTGCTGAAAGCTGCGTAAAACCATACTCACTCACTCACTCACTCACTCTGCCTGTTGTCTGAGTGTCTGTGTCCGAGAGTCTGTGACAGAGCGTCTATTACCTGTTTCAGTGTCTGACAGAGTGTCTGTTGTCTGTGACAGAGTGTCTGTTGTCTGTGTTCGAGTGTCTGAGACAGAGCGTCTGTTGTCTAACATTTGTTGTTGAGTGTCTGGTGTCCGAGTGTCTGTGACAGAGCGTCTGTTGTCTGTTTCAGTGTCTGACAGAGCATCTGTTGTCTGTGACAGAGTGTCTGTTGTCTGTGTCTGAGTGTCAGTGTCAGTGACAGAGCGTCTGTTGTCTGTTTCAGTATTCTACAGAGAGTCTGTTGTCTGTTTCAGTGATCTGCAGCTTCCAAGGGAGGAGGCCGAGATGTTGCAGACCCACAGTTTCCGTGTGTGGAGGATCTGTCTGTCCTATGGCCTGGCAACACAGACATATCTGTAAGACCATCATTGTGTTCAATCGGACAAGTTTTACGTGAAAATAGAGACTTGAACTAAACCTCAAATTATGTTTCAGATAAAGCAACAATACATGGGAAACATTGATACACAGACATTTTCTTCTGTGGTATCTATCATGTCATTAATTTACTAAATTTCAAAGGTCTGAAATGTTTTTGATCTGTAAAATCAAGACGTGTGTTAATTGTGTTTCACATCTGCTCTGAATTTCTGTTTGACATTTCGAAGGTATTAAAAACGTGTTGTTCTTAGTTCTTGCTCACTTGTAAACATTGAGTCTCCTTGATCATCCACCCAGGGACCTCTATTCCACCCTGGTGGGCAACATCCAATCTGCCCTCAGCCCTGGACGTCCCAGTCAGCAGCAGATGGAGGCGACCATGTTGGCTTGCTGTGAGACGGTTGTCAATGTCGCTGGTTCTGTTGAGGCATCCACTGGTTTTGTCCGGAGGTAAGCCTTGTACACTAAACAAATGTTGTCGTAAATGTGGGGTACCTATCAAAATAAACTTTGTATTGAGTGGTTTGTTTTTTAATTTATCCTGACTCGTTCTTTTTGCTTATCTCATCTCGTTTCCAAAATGTAATGGAAACTTCCTGAACTGTGTTCCCAGAGAACAGAAAAATAGCTCACCTGAACACACCCTAGGGCTGCACAACCGCACATGAACCATGTGACCGAGCTGCTAGACTCGTCACTCTCCCATTTTCGTGCATACAAGCAGTTTGATAATTTGTTCCTATTCTGGCAATCCTAGCCATTCTGTCAAAAGTATCATATTTTTTAACTTAAAGTACACAATCCCCCCTATCTGCTTGTCCTGTGTTCCTGAACACAGCACCTTAAAAGAGAGAGGTAGTTTTTGTGCTCCTAAGGAGAAGTAGACAGGAAGACGACATCCATGAAGAAGTGTTGGTTAATGCCTCCACCTTCTTCATGAGAAGACGGACCTTCTGATGTAATAGAAGGAATTCAAGTTGATCTTCCTTCTTCGCAGTGTAAGGCAGTCAAGCCTCCACTAAGTTCTTCCTTGGTCAGACAGGACATCGACTCTCTTCTGAAGAGTTCGTCTAGATCTGAGGAGAAGTCTCCTGCTGTTACATCCTGATGCAGTAAGAACCTACAGGCCTTAAGCTGAGGAGAAAAACAGTTTTTCCTCTTCATCAAAGTCTTCTTCAACTACGAGAGAGCATCTCTTGGTGAAGGTCATCACCTCAACAAACCTCTGGCGTCGTGATCCGTGAAGGAGTCCACGAAGCCAGCTTCTAAAGCATGGAAGAGTACCAACTTCTGGTTTCAAAGCAGACTTAATCCTTCAGAAGGAGCACTGACTTTTTACTAAAGGGTGCTTAAAAAAGAGGAGCAGGTCGCCAACTTCACCTTCAGACCCTGGTGAAAATCTTCAAGCAGTAGCAAAGAACAAGGAAATTTTATTTGCATCTTCTCTTTTCGTGAAGAGGCTTGCCTTCACGAAGGCTCTTTTCTCCACAAAAACAAGTTATCATCCATGGAAGGGTCCACGAGGCCCCCCCACCTCCTCTGGAAAGTAGACATCTGCGTGCAACCCTCAGCGTTCACAGCATCAGATGGATACCAAGCCTCCTACAGTATCACAGGTTCTCCAACTGTCGCAGACCATCGCACAGATGCAGTCCTTCACAAAGACTCGGACCTGACCCCATCATTCCGTCTGCAGTTCATCAGGGGCCTGTTTCTCATGGACCAGGACCTCCCCAAGTCCCCAGGGACAGGTGGTTGAAAACCCTCTCTCACCTCTACCCTGCCCTCCAGCAGGCTCGAACTCTCAGCCAATGGCAGATTCTCCTGGGCCTCCTCACATCGGCTCAAGACTCCAAGAGGCTGCAAGAACTCCCTGGCTCCCACCGAATGCAAGCTCCACCCAGAGATCTTCACCGTACTTTGTCAAACGATCGACACCTCAAACATCAATCTGTTCGCCACATCTTAGAATTGCCAGCTGTCGACTTACATTTCACCGGTCCCGGATCCGGCCGCTGTAGCAGTCGACACCTTCAGTGTTCCCTGGGAGTGAGTTAAGTGTGTACATTTTTCCGCCACTGGTTCTACTTCCCAGGGTTCTTCAAAAGATCCAGGCAACTCGGCACCTGACTCTGATTTTGGTTGCACCTTGGTGGCTGGCCAGAAGTTGGTTTATCGACCTCCGAAACATCGCCAGAGACAATCCCCTGGAACTTCCTGCGTGGCCCAACCTTCTGCTCCACCCATAAAGTCGGTTGACACACCCAAGACCCGCTCGGTTTCGTCTTCATGCCTGGCACATTTGCAGAAAGCCCTAGGAGCTAAGGGCTATTTGACTAGAGCGGCCAAGGCTATTGCTTTAGCCCATCGTCCATCAACACGGGGACTGTATGATGATAAATGGTCCTTGTCCCAGGCATTCTGCTCTGACAAGCACCAGGATCCGATGACAGCGTCATAAAAGACTCTACCATCTCCACGTACTTGGTCGCTATTAACTCCGTTCTTGCCATCCCGGATGACCGGAGAATGACGAAAATTCCCGAACATCAGGCCTTGCTGCGCTCGTTTCGTCTCGAAGACCAGAAAGCCAAGTTCAGACCGCCTGCTTGGGATCTGAATGTGGAGGCTACCTTCGAACCACTCCACTCATCTTCCTTTTACGACCTAAAGAAGAAGACGGTGTTTCTACTGGCCCTGGCTACTGCCGCCCGTTTTAGTGAGCTCCATGCCCTCCGGTTCAAACGGGGGACTCATGGTGCTGTTCATCTTGGGCTGTGCTGGAACTTCAGCGCAAAGAATCAACTCCCAGGACAGCCTGATAGATCATTCACCATCCCTCCCCTTTCGTCGATTGTGGGTGCCGACGATAATGAGGAGCTTTTATTATGCACAATTAGGGCACTGAAGGTTTTCCTACGGTCTCCACTTTATCGCAGACCGAGGTCAGAATACTATCTCCCTGTGGCTCCGGGTGGTCACCCTCCAAGCTTGTAAAGTCACCGGATTGGACCCCCCCCCCCCCCCCCCCCCCCCCAAGGCTAACAACCCACATAACATTCGGGCTGTCGCATCTACCATGGCTCTTCACAGTAACTACTGTTCCCTCAAATCGATCATGGAAGGCTGTCTTTGGCGATCTGACACCGTCTTCGCCAGCCGCTACCATCGTGATGTAGCCTTGGAAGATGTCGCCGGCATTCATAGCTTTGGTCCCCTGGTGGTAGCCCAACAGGTCACCAACCCCTGACGCCACTGATTCTCCGATACCCCGAGCGGGGCCCGTTGACCTCTCTGGTGTTTATCACCCAGATTAGAGGGCTCTACTGCGTTCTGCATTCGCTCTTAGGGCAGTTCTAGTTTTTGGCTTCCCCGCCTCATTCTATTTCTGTCACCTATTTCGGGTTCCCTCTTTTGCATCGACTCTCGTTTCCTTCGACAGGAACGGTCGCTGATGTTCCAGTCATCTCTTATATGCGGTGAAGTTTCATCGGACCTTGTCGAGGGTTTCTTATGGCTCACATCTGAAGGTATGCCCACCGGCTGTGCCGTCTGATAAAGATGCAATAGGGAGTAATGCAGGATAAGTTAAAAAATTTAGTAAAATCCAAATATATTTTACATTTGTATACTTATCCTGCATTACGAAGTCTAAGTGCCCTCCCCTTCGCTCCGCTGCCTCCCCACGAAGTTTCAGATGTTATGTTTAAAGCAGTTACCCCAGGTATGTGCTTTGACGTGACGTCATGACTTCCGGGTCACGTGCCGACTGTATGGAGGCGCTGCTTTCTGTACAGATGGAAACAACTTTCTTCAGCAGCTGGATCTCACACAGTTCGTCTCTCTGTCAAAGACAGCAGTAAATGCAATACGGAGTAATGTAGGATAAGTATACAAACATAAAAGATATTTAGATTTTACTGAATTTATACGACCCCTGACTCATACACTGAAGCACCTGCTGTCCCTGCTCACTCTGATGTGATCTGCACATGGAAGATAAAATAATGAGTGATATGTCATACTGGTTGGTCGTATGGTTCCAGCGCCTCACGTGAGAGGGGTGTGTTTTGGTGAAATGCTTTCTTTTCACTGGGAACACTGCACAAGAGGTTTCCACTGTTTATCGGGAATATGAAGAGATGATCAAATTAGTATGATCAAGATAAGTATTAATGACACTTTTAACATAAAAACTTCATAATGATACAGAGTTGCACTGGAAATAATGTATTTTTCTGTGCATATATTCCAGTTTTGTTATCCAGATGACTAAACAAGTCGTCAAATAACTCGAAGACTTCCTGGCACCGCACATCAGCGTAAAAGAAAAAGACAAATTATCTTCTTTTTCTTTAATGGTCTCAGTCTCAAGCAGGAAGTGTTTCTACTTGAACCTATTCACCATTATTAGTAACTTCATAAGCGTGGGACCCGTGAAGATTCCGGGGTAGAATAGGTCTTCAGCAACCCATGCTTGCCGTAAAAGACGACTATGCTTGGCGGAAAAGGCGACTAACGGGATCGGGTGGTCAGGCTCGCTGACTTGGTTGATACATATCATCGATTTCAATTGCGTTGATTGATGCTCATGATATTAATCACTGGGTTGATTGTCTGGTCCAGACTCGATTATTTACATACTGCCGTCATGTAGCTGGAATATTGCTGAGTGCGGCGTAAAACAACAAACAAACAAAATATTATTTCAGAAAGTGTGAGTTAAATGTCGGATGAGAGATATTTGTCAATGGGAATCACATGTGATCCACTTTCAGCCATGACAGCAGTGCAATGGAGACGGAGCGAAGTGAGGAGGTTATCTCCCCTGATGTTAACTGGAGCCATGTGGCTGGTCTGTTCCAGCCAATCACAAGCTGTGTGCAGTGTGTATTGGAAGACATCAGAGACAATTATCAGTTTAAGGTACATGTGTCTTGCTATCTGATACCTGTTTTCCATATATAATATACTTCAATATGTACCATAGTTAATAATGTGCCAAACATGCTTTGGAAGGCTTAAGAAAATAAAAGACATTTTTTTCAATGCTTTTTGAAAATATAATGCAGGAGGGCGGTGTGTTTTTTTCCTTTATTTTCAAGCTAGTATGTATCCAAATAAACAGTTGTGTACCATCAACCTGAGAAAGGGCATCCCTACATAAACAAGCATACAAACTCCTATTGCCACCATGACCATAACACAAGATGTGCAGTAAAGCAGTGCACATGTAAAGAGAAGCAACTGTGTGCTATATTGGATCGCATTGCTTTTAAGTATTAGGATTTTTATATATTTTTTAAAAATGGAAATAAAAACGAAATGTGCGGCGGACTTGATTATGATGTGGGTGATGCCTGAGAATATTATAAAGACTATTATTTTTTTTAGCCTAAATATGATATATTTTCGAAAAAGATCAAAAATATTGTATAAGGTAACATTTTAGCAGTGTATGAAACTGATCCACCTGCAGTCATGTAGTCATAAAGTAAAAACAAACATTCATTTTCAGAAATGTGATCTTCACTTTGGAACATCTTGTGTCAACTTCCTTGCAACATTCTACCAGCAGGTGCAGAAACAGGTGATGTAACTACCCAGATAAACTACCTTGTTCTAAACACTGATAGGGGTAGAGCGGTAGACTGGTAGAAACATGTGGTGCATCTACCCAGATCAACTACCTTGTTCTAAACACTGATAGGGGTAGAGGGGTAGACTGGTAGAAACATGTGGTGCATCTACCCAGATCAACTACCTTGTTCTAAAGCCTGATGGGGTGGAGGGGTAGAAACAGGTGGTGCATCTACCCAGATCAACTACCTTGTTCTAAACACTGATAGGGGTAGAGCGGTAGACTGGTAGAAACATGTGGTGCATCTACCCAGATCAACTACCTTGTTCTAAACACTGATAGGGGTAGACTGGTAGAAACATGTGGTGCATCTACCCAGATCAACTACCTTGTTCTAAACACTGATAGGGGTAGAGCGGTAGACTGGTAGAAACAGGTGGTGCATCTACCCAGATCAACTACCTTGTTCTAAACACTGATAGGGGTAGAGCGGTAGACTGGTAGAAACAGGTGGTGCATCTACCCAGATCAACTACCTTGTTCTAAACACTGATAGGGGTAGAGCGGTAGACTGGTAGAAACATGTGGTGCATCTACCCAGATCAACTACCTTGTTCTAAACAAATGATAGGGGTAGACTGGTAGAAACATGTGGTGCATCTACCCAGATCAACTACCTTGTTCTAAACAAATGATAGGGGTAGACTGGTAGAAACATGTGGTGCATCTACCCAGATCAACTACCTTGTTCTAAACAAATGATAGGGGTAGACTGGTAGAAACAGGTGGTGCATCTACCCAGATCAACTACCTTGTTCTAAACACTGATAAGGGTAGAAACAGGTGGTGCATCTACCCAGCACAACTACCTTGTTCTAAACTCTGATAGGGGTAGACTGGTAGAAACAGGTGGTGCATCTACCCAGATCAACTACCTTGTTCTAAACACTCATAGGGGTAGAGGGGTAGAAACAGGTGATGCATCTACCCAGCACAACTACCTTGTTCTAAACACTGATAGGGGTAGAGCGGTAGACTGGTAGAAACATGTGGTGCATCTACCCAGATCAACTACCTTGTTCTAAACACTGATAGGGGTAGAGCGGTAGACTGGTAGAAACATGTGGTGCATCTACCCAGATCAACTACCTTGTTCTAAACACTGATAGGGGTAGAGCGGTAGACTGGTAGAAACAGGTGGTGCATCTACCTGATCAGGGTTTAGACCAACTATACTATTCAAATGAAGTTTATGTCAAAATATATAGCTTTGATAACTTTAACATATTCAGACCAACTATACTACTCAAAAGAAGTTAAGGTCATCCATAATAATATGGAAGAATTTGTGGTCCTTAACTTCTTTTGAGTGGTATGAGTCATCATGAGGTTATGCATCAGCCCCTGACTGCTGTCTGTTTCTTCAAGGCTTCGTACAGTCCCGTCGAGTGTCTGCAGGAAGTGGAGGAGTTCTGCTGCAAGAGTCTTCTCCCTTGCTGGAAGTCTCTTGGTTTGAAAACAATTCTCAGAGACTTAAGGTAATGTTGCTATGTGTGAAGCAAGTGTTGACACCCACAGATCTATCAATAGGAATAAGTCTCACTAAACTTCACATTCTGTCTGTAGGGCTCAGTAATTTGTGCCAGTATTCTACTTTTATTACATCTTCGCCAAAATACAGCATTGTGGCTGTCATCACCCTATGACTTGTTAGTGCATGGTCAGGTGTTGTAAAGGTTGTGTTCACTTGTTAGTTTGTGTTCACATGTTAGTTTGTGTTCACTTGTTAGTTTGTGTTCACTTGTTAGTTTAAGTTCAAATGTTAGTTTGTGTTCACTTGTTAGTTTGTGTTCACTTGTTAGTTTGTGTTCAAATGTTAGTTTGTGTTCACTTGTTAGTTTGTGTTCAAATGTTAGTTTGTGTTCACTTGTTAGTTTGTGTTCAAATGTTAGTTTGTGTTAGTTTGTGTTCACTTGTTAGTTTGTGTTCACTTGTTAGTTTGTGTTCAAATGTTAGTTTGTGTTCACTTGTTAGTTTGTGTTCACTTGTTAGTTTGTGTTCACTTGTTAGTTTGTGTTCAAATGTTAGTTTGTGTTCACTTGTTAGTTTGTGTTCACTTGTTAGTTTAAGTTCAAATGTTAGTTTGTGTTCACTTGTTAGTTTGTGTTCACTTGTTAGTTTGTGTTCAAATGTTAGTTTGTGTTCACTTGTTAGTTTGTGTTCAAATGTTAGTTTGTGTTCACTTGTTAGTTTGTGTTCACTTGTTAGTTTGTGTTCACTTGTTAGTTTGTGTTCACTTGTTAGTTTAAGTTCAAATGTTAGTTTGTGTTCACTTGTTAGTTTGTGTTCACTTGTTAGTTTGTGTTCACTTGTTAGTTTGTGTTCAAATGTTAGTTTGTGTTCACTTGTTAGTTTGTGTTCACTTGTTAGTTTGTGTTCACTTGTTAGTTTGTGTTCACTTGTTAGTTTAAGTTCAAATGTTAGTTTGTGTTCACTTGTTAGTTTGTGTTCACTTGTTAGTTTGTGTTCACTTGTTAGTTTGTGTTCACTTGTTAGTTTGTGTTCACTTGTTAGTTTGTGTTCAAATGTTAGTTTGTGTTCAAATGTTAGTTTGTGTTCACTTGTTAGTTTGTGTTCACTTGTTAGTTTGTGTTCACTTGTTAGTTTGTGTTCACTTGTTAGTTTAAGTTCAAATGTTAGTTTGTGTTCACTTGTTAGTTTGTGTTCACTTGTTAGTTTGTGTTCACTTGTTAGTTTGTGTTCAAATGTTAGTTTGTGTTCACTTGTTAGTTTGTGTTCACTTGTTAGTTTGTGTTCACTTGTTAGTTTGTGTTCACTTGTTAGTTTAAGTTCAAATGTTAGTTTGTGTTCACTTGTTAGTTTGTGTTCACTTGTTAGTTTGTGTTCACTTGTTAGTTTGTGTTCAAATGTTAGTTTGTGTTCACTTGTTAGTTTGTGTTCACTTGTTAGTTTGTGTTCAAATGTTAGTTTGTGTTCACTTGTTAGTTTGTGTTCAAATGTTAGTTTGTGTTCACTTGTTAGTTTGTGTTGACTTTAGTTTGTGGTTAGGTTTGATGACTTGATTTATCATATGTTGATCGGCTTTCAATTTGATATTATTGGAACATATTATTCAGGCAACGATAACCACTCAACATATATTGTGATGATTTATATTACCATGGTTTAGCATGCCAGTAGTTTGTAGAGGAAGGAGTTTCATGTAATGTTGAGTCGACTGTTCCAGCGGCTCCAGTGCTATGTTGTTGCCAGCTGGGGTATTCAGATTACAGTCAGAGTGTACCCTATTCTATCCAATTACTACAGTTAATCTGTCATGCCATGACAACCCTCTCTTGTTGGGGACCACCCTATTCTATCCAATTACTACAGTTAATCTGTCATGCCATGACAACCCTCTCTTCAGTGGGGGTGAAACGATACAGCAAGGTAACGATACAATTTGTATCACGACATGCATGTTTATGCCAAATCGCGTAGAAAAGTCTAATAAATACTTAATAGGTTCAAAAGGAAAAGCTAGCTTCAGGCACATTTTCGTAGCTGTTATTGTTAGTAGTGCACTTGAAACACAAATTACAACACATTTTGTAATGACAAATGAAGCTGTGTTAGCAGCATCTTGTCGTGCTTGAGAAACAACAAAGATCTGAGACCAATGCTTGCTGTTTCAGCCAGCACTCCAACCTCCTTTCCCCACCCGAATCTGCCAGCCAGGAGGTAGCCCCATGTCTGGTGGAGCTACTTGCTTCCCACCCTGACGAGGACTTCACTGTTCCGGTCCTCAGATCCGACTCTCCGTACGGCTTCCTCACAGCCCTGCTCAGACTCCTACACATTCTGTGTCAGCTACACAAGGGCATCATTGACAAGGTGAGTCCCCCTCTGTCCTCAGATCCCACTCTCCGTACGGCTTCCTCACAGCCCTGCTCAGACTCCTACACATTCTGTGTCAGCTACACAAGGGCATCATTGACAAGGTGAGTCCCCCTCTGGCCTCAGATCCCACTCTCCGTACGGCTTCCTCACAGCCCTGCTCAGACTCCTACACATTCTGTGTCAGCTACACAAGGGCATCATTGACAAGGTGAGTCCCCCTCTGTTCTCAGATCCCACTCTCCGTACGGCTTCCTCACAGCCCTGCTCAGACTCCTACACATTCTGTGTCAGCTACACAAGGGCATCATTGACAAGGTGAGTCCCCCTCTGTCCTCAAATCCCACTCTCCGTACGGCTTCCTCACAGCCTTGCTCAGACTCCTACACATTCTGTGTCAGCTACACAAGGGCATCATTGACAAGGTGAGTCCCCCTCTGTCCTCAGATCCCACTCTCCGTACAGCTTCCTCACAGCCCTGCTCAGACTCCTACACATTCTGTGTCAGCTACACAAGGGCATCATTGACAAGGTGAGTCCCCCCTCTGTCCTCAGATCCCACTCTCCGTACGGCTTCCTCACAGCCCTTCTCAGACTCCTACACATTCTGTGTCAGCTACACAAGGGCATCATTGACAAGGTGAGTCCCTCTGTTCTCAGATCCCACTCTCCGTACGGCTTCCTCACAGCCCTGCTCAGACTCCTACACATTCTGTGTCAGCTACACAAGGGCATCATTGACAAGGTGAGTCCCTCTGTTCTCAGATCCCACTCTCCGTACGGCTTCCTCACAGCCCTGCTCAGACTCCTACACATTCTGTGTCAGCTACACAAGGGCATCATTGACAAGGTGAGTCCCCCTCTGTCCTCAGATCCCACTCTCCGTACGGCTTCCTCACAGCCCTGCTCAGACTCCTACACATTCTGTGTCAGCTACACAAGGGCATCATTGACAAGGTGAGTCCCTCTGTTCTCAGATCCCACTCTCCGTACGGCTTCCTCACAGCCCTGCTCAGACTCCTACACATTCTGTGTCAGCTACACAAGGGCATCATTGACAAGGTGAGTCCCCCTCTGTCCTCAGATCCCACTCTCCGTACGGCTTCCTCACAGCCCTGCTCAGACTCCTACACATTCTGTGTCAGCTACACAAGGGCATCATTGACAAGGTGAGTCCCCCTCTGTCCTCAGATCCCACTCTCCGTACGGCTTCCTCACAGCCCTGCTCAGACTCCTACACATTCTGTGTCAGCTACACAAGGGCATCATTGACAAGGTGAGTCCCCTCAGACTTTTCTTTACATTTGATTCAGACCTGGAAGATCCGGGGTAGAACAGATCTTCAGCAACCCATGCTTGCTGTAAATGGCGACTATGCTTGTCGTAAGAGGCGACCAACAGGATCGGGTGGTTGGGCTTGCTGACTTGGTTGATGCAAGTCAACGTATCACCATTGCGTGAATCAATGCTCATGATGTCAATCACTGGATTGTCTGGTCCAGATTGATTATTTACAGTGCTGTGTGTGGCGTTAAACAACAAACAAACAAACAAACATTTGATTCAAGATGTCTTGGCATCACTATCTTTGTGTGATAACCCTTATCTGATTGTTAATGATGATCTAATAATCAGGAGGACTTGATGAGTGTTGCCAGTTCCTACAAGGGACAGCTACAACATATAGGCCTTGGATAACAGACATTCTCCCCAAAAACTGCTCCGTAACTGTTTCCACGGATGATGCCATGAATTGGGTCGCTCAAGTTCATTTAAGTTATTTCCAGTCTTACAATCAATCAAGATGGCAGCCATATTACTAATTTAGGCCATTTAAACATGTATCCCTCTCTGCTTTGTTTCAATGATAGCTGTTCATGTGTTGGTTGCAGATACTGGTAGATGTGATCCAGGATGAGGACTTGATGGGTTACATGAAGAAGGTGTCTCGCAACAAACCATCCTGCTTGGTGGACAACTATTTCACACGACACGAGAACTACCTCCAATACTACTTCCTGAAGCTGGCAGCACTCAAGGTGGGTTAATTAGTCCGGATTTTTACAAGCTGCTGTGCATGCAAGCACACTTGATATATAAGTGTTATGATCTTGAATGAGACCTTTAAGCCCATTTCACCACCAACTGGTATGAACCATCTTCTGAGGCAAGTGAGTTAACTGACTTTAAAAGTCCAGTTTTCACCCTTGCCGAACTAGGCTGTAATTTCTGGGCTCGATCATGGCGCCACCAGTGGCAATACAAGTTTTTGCCCTTCTAAGCCTCTCCTATGGACCAATCAGATTCCACCTCTTGTATCACTTGCATTTGCTACAAACAAATTAGCGGCACCTAGTCAAGACGATCCGATCAATAATGAAGATCTTTTTTGTGATAAAATGGATCTTACTTTGCGAATTGCATCAAATCACATGAGCACCTTGATTAAAAACATGAAAAGATTTGGAAAATCTCTTTTGACGCCAAGTTGGCAGTGCACATGCTTTCAAATCCTGCAATCGACTGAAATCTGCACGACAGTTTACGAACCAGAATTCGATTTCGTAACGTGATCTTGATTGGGCTATGTATAGACTCATTAGTACAGCCAAAATCTAACTCCATAATACCAGCCTAGTTCCTCAAGGGTGGAAACTTTATTTTTAAAGTCGGTTAACTCCCTGGCCTCAGGAAGCTGGGTATCCGCATGCATGGAACAAGAGTCTTCTGAGTTTTAAGCTGATGTTCAGGCACCAGTCCCATCAGTAACATGTTACTCTGTGTAGGAGAATACCATAAAGTGGTCTGTAGTGAGCAGTGAATACCATACAGTGGTCTGTAGTGAGCAGTATATACCATACAGTGGTCTGTAGTGAGCAGTGAATACCATACAGTGTTCTGTAGTGAGCAGTATATACCATACAGTGGTCTGTAGTAAGCAGTGAATACCATACAGTGGTCTGTAGTGAGCAGTATATACCATACAGTGGTCTGTGGTGAGCAGTATATACCATACAGTGGTCTGTAGTGAGCAGTGAATACCATACAGTGGTCTGTAGCGAGCAGTGAACACCATACACTGGTCTGTAGCGAGCAGTGAACACCATACACTGGTCTGTAGCGAGCAGTGAACACCATACAGTGGTCTGTAGCGAGCAGTGAACACCATACAGTGGTCTGTAGTGAGCAGTGAACACCATACACTGGTCTGTAGTGAGCAGTGAACACCATACAGTGATCTGTAGTGAGCAGTGAACACCATACACTGGTCTGTAGTGAGCAGTGAACACCATACACTGGTCTGTAGTGAGCAGTGAACACCATACACTGGTCTGTAGTGAGCAGTGAACACCATACAGTGATCTGTAGTGAGCAGTGAACACCATACACTGGTCTGTAGTGAGCAGTGAACACCATACAGTGGTCTGTAGTGAGCAGTGAGTACCATACAGTGATCTGTAGTGAGCAGTGAACACCATACACTGGTCTGTAGTGAGCAGTGAACACCATACACTGGTCTGTAGTGAGCAGTGAACACCATACACTGGTCTGTAGTGAGCAGTGTTTTCTGTGTCATTAAAGTCATCCATGATTTTGGTTGAATGAAGCATAGAATAAAGATGGATCAAAGTCATTCTCTGAATATAATATTTCACTTCGAGTACATTTTCCTTGCAGCCTGGCCCTGGCATGTCCGTCCTCCATCGCTGTAGCCTTCACCTTCTCAGTCGACTGCCGGACGGGGACGAGTACCTGGCCTTTGACCTTCTCTCGACCACCATCTTCAGTCCTGACTTCTTACCGTAAGTGGCGGTGCTCTCTACTCTTGGAAGGATGTACGGCACATGTCTTCCAACTTTCATATGTGCTCAGCCGCACTTTAAAATATCATTGCATTCGTCTATGGATCAGTGCTGTCTCGAATTTTGTTCTCGGCTCCCTTGTGAGTATACACCTCAGGCTGAAAGTTAACAGTCACGTTACCATCTCAACCTACCAGGGACCCATTCCCTGCTGTGGCTAAAGTCCAGGTGACTCAGTCGGGGCGTTATGACTAAAGTCCAGTTGACTCAGTTGGGGCGTTATGTCTAAAGTCTGGTTGACTCAGTTGGGGCGTTATGTCTAAAGTCTGGTTGACTCAGTTGGGGCGTTATGGCTAAAGTTCAGTTGACTCTGTTGGGGCGTTATGACTAAAGTCCGGTTGACTCAGTTGGGGCGTTATGGCTAAAGTCCAGTTGACTCTGATGGGGCGTTATGACTAAAGTTCAGTTGTCTCTGTTGGGGCGTTATGTCTAAAGTCCAGTTGACTCTGTTGGGGCGTTATGGCTAAAGTCCAGTTGACTCTGATGGGGCGTTATGACTAAAGTCCTGTTGACTCTGTTGGGGCGTTATGGCTAAAGTCCAGTTGACTCTGTTGGGGCGTTATGGCTAAAGTCCAGTTGTCTCTGTTGGGGCGTTATGACTTAAGTCCAGTTGACTCTGTTGGGGCGTTATGGCTAAAGTCCAGTTGTCTCTGTTGAGGCGTTATTATTGAAGTCGATAGTTGACATTTCAGAGATGGGAAGGAAGACGGACTGGCCTGTGAGGATCTGGAAGAGATGAAGCTTGGTGAAACGTCCCAGCTGAAGAGTGCAACACAAAGGGAGATAACTGCCAGTCGCGGGCAACTCCTGCGTGAGGTGTACACCAGATTGCCAGGCATCCGAGCCACGTATCTCACAGCCTTCTCCGCCAGTCAGCAGGCAGTCACCGCATCAAAGTATGGTCAAATTCAGACTCCAATCAGTTTTTTATTGGCATGCAGAGTTCAAAACTAATCTTTGTTGCCAAGGTTGACCTAAACAAGTAGACAGGCCGTGGCCATTTGTCTGAGTGAGTGAGTGAGTGAGATGAGTATGGTTTTACGCCGCTTATGGCATTATTCCAACAATATCACAGCGGGGGACACCAGAAATTGGCTTCACTCATTGTACCCATGTCGTGAATTGATCCCGGGTCTTTGGCGTGACGAGCGAATGCTTTAACCACTAAGCTACAGGACCACCTCCCATTTGTCATAGGCAGCCATTGGACAACACATAACGTAGCATTCTTTGGTCCTCGGTATCGAATAAAAAGAAATAGCGGACTACATGAAATAAAAGTGCTCTCGACATAATTAACATTAGCAGTTTGTTGAAATTATTTTAGTTCAAAATAAACTTTGGAGTTGAAGTCATGTCTCAATGTTTATTTGCATTCGTAACCTCCTGGATGTTACGCATGCGCATCTTTAACCAAATATGGAACTGGTTTGTACCACTTTTTATGGGCCGCCGCCTCCTGGCTAAAAAACAAGTCCTTGTCCTAACCTTGATGATCAATGTAGATTTAGGGCGTCCCAGGATTAAGATACTATCAGCATACCTCACTGATCAAACCATGTAGATTTAGGTGTTCTGTAAATGCAATCATTAATTGGACATTGTTCTGTAGGTACACTGTTTAATGTTACTGCGATGTTTTCCTGAACACAGGAACCGCCTGGCCTACAACACAGCTCACACGGACTGCCTGATGACCAGCAGCTCGGGGGGAGGTGTGCTGCCTCGCGACTGGATGTACCTGCCCCTCATCCAGCTCTATGTGAAAGCTTCAGCTCCGTGAGTACTACCACAGCAGTTGAGTTGGCCTTGCATCTATGTGGTGTTCGTTAGAGTGTGGTTGAGTTGGTCTGGTATGTCCCCTAAATACCAGGGTGGTGTCTGTCAGTACTGCCACAGTGGTAGAGCTGGTCTGGTCTGTCCCCTAAATACCAGGGTGGTGTCTGTCAGTACTGCCACAGTGGTAGAGCTGGTCTGGTATGTCCCCTAAATACCAGGGTGGTGTCTGTCAGTACTGCCACAGTGGTAGAGCTGGTCTGGTATGTTTACCTAAATACCAGGGTGGTGTCTGTCAGTACTGCCACAGCAGTAGAGTTGGTCTGGCATGTCCCCTAAATACCAGGGTGGTGTCTGTCAGTACTGCCACAGTGGTAGAGCTGGTCTGGTATATCCCCTAAATGTCAGGGTGATGTCCGTCGATACTACCACAGCAGTAGAGTTGGCCTCGCATCTACCTTTAATACCATGGTGGTGTTCGCTAGTGTATGGTAGAGTTGGTCTGGTCTGTCCCCTAAATACCAGGGTGGTGTCTGTCAGTACTGCCACAGTGGTAGAGCTGGTCTGGTATGTCCCCTAAATACCAGGGTGGTGTCTGTCAGTACTGCCACAGTGGTAGAGCTGGTCTGGTATGTTTACCTAAATACCAGGGTGGTGTCTGTCAGTACTGCCACAGCAGTAGAGTTGGTCTGGCATGTCCCCTAAATACCAGGGTGGTGTCTGTCAGTACTGCCACAGTGGTAGAGCTGGTCTGGTATATCCCCTAAATGTCAGGGTGATGTCCGTCGATACTACCACAGCAGTAGAGTTGGCCTCGCATCTACCTTTAATACCATGGTGGTGTTCGCTAGTGTATGGTAGAGTTGGTCTGGCATGTCCCCTAAATACCAGGGTGGTGTCTGTCAGTACTGCCACAGTGGTAGAGCTGGTCTGGTATATCCCCTAAATGTCAGGGTGATGTCCGTCGATACTACCACAGCAGTAGAGTTGGCCTCGCATCTACCTTTAATACCATGGTGGTGTTCGCTAGTGTATGGTAGAGTTGGTCTGGCATGTCCCCTAAATACCAGGGTGGTGTCTGTCAGTACTGCCACAGTGGTAGAGCTGGTCTGGTATATCCCCTAAATGTCAGGGTGATGTCCGTCGATACTACCACAGCAGTAGAGTTGGCCTCGCATCTACCTTTAATACCATGGTGGTGTTCGCTAGTGTATGGTAGAGTTGGTCTGGTATGTCCTCTTAATACCAGGGTGATGTCCGTCAGTACTACCACAGCGGTTGAGTTGGCCTCGCATCTGCCTTTAATACCATGGTGGTGTTCGTTAGTGTATGGTAGAGTTGGTCTGGCATCTCCCCTAAATACGTGACTTTGTAAGACTGTAACTCGTGTGTTGCAGAGGCTCGTGGATTCAGGACAGTGTGCCACCCCACCTGGTCAGCATGGCCTCTGATGTGCTGTACTGGGGATATGTGCTGGAGTGTTGGCGCCCCCACATACTGGGCGTGGTCTCCACCACCCTCAAGGTCACCAGGGTCATGTGTGCCTTCATGGCTGGTAAGATGATGCTCTTGTATTCCTCCATATATTCCCTTTTTTTTTTCGAAATGTTTATTCTCACTTCTTAATTGCTTGTTATTTCACCTGTGAGAATTACGGGTAAGAATATAGGTCCCCAGCAGCCTATCCTGGTCATAAGGGGCGGGCGGTTAGTCTAGTGGTTAAAGCGTTCACTCGTCATGCCGAAGACCTGGGTTCGATTTCCGACATAGGTACAATGTGTGAAGCCCATTTCTGGTGTGCCCCGCTGTGATATTGCTGGAATATTGCTAAAGTCACTGGATTGTCTGGTCCTGACTTGATTATTTACTGCTTTCACACAGATGGAATAGTGCAGACTGTGTCGCTTAACAAACAAACAAACAAAATTTATCATATAAACTGCTGGAGAGTGGGCACATGGGATGAATGAAAACATAGCACTAGTGTGGCCTAGTGGTTTAAACATTGGAGTCCATGGACCCGAGTTTGATTCCCCACATGGATACAATGTGAGAAGATCTTTCCTGGTATCCCCCAGCTTGAATATTGCTGACTCTCTGGGTTGAATAGGCCTTCAGCAACCCATGCTTGCCGAAAAAAGCGACTATGCGTATCGTAAGAGGCAACTAGCATGATCGAGTGGTCAGACTCGCTGACTTGGTTGATGCATGTCATCGTATCCTAATTGCATAAATTGATGCTCATGACATCAGTAATTGGATTGTCTAGTCCAGACTTGATTATTTACAGACCGCCGTCATATAGCTGGAATATTGCTGAGATGCATAAGCATCAGTTAGCAAGCCTGACCACCCGATCACCCAATCCCGAAAAACACAGTCGCCTCTTATGACACGCATTGGTTGCTGAAGACTTATTCTACCAGATCTTCACGGGTCTAGATTACAGTGGTTCCTGTGTATAGACTGATGTTGTGTTCCATGTTCCGCAGGCAATGACCTGTTCCTGGACAGGTGTGTGAGCAGCTACCTGGCCGCGCTGCTGCAGGAGTACACCAAGCCCGCAGCTCTTGACCGCCTCGACTTCACCGAGAATATACCCGGTCTCTCCTCCTTCTACGACTTGTAAGTTGACCTAATGGTGGTTGCCATGGTGACTAGGGTCTGATCGAGATCATATCCCTTGTCTGCTACTTAGACCAACACCCCACTTGATTTGTAGAAAGAGTGCTGCCGAAAATTGCCAATTATTTTGTGTTTAGATGTTGATAAACTGATTTTATGTTGATGGTTGTGAGATGGAGGGTAGTGTGCATGGTTTACAAGGTGACTTAATGGATCGGGTGGTCAGGTGTTTGACTTGACTGGTGATGACTTGTCATTATAACCTTATGTCTCATGTCTCCCCAGGGTGGCGATGAGAATGAAAATGATGTGGCAGGGGTAGTCATGTGATCAGATGGTGTAGGTCGCTATGCAAGGGATTACACTGTGTGACCCATTTGTTTGGGTGGTGACCATGGTGATGCTGATATGAGTTCAGGTGAATTGTTTTTAGAAGCTGTAAACTTTTGTTCCACAAAGGATCGACGGAAGGAGAAATGCAGTGTGGGATAGGAGAAGTTTAAAAATATAGCTTTAATAATTTCTTTAGATCTTACCTATTATAATTTCCAGGATTTGAATTTGGACACAAATGTTTTTTAGTGAGTGAGTATGGTTTTACGTGGCTTTTAGCAATATTCCAGCAATATCTTAGTAGGGGAGACCAGTAATGGGCTTCACAAATTGTACCCATGTCGGGAAATGAACCCAGGTCTTCACGTGACGAGCGAAGCTTTAACCACAAGGCTACCTGACCGCCCCTTATGTGTTTTAAGATGTGTGGGTTATATTGAGTATTTGATGCCCACAAGTTTCATTTGGAAGTATTACAAAAGTTATCAATCAGTCTCTGAAGCACTCCCTGTAGTCATTTTGGAATAAGATGACATCAGGGTACAGAGGATGACTTCTATGATAACTGAACTTGGCCACAACCACAATCCTTGTTTTTCCCCTTATTGGCCAAAATGGGGCCATGGGTGGCCCAGTCGTCTAAGGCGCCGCGATTCACTGTGCAGAGTTGCGTCCCTTTGGCACACCAGAAACCTATGATTGTGGGTTCGAATCCCTGTTCGCCCCTATTATGTTTCTAGGTTTGTCAGTACCATACCCATGCTCGTGGGTTTCACCGAAGTAGTAAACGTCTGAGACCTGCATCAATTGGGCTTTCCTCCCACACATTAAGCTGACACACTGCGATATAACTGGAATACTGTTAAAAGCGGTGTTAAACCCAACTCACTCACTATTGGCCTAAATGGCGAGCACCAGGCAGGGAAACAGCAACGTCCATCATGCACCAAATTCTTGACAAGCAATATAAAGTTCCCGTGAATATAGTAATTATAAAATCTTACTGTACAGTACGCTACCTCATTTCATTACTTTACACAACCCTCATATTTTCTGAAAGGACCCTTGAAATAAGTAACTGGGGGTTCTCTGGATCCCTAGTTTTGTAGGTCAAGGTAAAAACCCTGCATCTGTCCAGTTAGGTCAAGACCCTGTCCTTCAATATCCAGCAAGATGCGCCGGCAGTATCGCTCGGTGCAATGGATTTTGTGACTCTGGGATGGCTAGCATAGGACCTGTGAAGATCCAGGGTAGAATAGTTCTTCTGCAAACCATGCTTGCCATAAAAGGCGACTATGCTTGTCGTAAGAGGCAACTAACGGGATCGGGTTGTCAGGCTTGCTGGCTTGGTTGATGCATGTCATTGTATCCCAATTGCGTGGATCGATGCTCAAATGTCAATCACTGGATTGTCTGGTCCAGAGTCAATTACCGTATTCGACGTAATAAGCGCCCAGGGCGCTCTCAAAATTTCATGGTTTATGCTGGCAGCCTGAAATGTTCATGTACGACAAATATATTTTTCCAGAATTAAATTCCCCATATTTGAGGGTGCATATCACACAGGAGTGTGTATTATACGCGGATAAATAAGTCTTGTATACACTGATCAATTGGAAAGGGTGCTAATTGGGATTGTTCACTAGCCAATATATTAGCAAATATTCCTGTGGGCGCTTATTAGAGCGGGGCGCTTATTACGTCGAATACGGTATTTACAGACCGCCACATTCAGCTGGAAATTTGCCGAGTGGGGTGTAAAACAACAAACAAACAAACATGAGCAATCAGGATACCCAATAGGGTTTTACTGGTTGCAATATATCGTGTCCATCCATATAGCTGGAATATTGCTAAGTGCGGCGTTAAACAACAAACAAACAAACTAGCATGGTGAGCTTCATTGGCGCCTGTTGCATCTTGCAGATTCAGTGAGCTGCTTCAGCAGTATGAGTCGGTGTCGTTCGGGGACTCGCTGTTTGCCTGCTTCGTCCTGCTGCCACTGCAGAGGAGACACGGTGTTCAGATGCGGAGGTTGGTGTGGGGGGAGAAGGCTGCGGTGCTGAGGACATTCATGGTGCCGCTGAAACAGGTAGAGTTTGTTGTCGGGTTAAACATCTCAAGTAAAAACCGGACAAGATAAGACATGACAAGACCACTTAGTATCAAAATCTGGCTCCCACAGGAAATATATCGCTTGGGTGAGTTCAAGTGATATCTACACTGTAGATATCGCTGCAATGAAATTGCATCACAATCCTTTGCAGACCATTGTGCGCCATTGGTAACCATGAAATCACAATCAAATGACATCACTGATGGCCATGCTACTGAAGCTGTTAGCAGTACTTTTTACACTAAGACACTACCGGTACTTATTACTGTCTACAAACTGAAAAAGTTGGAAGAATGATGTTGGATGATAAATAAAATCTCACCCTCGTGTCTTTTGATATCAAATATATCAACACTCGTAAAAAAAAAAAAATTAAACTCGTGTTGATATATTTGTTATCAAAAGACACTCGGGTGAGATTCTTTTATCAGAAGGTGTGAGAAGATTGAATAAGAGCCTGCTGTAAGAATCAAAAGTTTAAGTTCTGGAAATCATTTATGTATTGGTGAGATAATTATAAGTCCACTTTGCTTTTTTGTACTCACAAGTTTGGACTTTCTGACATCAAGGGCACAAATATGGCTGAAATGAGTGAGGATGGCAGATATTTTAAACTACAAGAGATTTTCTAACGATGAGCAAGTTTGTGACCCAAGATGAATTTGTACCATGTTTCTGCTCATGTTATCTCGGAGTCAGTATACTGTGTCTGAGTGGGGTATACATGTTAAACTGCAGCATGGTATTTCAGTGGGCTAGCACTATAAATCGGCATCAGTCCGGACTAGTACAAGCAGACACACACACACGTGCATGCACGTCGCTATATAAGTGCAATAATCTTGGACACGACATTAAACCCAATTTCACCTCACCTCACTCTTATGTTATTTGTATGTGTAGGAGAAACTATGTCTTTGAGGGATTACTTGAGATTGTAAACCCTCACATTCGGGAACGTCCCGAGGGGGCCTAGTAATCTCGAGGAGACATGGTTTGTCCAACTTATAAACCGACTCATCGCATAGATTTTTTTAAATAAATAACTGTAATAAAAACTCTCAAATGTATAACCTGTATCGGAGATGAAATATCGCCTGCAGTCGTGAACTTGGTTCAATGAAACCAGTGACCTCATCACATGGGTTTCGCAACGGTGCGAAATCTGCATATGCGTCTCGCAATGGCACGAAATCTGCACGTGCGTCTTGTAGGCTGTCTGTAGTTTTTGTTCTATCAAGGGTTTACAATGATTGTAATACCTCCTACGAGGTGTTACCACAATTTCAAAAAACCCATATCGAGTTACACAAACAGCCAGTAGGTTAATAAATTGTAAGAAAGCCAGTTTTTGTCAAAGACTTTCTAATGTTCACATGTTAGAAAAATGTTTCCTGAAAAAAACCCAATTAGCCTTTTTGACCATCTAGGTACCGTACCTTATCTTAGTTGCCAAATATGCAATTGATGGAATCAAAAAAGTCTGATTTTCCTTTCTGGAAACACATCTGATACATTTCTTAAATTATACAGATGTTTTGGGCCTTGATTTTTGTCCTTTGGAAAGCTGTTTATCACATAGTATTGTTTTTGGACAGAGTTGTTGTAAAGTAGACAACTTCTTTACTACTGTAAAGGTGACGTTTCGGTATAGATCCTTATACCATTGTCAAGCAAGACTGTTTTGTTTGACAATGGTATAAGGATCTATACCGAAACATCGCCTTATAAAGAAATTGTTATCCATAAATTGTTTCTACTTTGTCATCCGCCAACTTCTTAGTAATGGCTATCAAACAGTTCAGAGTTGTTGTAATCTTGATCTTATATGATATGATTTTCACCTCAGCACAAGGATCTTATTGTATGGCACATCGTCTTTTCTCTTTTGATTTACTATATGAACAAATCGTGTTATAATTATCAACATACTCTTAACGTGTCAAGCTCATCTCATTCAGCCGCTTCTGATTTTCTGCTCTTACTGTTTCAGGTTGTAATACCGATTGAGCGGTTCCTGGAACCTGATGAGAGTGACCTCCCCTTGCTACACCTGTATTTCCAGTGTCTGATTTCACAGACTGTACGGCCGATGTGGGCACCAATCATGTACCTGACCGCTGTCCACCACGTCAACCGATTTCTCTACTACCAGGCTGACCGGCACCATCAAGGAACTAGGGATAAATTGTGGCGCCAGTTAATGGCATGTAAACAGGAGGTTAGAATTAATGTTTTGTTGCTCGGTATGATTTTTTGCCGGTTTGTGGCATATTGTCTTTCAACAGTTTAGATTGTGTGATAAACTATGCAGTGGGAATGGAACAGTGAAAATGAATGCAAAGAGCAGAATGGAATCCTCAGTACTCAATACTTGTCTCCCCTGTGGGGATTCTTTGCAGAACAGAATCCCCAGTACTCAATACTTGTTTCCCCTGTGGGGATTCTTGGCAGAATGGAATCCCCAGTACTCAATACTTGTCTCCCATGTGGGGATTCTTTGCAAAACAGAATCCCAAGTACCCATTACTTGTGTCCCCTGTGGGGATTCTTGGCAAAATGGAATCCCCTGTACCAAATGTTGTCTCCCCTGTAGGGATTCTTGGCAGAACAGAATCCCAAGTTTCCCATATCGTCTCCCCTGTGGGGATTCTTGGCAGAACAGATTCCCCAGTACCCCATGTTGTCTTCCCTTTGGGGATTCTTGGCAGAACAGAATCCCCAGTTTCCGATGTTGTCTCCCATGTGGGGATTCTTGGCAGAACGGAATCCCCAGTTTCCCATGTTGTCTCCCCTGTGGGAAATCTTGGCAGAACGGAATCCCAAGTACCCCATGTTGCTTTCCCTGTGGGGATTCTAGGCAGAACAGAATCCCCGGTTTCTCCATTTTGCGTTATCTAGGCAGAACGGAATCCCCAGTACCCAATACTTGTCTTCCCTCTGGGGATTCTTGGCAAAATGGAATCCCCAGTACCCCATGTTGTCTTCCCTGTGGGGATTCTAGGCGAACAGAATCCCCGGTTTCTCCATTTTGAGGATTCTAGGCAGAACAGAATCCCCAGTACCCAATACTTGTCTCTCCAGTTGGATTCTTTGTGAAACGGAATCCCCAGTACCCAATACATGTCCCACCTGTGGGGATTCTTGGCAGAACGGAATCCCCAGTACCCCATGTTGTCTCCCCTTTGGGGGTTCTTGGCAAAACAGAATCCCCAGTACCCAATACTTGTGTCCCCTGTGGGGATTCTTGGCAAAATGGAATCCCCAGTACCAAATGTTGTTTCCCGTCTGGATTCTTGGCACAACGGAATCCCTAGTTTCCCATGTTGTCTTCCCTGATGGGATTCTAGGCAGAACAGAATCCCCAGTACCCCATGTTGTCTTCCCTGAGGGGATTATTTGCAGAACAGAAACCCAAGTACTCAATACTTGTCTTCCTTGTGGGGATTCTTGGCAGAATGGAATCCTCAGTACTCAATACTTGTCTCCCATGTGTGGATTCTTTGCAGAATGGAATCCTCAGTACTCAATACTTGTCTCCCATGTGTGGATTCTTTGCAGAATGGAATCCCCAGTACTCAATAATTGTCTCCCCTGTGGGGATTCTAGGCAGAATGGAATCCCCAGTACCCCATGTTGTCTTCCCTTTGGGGATTCTTGGCAGAACGGAATCCCCAGTTTCCGATGTTGTCTCCCCTGTGGGGATTCTTGGCAGAGCGGAATCCCCGGTTTCCCATGTTGTCTTCCCTGTACGGGATTCTAGGCAGAACTGAATCCCAAGTACCCCATGTTGTTTCCCCTGTGGGGATTCTTGGCAGAACCGAATCCCCAGTACCCAATACTTGTCTCCCTTATGGGGATTCTAGGCAGAACAGAATCCCAAGTACTCCATGTTGTCTTCCCAGTGGGGATTCTAGGCAGAACAGAATCCCTGGTTTCTCCATTTTGAGGATTCTAGGCAGAACAGAATCCCCAGTACCCAATACTTGTCTCTCCAGTGGGATTCTTTGTGAAACGGAATCCCCAGTACCCAATACTTGTCTCCCCTGTGGGGATTCTTGGCAAGACCGAATCCCCTGTACCCTATGTTGTCTTCCCTATGGGGATTCTTGGCAGAACGGAATTCCCAGTTCACCATGTTGTCTTCCCTGTGGGGATTCTAGGCAGAACGGAATCCCCAGTTCACCATGTTGTCTCCCCTGTGGGGATTCTTGGCAAAATTGAATCCCCAGTACCCAATACTTGTCTCTTTTATGGGCATTCTTGGTGAAATGGAATCCCCAGTACCCAATACTTGTCTTCCTGCGGGGATTCTAGGCAGACATATTCCCAATTACCCAATAGTTGTCTCCGCTGTGGGGATTCTTGGCAGAATGGAATCCCCAGTACCCAATACTTGTCTCACCTGTGGGGATTCTTGGCAGAACGGAATCCCCAGTACCCCATGTTGTCTCCCCTGTGGGGATTCTTGGCAAAACAGAATCCCCAGTACCCAATACTTGTGTCCCCTGTGGGGATTTTTGGCAAAATGGAATCCCCAGTTCCCAATGTTGTTTCCCCTATTGTGATTCTTGGCAAAACAGAATCCCCAGTACCTCATGTTGTCTCCCCTGTGGGGATTCTAGGTAGAACGGAATCCCCAGTTCCCCATGTTGTTTCCCCTGTGGGGATTCTTGGCTAAACAGAATCCCCAGTACCTCATGTTGTCTTCCCTGTGGGGATTCTAGGCAGAATGTAATCCCAAGTTCCCAATGTTGTCTCCCCTATTGTGATTCTTGGCAGAACAGAATTCCCAGTACCCAATACTTGTGTCCCCTATGGGGATTCTAAGCCAGAACAGAATCCCCAGTACCAAATACATTTCTACACAGCATTGATTTTGATATTTTGGTTTGATTCCAGGAAGTGAAACATCATGTCCTCTACTACAAGATGGCAGATGTAGAACAAGAATATGGCATGACATTCTACACACAGCTTCCAGCCATCAGACAGAATGTCGTGGATGGACACACGCCGGATGTCCAACACAGGGGACGTGACGCTACACTCACAACTTAGAGCGATCAGTCAGACGGTACTTGACAGATTTATGCCGGACATCTGGCACGGGTGAAGTGACGCTACACTCATAATTTAGAGCCATCAGTCAGACTGTACTTGACAGATTTATGCCGGACATCTCGCACGGGTGAAGTGACACTCCACTCACAACATGGAGCCATCAGACAGACGGTAGTTGACAGATTTATGCCAGACGTCCAACACAGGTGACGTGATACTCCACTCGCACCTTGGCGCCATCAGACAGATTGTTGTTGAAAGTTATATGCCAGACATCCTGTATAGTTGTTTGAATCAGTAAATTTATCAAATTTACGAACCACATCATGTGCATATCTATTTTGGTTAAAATTGCACTCAAAGTTCAGAGGTTGATTTTAAAGACTAGTTTAGGGAAAGGATTGATTGCAATTTTGTTGCATACATCAATTTTTTCAAGATAAATGAGTTTAAGAAAGAGAGAGAGGTCATGAAATGAGAGAGAAAGAGCATTACATTTGTAGGAACTGATGAAATGTCCAAGTGAAAGTGCGGACATACCACGCTCTGTAATTAGCTTCCAAAACAAGCCTTTGTTGTTGTTGTCTAATATGTAGACATCTATCCTCTATCCGATCTATCTTATGATGCTTAGCAGCTAGGCGGCTACATCAGGAAGCAGTCTGCCATAACTAAAACATCCCTCAAGAACAAATGTAGAATTTGTTAATCCTACAAAAAAAATAACAATTCATGTATTGTTGAGTGTGTGAAACGGCCTTTGAACCTGACGTTGTGAACAATTAAAATAACAATTAATGTCTGAAAGTAGCGTTTTATGATGACATCCTGTTTGGGTCCACAACCCACCTTCTGCCCTTGGTCCTATTCTACACAATGAATGCCTGGAAGATACTGATAACTTCCATGTTGTTACATGCCTTTTCTGCAATCCACCATTGGAGACAAATTTATTTTTCTCTTTAAATGCAATGCCCTCAAAGATGAAAGGTCAATATAATTAGGTAAATATTATTATTCATGGCCACATTTATGTAAATATTAACAACTTTCATGTTCACATTAATAACTGAAAAAGGAACTGAAAAAATGGTCTAAATTTATACAGTTGATAGTTGATACTGTAAATAAAAAATATTTCTACATTTCTACGATGATACCATCTTTGTGTTTTGTATGTAATACACCAGTGATATGCAAAATATGCTCTTGTATCTTGAGAATAAAGGCTGATATTGATACAAATTCTTTGCAGAAGTTGTATACACAGTATTAAAATGGAAGAGTAAAAAGAAAAGCTCCAGTAAAAAAATCTTAGGCAGAAGTTCTGCTGTGCAACAAACACTAGAACCTTTTTAACCCCAGTGGCAGATGAGTTAGTCTGGTATTTTCTGTTGTCTGTCTTTGGCTATTTCTGGTTTTCAGGTTTGATTTTTGTCAAGCAGTTGTTATAAGCCCTTACGTATTATAATCTGCAAAGATGATATGTTTACTATACTTGTCCTTTAAGTTCCTGAGCATGTACAGTGATATGGTATTAATAAGTCTAGGAAATCTCCCCCAAAATGTTTCAAAGAGCTCCCAGTATAGGGGGGGCACGGGTGACCCAGTCGTCTAAGGCGCCGTGATTCGCTGTGCAGAGTTGAGTCCCTTGGGCACGCCAGAAACCTATGATTGGGGGTTCGAATCCCGGTTCACCCCGATTATGTTTCTAGGTTTGTCAGGACCATATCCGTACTGGGGGTTTTACCGAAGTGGTAAACATCTGAGACCTGCATCACTTCGGGCTTTCCTCCCACTATAAGCTGACACACCGTGATATAACTGGAATACTGTTAAAAGCGGTGTTAAACCCAAATCACACACTCACTCACTCGAGACCCGTGAAGATCCTGGGTAGAATAGCTCTTCAACAACCTATGCTTGCTGTAAAAGGCGACTAACGGGATCGGGTGGTCAGGCTCCCTGACTTGGTTGAAGCATGTAATCGTATTCCAACTGCGTGGATCGATGCTCATTATGTCAATCACTGGATTGTCTCGTCCAGACTCGATTATTTACAGGCCCCTGTCATTTTGCTGGAATAAATTAAACATCACAAACAAAATGTGGGCACATAAACACCAAAAGGTAACTTTGCTACAATAAAAATAAATTTATTTTGAAAAGAAATAATTCATGTTTCAATACATATTCATGAAGACATCTCCACGTCTTTAAGGTCGTGATTCACAACTCGCACATGTTTTGGTTGGGAGCATAATAATAACACCCGTTGGTCATAAACGTGAACAGCACACAATGATTGTTTAGCTATCAGGTTCTCATAAAACCACTTTTGTTTGGCCGTAAATAACATCTACGCAATGCCGCGGCTTTCTGAAAGTCAACGTCTACGCGCCATGGGTATACCATGAATATATACTCAACAACAAAAGTTCCTGTGACGCCAATATTTTAGTGTATTTTTCAAACAAGTAAAGTTTGGTTTTCAATATTCTAGTACATGTATGGAATCAAGTCACTAAAACGCAACTGCTACAGAAAAGCATGCATTCCATGCAAAAGTTGACTTTTATGCAAGCTCCATGCATTTCACGCCCCAGAATGGGTATAAAAACGTGCGTTAACGGGATTCCATATGCATTGTTTAGCATCGTGCTGACAACAACCACTCAGAAAAACAACAAAACTACGCAATTATTCGACATTATGAAATGCCACGCCTGTCCGAAAATGAGCATCTGCGAGCCATTGTTAGCTTGAAGCAGGATCGAGTCAACGTGATGTTGCAAGACAATTTAACATCCACAGAAACACCATTTGGTGTTTATGGCAACGTTGGCAACAGACGGAATGCAGTCAGGGACCATCCTCGGAGTGGCAGGCCACGCGTAACCAATAATCGACAAGACAACTGGGTTCGAACAACACACCTACGAAATCGATTCTAGCGAGCAACAGTGACTGCAAGAAACATCCCTGGCCTTCGACGAATATTTTCACAAACCGTACGTCGCCGCCTCAGATGTGCAGGGATTGTCGCAAGAAGACCCGCCAGACGTCCCATTTTGACAGGAAACCACCGTCAAGCACGTCTACAGTGGTGCAGACAGCGTCTACGCTGTACGGCCATACAGTGTCTATTGTGTCTATTTAGCTATCATAAAACCTAAATAACGCGTCATTAGTTTCTGGAATGCTCGTCAATACCTTCATCCGCCTCGTCAATAGTTTTAACAATTCGTCACTAGTTTCAATAGCTCTTCAATAGTTCTGTACTATTGACGAGCTATTCGAAAAGACATAACATTCTTCGGGGACCAGTGTAGAGGTCCGTCAATAAGTTTATTTCTCTGCCATTTTCTCTCAAATGATATTGCAGTGACATTAAAATCTCATGAAGGGTATTGCCATGGTAGTCTTCACCTTTCAAAATTTTTACCTCCGTTATGAAGGCGATAAACATTTGATTTAACTCTCCGTCAGACGCTTGTAAAAGATACTTGTCTACTTCTTGTCCTTTCCATTTTCTTGCTTTGTACCAAGTAGACAGTAACCGAAGGGGCCAGTCAATTTTTTTTAAATAAAGTATTTTTACTTTTAGCAGATCTTTCCAAATCGAAACGGCGCGACACCGGACTTAAGGGGGGTGGAGGGGGAGTTTCAGCTTTTTGTCGTGCAATCTCCACAGTATTAAATCCTTAACTGCAAGGAATAATTTCATCATCAGATTAAGCGCCGAGTTCTTTGTGGAAATTGCCGGATGTTTCACCGACCGGAGAAAGAAAATTTAAAGCTTCACGGCCTCATCAGAGCGATTAGGCAATTCGGTCATAGATTTACTTGTACCGACATTGCCGTCATCATCGTACGCGGGAGAGTTGTTTAATAAATTTTCAGAGTCACTGTTTATATCTTGTGTATCAAAGTTTTGTCAAAACTTACTCTGGGTAAAAAATAACTCGCTGTCTGAGTCCGATTGACAAGCCATTTGGTAATGTCGAACGAAATGCACGCACACAACGAATGACATGCAACTGAAACCGGTTTCGCACGATTCTGGTGTGTTCGAGTGAACTGCACGCACACAACTAATGACGTTCAACTGTTACCGGTTTCTGTTCTCAGTTACCTAATTGTCTGATACTACGGGATTCAAACTTGCAAAAGCTATAAAAAGCATTTTGAGTTTGTTTTTAGTTGAGGTGTATATACTATTTAAACGCATAATAGATTTTTAAGGGGATGTAGCATTCCAATGAAACGAAAGCCGCGACAATTTAGGTTTAAGTAGAATAAACTCCGAAGACGCGTCAATATTTGTGCACGGGGTTTGGTCTGAGACGCGTATGACTCAGTGGAACACACCAACTCAACTCGAAAGGGTGCACGGGAATCACGCACGCACGAATACGGTGTTAGCGTTGGGCGTCTCAACGTGCGTGATTCCCGTGCACACTTTCGAGTTGAGTTGATTGGTTCAACTGTGTCATATGGCCCAGTGACGCAGGGGTAGCATTATGCAGATGGCTGTTACAATGAATGCTCGTTCCACCCATGAGGAACAGGTCTGGTTGTTGATGAAATATAGTGATAGCTAAATAGACAGATTTTTTATTCATGCACCGATTGTCTTTAAATGTAATATCCAGTTATGTATGACTGTTTAATAATCTCATACCAACTTTGACTGGAGCAGGTCCGATAGTTTTTCAGATATTGTAGTAAGCGTCGGTACCTTAAATTACCTCCCAGACTATTTTTTTATATACATGCACCAATTCCCCTATAACTGATTTGACACTTGCCCTCAAACAAGCGTGACAATAACGTGACAAGCCTGAGTTCCCCGCCGCCCACATTTGCGCATGCCGCCCGTGCGCCACGTGCTGTCCAGAACACCACACCTTAACAAGTGCTGCGTTCGCGCGAATGTTTTTGAATGATTTGTCATCCTTCTGTTCACACCCCTTGCTCTACACGCACCCTTCCTCTACATGCTCCCCATCCTCTACATGGACCCCTTCCTCTACATGGACCCCTTCCTCTACATGCACCCCTTCCTCTACATGCACCCCTTCCTCCCCTTCCTCTACATGTACCCCTTCCTCTACATGTTCCCCTTCCTCTACACACACCCCTTCCTCTACACACACCCCTTCCTCTACATGTACCCCTTCCTCTACATGTTCCCCTTCCTATACACACACCCCTTCCTCTACACGGACCCCTTCCTCTACATGTTCCACTTCCTCTACACACACCCCTTCCTCTACACTGACCCCTTCCTCTACACGCACCCCTTCCTCTACACACACCCCTTCCTCTACACACACCCGTTCCGCTACATGTACCCCTTCCTCTACATGTTCCCCTTCCTCTACACACACCCCTTCCCCTGCATGGACCCCTTCCTCTACATGTACCCCTTCCTCTACATGTTCCCCTTCCTCTACACACACCCCTTCCTCTACACACACCCCTTCCTATACACGCACCCCTTTCTCTACATGGACCCCTTCCTCTACATGCACCCCTTCCTATACAAGCACCTCTTCCTCAACACCCACCCCTTCCTTTACACACACACATTCTTCTACACACACCCCTTCCTCAACACACGACCGCCTCCGTGGTCTTGTGGTAGAGCGTCCGCCCGGAGAGCGGAAGGTCCAGGGTTCGATCCCGGGCCGCGTCATACAAAAAGACGTTAAAAGATTGTACTTGTTGTTACCCTGTCTGGCGCTCGGCATTAAGGGGCTAAAACAAGGACTGGTCGGCTCGGAGTCAGTATACTGTGTCTGAGTGGGGTATTCATGTTAAACTGCGGCATGGTATCTCAGTGAGCTAGCACTATAAATCGGCATCAGTCCGGACTAGTACAAGCAGCCACACACACACATACACGTGCATGCACGTCGCTATATAAGTGCAATAATCTTGGACGCGACGTTAAACCCAATTTCACCTCACCTCACCTCCTCAACACACACCCCTTCCTCTACACACGTCCATTCCTCAACACACACACCCCTTCCTCTACACACCAAACATACCTCTACATACACCCCTTCCTCTACACACCCCCTTCCTCTACATGCACCCCTTCCTCTACAATAACCCCTTCCTCTACACGAACCCCTTCCCCTACACGCATCCCTTCCTCTACATGCATCCCTTCCTCTACACGCACCTCTTCCTCTACACACACCCCTTCCTCTACAAGCACCCTTCCTCTACACACACCCCTTCCTGTACAAGCACCCCTTCCTCTACATGTACCCCTTCCTATACACGCATCCCTTCCTCTACACGCACCCCTTCCTCTACAAGCACCCCTTCCTCTACATGTACCCCTTCCTATACACGCATCCCTTCCTCTACACGCACCCCTTCCTCTACAAGCACCCTTCCTCTACACGCACCCCTTCCTCTTCACCCACCCCTTCCTCTACACGCACCCCTTCCTCTACAAGCACCCTTCCTCTACACGCACCCCTTCCTCTACACCCACCCCTTCCTCTACACACACCCCTTCCTCTACACGCACCCCTTCCTATACAAGCACCCCTTCCTCTACACCCAACCCTTCCTCTACACGCACCCCTTCCTCTACACGCACCCCTTCCTCTACAAGCACCCTTCCTCTACACGCACCCCTTCCTCTACACCCACCCCTTCCTCTACACGCACCCCTTCATATACAAGCACCCCTTCCTCTACACCCACCCCTTCCACTACACGCACCCCTTCCTCTACACCCACCCCTTCCTCTACACGCACCCCTTCCTCTACAAGCACCCTTCCTCTACACGCACACTTCCTCTACACGCACACTTCCTCTACACGCAACCCTTCCTGAACACGCACCCCATGCTCTGTGGTAGTTTCACAATATTGATTTATCATATCATAGAATATGCAGAATGATATTGATTTCTTTTGATATCCCACTGTTTTATTTGAGTTTAGAGGTGTTAGGTCCGTCAAACACTTCGGGGAAACAGATGCATCCGGGATGAAGATGACATGCAGCTCTTATAAATTCACATCTGGATTTACTCGCACATCCGATGTAATAGTTGAGTCCTACACGATGTCACTGAAGCAGGGTGTTGAGGTAAGTCTTTTATTCTCTGTCAGTTTCTACCGTTCATAGCCAATCTGGTTAGTTAAATGCCTGATGAAATATTAGATCCAAACAGAAACATTGATGACAATCTTTTCTTGTTGGTTAACCATTTTCACTTTTTGTTAGCGTGTTTGTTGTTAACGTCGCCCCCAGCAATATTCTGGCTGTATTGCGGCCATCTGGAAATAATCGAGTTTGGACCAGACAGTCAAATGATTGATATTATGAGCATCGACCTACACAATTACCTACGACTACATACATCAATCAAATCAGCGAGCCTGACCACCTGATCCTGTTAGTCGTTCCTTACAACAATCATGGGCTGCTGATGACCAGTTTCAACCTGAATCTTTACAGGATAATATGATTTGTTTGTTTGTTTGTTGTTTAACGCCGCACTCAGCAATATTTCAGCTATATGACGGCGGTGTGTAAATAATCGAATCTGAACCGGACAATCCAGTGATTGACAACATGAGCATCGATCCACGCAATTCGGATCGGTGACATGTATCAACCAAGTCAGCGAGCCTGACCACCCGATCCCGTTAGTCGCCTCTTACGACAAGCATAGTCGCCTTTAACGGCAAGCATGGGTTGCTGAAGACCTATTCTACCCCGGATCTTCACAGGCAGGAGAAGAAGAAAAATGTAAATACATACCATATATGAAATCGTATGTATCATTAGAACACAAGTGCCTTGAGCTATTGATGACTCTATCTTCGTATTTAACAAGAACAGTGTCACATTTTATTTTAAAAGTAAAAAGGTCACCAGTAATTTAATTTAAAAAATGGTTTGGACATATGGAAACACCTAACAAGGAACAAAGTATTTGATTCAAATCCTAAACCCATCCTTCTTTATGGACGCGAAATAGGGGAACACCAAAGATTAGAGGTTGCGAAAGGGCCGAATATCTAGCATGTAAATATCATCTTGGTACAGATATTAACACTCCAAATGTAATGTCATTAGGGGAATGTGGATCAGTTGTTCATAAAGTTCGCTGAGATGCATTAAATAGAGGTTAAATCTACTTCATATGCCAACTAGAAGACTTCTCCATAAGGCATACGAAATGTTATTTAATCTTGATTCAGGGGGCACGGGCGGACCAGTCGTCGAAGGCGCCGCGATTCGCCATGCAGAGTTGCGTCCCTGGGACACCCAAGAACTTATGATTGTGGGTTCGAATCCCAGTTCGCCCCGATTATGTTTCTAGGCTTGTCAGCACCATACCAATGCTCGTGTGTTTCACCGAAGTTGTAAACGTCTGAGACCTGCATCACTTCGGGCTTTCCTCCCACATTAAGCTGACACGCCGCGTTATAACTGGACACTGTTAAAAGCGGCGTTAAACCGAACTCACTCCCTCAGTTAATCTTGATTCAGTATTCAGGTAGAACTGGGCATATTCTATATAGTTCAGGTCGTGGCTTTGCTTGGGTTTACCAAAATGTTGGGTGTGTACTTTGTTTTCTTCACCCTTTTTCAACCCAGATTAGACAGAAATGGACTAATTTATTATTATCTAGTACTACCTTTGAATGTTATACACCTTTTTAAGATAATCCTAGAAGCAGAGAAATATTTAATAGATTCGACCTTGTGTACATTTGCTACCGATTTTGCTCGTGCTCTCGTTGGATGTACAAGACTCAATATTGATATCGAGACACCACGAAATACAAATTCAACATAACCTAAACAATATCGGCGATCTGATTCATTTTATCTTTATATATGTCCATCCGTTAAAGACAATTCGACCATTGAGACCTTACACATAGAAAGACAAACTTATCATAGTAATATTAGAAAGTATTGCTTGGAATATAAAATATACTGAACCGCAAAAGAAACGTCACCCCAAGTAACATTGCATGAACAGTTGTCATTTAAATATCTGGGTAATTTTTGTCCAAGTTTCTAAAATTGAACATTACCTTGTCCGGAAAAATGAAATTTGATGATAAAAAACAAAGCAGATGAAAATAAAACCGATCGCCCAAACGCATCACGGCAACGGCTATTGTAACCCGATGCACGTGAGTTCCGTGCAAATTGAAATGCACATGCGTTCCCCAATTTCTTGCCCTATAAAAATCCACCCAGATCGGATAATGTTCATTCCTTTTTGAATTGCCACCACATGCCACGAGAAATCAGCGACACCAAGCCTTTGGACGATTGCAAGCTGAACAAACCGCCCGGCAAGTATCCAATGCATTTCAAGTCCACGTAAGGACCATATACAGGCTCCAGCAACGGTACCAGACCACCATCACTACTTATGATCGACCACGCAGTGGGAGACCAAGGGTCACCACCCGACGTCAACGTCAGAGGGAGAGTCAGGCGACGCCGTGGGGAACGTAAATCGGATGCTTGTGTTGTGGAGAGAGATTCGTGGGCTGGTCCGAGCATCGTGGGGTTGAATTGGTTTTGCATAGAGGGTCGGCCCTGTGGTCTTCCAGAACATCGGTCCAGGTAGAGGCAATGGTGTCACAGCAGCTCGGTAAATTGATCAAGTCTTGAGACCACACGCCATACCTCATTTGGCACGTCGCCGCAACAACGAGTTTCAGCATGATAACGTCCGTGACCACAGTGCGAGAGCAACAAGAGACAGCAGAATGGCATCAGAACCATCAGTCCCGATTTAAATCCCATTGAGCACATGTCGGACGAGATTCAAAGACGACCGAATGACGTCCGACCAAGGCCGACAACTGCAGCTGAACTGCGTCACATCCATTCTATGTATCGACGTTGCATGGCAGTCATCAATGCACATGGCGGACACACGAGATACTGACTTGTGATGCTATTTTCTAAGAGACCAGTGTTGTGTTTCACTTTAAGAACATTTGACACTTAAATTTCAACCTTGATGATCAGTTTTGCCAAGTTTCATCTTTTTCATTTGTCTCAAAGTATGTTTACAGTTTTTGGACAAATATGGTTTCTCATATATCTATCCATGGTGATGTTTCTTTTGCAGTTCAGTATATATGTTTAATTTTTGTTCATGTAAATTGATCATAAAAAATCGCATCTGAATGATTTCATGAAATACTTGTTGTCTTTTAATTGATTTAACTGAGCACCAGTCCAGTATTTAACCAGTATGTTCCCTGCACACTGTATGCTTGTTTGTAAATGATCCCTTGTATCTAGACTCAGCACTTGATTTAGTTACTCTACATATGCAAAAGACAAGTACGACACCTTTACATGTATGACATCTTGTAACAGTTTCTGTAGCATGCTAGTTTGAGAGGACTAACGACAAATTAACGATGATGTAGTTTCACCTTGAGGTGTTGAGACTTGATTATCAACCTGTGTTTGTTTGCCTGGACAATGGGGCCCCATGAATTTTAGTTGATGCCAAACAAGGTGAGTACGCCGGTCAGTCTATCCATTATTCTGCCACATGTCCTATCCAAGCACAGCTAAAGGGGCGTTCATATGGTAGAACTTGCAATTAGTTGTACGAATTTAAGTTGTATACAATACAGGATTCACTCGGCGTCAAGTTGCATACAACTCGGATCTCGTTAAATCTCTGACCAAAAGCTTATCATTAAACTTGATACATGACATTAGCTCAACATCGATGATCCACGTGCTGACGTTTGCCACATCACTGACACCTCTAATTCAAATGAGGTGCAGCAAGTTCTGGGATGACATGTGGACGTCGTGCACGCAAATGCCATCCGTGCAGACGATTTCACACTCTTACTCCTGCTGGTTGTTGCAACCAGTACCTTGTCTGAGTGGCAGTTTGCAACCGATTTCTCAATGCCACTATGCCACTATTCTGTCCTGTCCTGGAGTTGTTGCTCTTCAGTGTCCAGAAAGGAGTCGATCACGGACGTTTTGCGTTCGTTGGCCATGACAGATTGAGAAACATGCAGCGTTTGGGCAACATATTCTAATCCACTGTTGCACTGCTGGATCTTCTTTAGAGGCTACAGCAAACCCGAGGTCTTGTGTCTTCCTCCATATGGCTTGGTTGTAGTGGAAGAAGCAGCCCCTGACTTCAGCGTTGGGGAACTCCAGCTGGATGGCACGGATTGCTGCTTCTTCAAAATCTGTCTGCAGGCGAGTGGGGTAAAGTTCTCTGTTCTGCAACATTGGTCTTCAAAAGGCTGAACAGTCTTCTGTACATTGTCATCTGGCAGATGGGTAGCAAAGCAGAAACTACAGGATAGCAGGCAGATTCACTTCTGACGTGAAGTATGTACACTTGACCCCAAAGGGCAGGGCAGGGGGTAAAGGTACCATCCATGTATGTCGTCTCAGCACCTTGTAGGATCTGTAGCTGCTCATCTGTGGCAAAGGCAAGGATCTTATTTTCTTCTCCATCGCTAAATAGGAGGAAGCGGCCCCCATCTGATGTATGGCTCCAGGCATCATCTAGGTCAACTTAGGCTCTGGTTTGGGGCAGGGCGGGTATGGTCTTCCTTCTGTGGCGGTAAAGGGCAGTGCCCATGCTGGGGAAGGCTGGGTGGGCTTGGGCCTGGTCATCATCTTCTTCAGCGATCTGTTGGCTGTAGAGCTGCTCTATCGGGGTTGTTTGTTTCCTCTCTTGCTCTCTTGCTCTCTTCCTCAAGTTGCTGACAAAACGAACTCGGTTTGAATTCTCTAAGGGCCGGTTGTGCTCTGACACATTCCTCACAAAATCGCCAACAGTAGTGCACTTGCCGGAGCAAGATTTAATTACACAACGCCAGTGTAGTGCTGTCTGTCTTGTTGCATTCTTGTTGCACGCGTATCCTTAAAAGAGAATCTGCTGGGTACCGCGGGCTGACGTAACGTATTCTACAAGTCGCAGAGCCATGATTGTGAATGATGTAAAAGCAATTGATACAGTATTTATACATATGTGTGTGATTACAAAATACATCTCATCAGTTAAACAGTTTTTCATCTCAAACATCTCTAGTCTCCTTTCATAGGATTACATGAATTACATTTAGTAAACTCAAAGGGCAAAGTATATATTAAAACAACATATCAATTATGTGTTAGTAAAAGAACTCACAAGATAACCAGCTCACAACAACTCACCCTTTATGTCCTCGATCGTAGGGCCACCAGTGGATATTACGAGTTATGTCCCTTCTAAGCTCCCTCTTTAGACCAATCAGATTCCACCTCTCGTATCACTTGCATTTGCTTCAAACAAAACAGTGGCGCCAAGTCAAGACGATCTGGTTGTGATGGTCTATGTTGTGATGAAATGGGCAGTGCGTGAGCACCTTGATTAAAAACTCAAAGGGCCCATGAAGGGATCGATGATTATTCTGTCGAGTTCAATATTAGCAGCACGTTTATGGATGTTAATACGGTAAATGCCAGGTTATTTCTTAGGCATGAAGCCTGTATGTTGGTTAATGGAAAATATAATACTTTTAGGTCTGTTATAAATGGACCTTAATAAGGTATAAATCGTTGTCAATATTAACTTTGCGATCATATTTGTTGGAGAATTTTCATTCGTTATTTAGAGCATTTGGAGTAATTTTAAGCATTTGAGACATTTCAATATTATGCATGAACGGGGCCAAAATGTATCCAAGTTGTCAAGCATGGCCCTATACGTTTAAGTAAGTACCAGTAAGTCGCTGTAAAGGTCATTTTATGGAAACGCATCGGGAATCTTGTTGACAAGAAACTTGTCACATTTAGTAAATTCTCCTGAATGTCTACCATACAATATCTGCAAATAACTTGACCAGGCCTTTAATGGTGAAGCTGTATTTGAAAAGCTTTACTGTAAACAAATGTGTCTTTCCACGAAATTTGAAAAAAATGTACATACTCCATTACCTAGACTAACATATAGACTCTGAAATGAACATATTGTACATAAAAAAACAGTTGTTCAGTTATCTTAATAAAAATATAATAAAAGGAGCCCAGTGACTCTCTTCATTTTCAGATACTGCAGTGATCTAGACTTGCCAAACATTATAGACTTGCATGGGCTGTTTTTGATTTATATTTGTATCAGGGTCTGTAAGACAGACTATCCATTACCAAAGCAACTGAAATATAGACGTCCTACTCTGGAGCTGATGATACTATTGCTTGACATATATATCATGAAGGGCAAAGTCACGATGGTAAAACAAAATCAAACAGCTTGGAACAGAGACTGCCATGATTTTGAATTTCTGTGCATTGATCCAGAAAGGACAATGAATATGGTTCTCATTTTTTTCCTTGACTCTAGTGGGTAACTATTATTCTTAATACAATTAAGGAAGGGCTTTCTTTATGATATTATATATTATATATTTTCTTCATACTGATGTTAACACCATGTGGATGCTCAAAAGCTCAACGGATGTTCCTGATTTTTTTGCAATTGAGCTTTGTCAGACAGCTACATGTATACCTCATTTGTGGTTGGTTGGTTTGTTGTATTACGTCGCACTCAGCAATATTCCAGCTTTATGACGGTGGTCTGTAAATAATCATGTCTGGACCAGACAATCCAGTGATTGATATCATGAGCATTGATCCAGGCAATTGGGATTGATGACATGTTCAACCAAGTGAGCGAGACTGACACCCGATCCTGTTAGTCGCCTCTTACGACAAGCATAGTCGCCTTTCACGGAAAGCATGGGTTTCTGAAGACATATTCTACCCCGGATCTTCAAGGGTCATCCATTTGTGAACCACACAGGTGTGGTGTTGACGTGGTATTATAACATCATCACACGCATATCATTTGGCAATTAATATTGAATTACCGCTTTGTGTTACTTTTAGTTGAGTTTTGAAACAACTTGGCAAGGTTTAAAATCGATTTTCAGTAACTATATTTTAGGCAGTACATAAAACCCTATGCTTCCTTTCCTAGAAATAGAAAATATATTACTGAAACAGACGGATCATTTTTTTGCAGGTATTGGTGACACTACTGCTACTGAATGCAACTTACCGATGTAAGTAACCTACAACATAAAAAATAAACGCAACTCTTAATGGAACAGTATTTGTCATCCAAAACTGACTCCCACAGGAGATATCACTTGGGTACACTACACTGTAGATATCACTGCAGTGAAATTGCATCACAATGCTTTGCAGACCATTGTGACGTCTTTGGCTGCCATGATGTCACAATCAAATGACATCACTAATGGCTCTGCTACTGAAGCTGTTAGCAGTACTTTTTACACTTAAGAAACTGCTTATTACTGTCTACAAACTGAAAAAGTTGGAAGAATGATGTTGGATGATAAATAAAATCTCACCCTTGTGTCTTTGGATATCAAATATATCAACACTCGTTGATAAAAGTGGAAAAAAATCCCGGCAAGCCTCGGGGTTTTCCCACTTTTAACAACTCGTGTTGATATATTTGATATCAAAAGACACTCTGGTGAGATTCTCTATGTCTCAATTTGAATACTGATTGTAGGGATAAATTATGTTGTACTTCTATTCCGGATTGAAAGGATTTGTTTTAATTGTGTTTGTGCATACTTTGGAATAAGTCACGTTTAGTCTCAATTTAATCTAATGTTACGTTTTGATTCCAAAATTAAAACCCGAATTTTAACCCAATTTGGTAATTACAGGACTAAAGTGTGAATTCAGTAAATATCCACACAGATAAAAAACAAACAATCAACAGATCATCTTGAAATACACATGCTTAGGTTTACAATCATAAAAATGGCAATACAATGGCTCTATTGTGTGTTATCTGGTGCCCCCCACCGTGATATTGCTGGAATAGAGCTACAAACGGCGTAAAACCATACTCACTCACTAATATGTGTCAGCAGCAACAAATAATAGGCCCAATTACAAAAAGTCAGTTGCACTCGTGAATGTCCAGTATCTGTCTTGAACAAGGCATTTATATCTGTTTTTGAATATAAAAAAAGTGCTAGAAGCAGGAAGAAAATTCGGTGTTCTAGTATGGACAAGAAGATAAGTCATAAGTCAGGATTTTGAACGAAGGCCTTATCTCTCTCTTCTCTCACTCAGTACAGTCAGCCTTTTTCGAAGCATCTGAAATCATGTTGTTCACGGAAGTGGATAACTGTAAATAAGTCGGTAAACAAGTTCCTTACAGTGGAACTCTCAACACCGGGAAGGTAACGAAAGTGTCAAGAGCTGGGATTGAGTTTGGACTAGGAACAATCACACGGTCAAGGACAAAACTCGACAGTGTACGAGCGCCTCAATCAATTCGCTGATACTGAAATCATGGCTACTTCATAAACTGTGCTGATAAAAGTGGTAAAACACCCTTTCCGAATCCGTAATAAGGAAAAGCAACAAACTCTTTCCATATTTATAAGAAAACTCAGCAAAGTCGATTGTATGATTCCAATTATATCAGGAGCTTGTGTTTGATCCCTGTTATAAGGGCGAACTTGTCGTGTTCTCATGTGAAGGTCAAAGTGATCTCGTTGTCAGTGGACCAGAACTCTTACATCTGCTCTGAAAAGCTGGAACCACTCGCTCCCGTCTGGGCAAATGACTCTTAGCCAGTTTCTGTTCTTCTAGTATCGCAGTGTTCTCTTTTCGACGTCTTAGACGTCAGTGTTCAAGATCTGTAAGCTCTGATATTGTAAGGTCTTCTAGATACTGTCCAGTGCCTGACAGGATGGCCAATGTCAGGGGGTTTGCCATTCACAAGCCTGTCTTCCGTCCGCCCAGTCTGCCATGGATCTGGTTACTGTCATCTGGCTACAACTAGCTACTTAACGTATCACTCCAGTGGTCTGTTCTCTCTGTTGCAGCATTAATATCGGCATGTTATTTGTCACTGTCCACGGTTTGAGTGTGAATGTACAAAACATTGTTCCTTTTATACCCCTTTGTTGATTGGCATGATGCATGTTCAGCAACATTTTCACTTCAAACTCAATTTCAACTTATCTGATTAGGACGTGCAAATTGTTTCAGTTGTGTAAGGGGATAGATTCTCAACCATTTTGTAACACTATTCGGGGTTTGGAAAGAACGTGTCAAACTTTTCGTTTGGTAATGTATCTTTTGCTCGTCTGTTTATAACACAACTACTCCCACTGAAGAAGCCTATGAATATTTGAACGGGGAAACAAACATATCATTATTGACATTTTTTGTACTGACTGTTTGAAATGAGAAAGTGCCATACTTACCGCGCATGCACAACTTGCTGTATATTGGTACTTTATATATTCTCACACGCAAAAGAAACGCAAGTGGTTTCAAGCAAATAGGTAACAAACACGGAACCATAAATTGATACGAGTTTCAGCATGTAGTGAAGCCTGAGGGTGTTATCAGTATTTTTGGTTGCAATTTGGAAGCCCCGAGAAAAAACGCAAAATGAAAAACGAATCGCCAAAACGCACCATTTCAATGAATATGTGGGTATCATGCACCCATTTCTCGCGAAATCGAAAATGCACGAACTGTCACGAACTGTAGTGGGTATAAAACTGTGTCCGATTCTTGGACCTACCACTCCTTGGTCAACAATGCCACACCTAGCTCAAATTCAGAGAAACATTTCAACGTTAACATAACCACAATTTACCGTCTCCTGCATAGATACAATGCTACACAGACCACAGATGACTTTCCTTGGAGCGGTCGTCCTAGGGTCACCACACCTCGACAAGATCGGCAGATTACCCGTCAACACCAGCGACATCCGTTCCTAACTGCAAGTGAAAGTGCTTGACAGACCATAGGAACACATAATCGACACATTAGCCGGGACACTGTGATCCGAAGTCTCCGTTCCAACAACCTCAGCACGTCGTCCTGTTCTCCAACCACGGCATCGACAAGCATGACTTCAGTGGGCACAGGGTCATCACAATTGTCGCCATTGAGAGTGGAGGCGTGTCATCTTCTCTGATGAAAGTCGCTTTTGTGTCTCCCATGCAGACGGAAGAGTCAGAATTTGGCGGCGTCGAGGTGATCCTTTCGCTGACAGAAACGTTGTGGAAAGGGACCCATGAGGTGGACCTAGCGTCATGATATGGGCAGGGATTGGACTTAATGCGAGACTTGGACCCATGTGCTTTCTGAATGTTGGTCAAGGTTGGGGACACGGCGTCACTGCTCAGTGGTATATCGAGCAAGCGATCAGACCCCACGTTGTTCCATTTTTTGCGCAACATTAACAACACATTTTCCAGCAGGACAACGCTCGTCCCCATGTTGCCAGAGCTACCATGACCTTTCTGCAACAACACAACATCCGTGTTCTACCGTGGCCAGCCCTCAGTCCTGATCTGAACCCCATCAAACACTTGTGGGGTTCAAAGGCGTCTGCACAATGTGCGCCCATTCCCTACAACTGCCGATGAACTACGCACAGCTGCTCTGGATGTGTGCAGGAGGATCCCTAGGGCCTTCACAAATCGTCTGATCCACTCAATGTACAGGAGATGTGTGGCAGTGATCAATGCTTATGGTGGTCACACCAGGTATTGATTGACATTTTGGGTATTGACCCGAAACTGTGTAAGCCCTTAGCATTTGAAAAAAACAGTTATGTCATCTGCCCTTTAATCCATTAAACTGTCTTCAGTCAATTTTTTGTCAATCTTGCCCTATTAGTATTTCTTGTCTTTACTGTTGAAAATAAATAACATGTATACTGCATACTCGACTTGCGTTTCTTTTGCGTGTGAGTATATAATAAATATCTGGTGTGCAAATGGTCCATTCCAACCCCATTTCACCTCACCTCGTGAATGTTGTAGGCAGTGCCTTGATTAACCTAGCTAGAGGCAAGCCAGCAACAGCGAGCTCTGTTTATGGGCCACTGCCTGGAGTTGCTGCAGACGGTCTCCCCTACACTGACTGGAAACACGGCAGTTGCTTTGCTGTGAGAGAAGGAGACAATCATCCCTGGTGGCAAGTCGATTTGGAAGCTTATTCGAGGATTATTGACGTTGCTGTGACAAGCAGGAGTGATTGTTGTCGTGAGTAAATGTTACTTTTCAGAACCGATGAACATTAAACTTTAAATCTACTTTAACGAAATCGAATCAGTTTCGTGTACAAATCTGTAAATAGTATGATCTTGGCAAATCCCCGGGATCGATCAAACTATTGAGAAAATACATGTACTTCCATTCCGAAATACTGTAGGATAAGGTCTTACTTACACTCACTGAAGTGGTTCTAAACACTTGATTTCTCACAAATCTCTTCAAAAGGATTAGCCATGCAAAGCTAGGAAACTATCATTCACAGTCATAATATATGTCATTGCCACAGCTGAGAGACTACATGACTTCACAATTGAGGTGTTCACCAAGAATCCTGCCACTGAAATTGGCACGAGGGCTACAGTGTGCGGAACCTACAATGGAGCAGTCACAGTGCCAGGACAGACGGTCAATGTAAAATGCATCCGGTCTGTAAAAGGACGATATGTCCGACTGAAGGGGAGGAAGAATGGTTCAGGCGACCTCCTTCAGTTCTGCGAGGTCAAGGTTTTCGGATCCATTGTTGATGGTGGTGAGAAGAATTTGAATTTATGAGGCAAAGTGTCATTCATGTTCAGTTTGTAAATGATATAGCTTTCCTTAAAGAGAAATATAAAGCATGTGTTACAAGTGCATTTGCTTGCGATGTAGAAATACACAGTGTAAAAGCTAGAGAACAGTCGGTCTCTATCATCCCTCGAAACAGATTCCATTTGGCATAAAAGGCTAAGTTATTTGATTTGTGAAAATGATATGAAAGGATCACTGAAGCTCAATCATGACACAATTTATTAGCGAAAAAGGGTAAGCATGTCATGCTCTTCCAGTGACACCTGCCACTCACACAAGCACTTTTCCACTAAGTTTCATGTTGTCCCTTGATAAAAATATACATAAAAACATGATTTCCACTGAATCGCACTTTACTACAATTATTCCAGTGATTTGAAAGATGTCTTGAGATCTTACTTCAAAGAGTTTATGATGTTTTCTCACTTTTGGAATGAAGCAAATGACCCTTGCAATGTTAGTGTGGAACTCACGTACTGAATCATATTTCATGTTTAGTACACAATGCAGCCAAGTTCAACCTAGCTAGAGGCAAGCCAGCTATAGCGAGCTCTGTTTATGGGCCACTGCCTGGAGTTGCTGCAGACGGCCTCCCCTACACTGACTGGAAACACGGCAGTTGCTTTGCTGTAATAGAAGGAGACAATCATCCCTGGTGGCAAGTCGATTTGGAAGCTTATTCGAGGATTAATGACGTTGCTGTGACAAGCAGGAGTGATTGTTGTCGTGAGTAAATGTTACTTTTCAGTACCAATGTTCATTAAACTGTAAATCTACTTTCATGAGCTCGTATAAGTTATCAGTTATCGGAAATAAGGTAATGACTCCTGTAAGAGAAGTGATTCTGAACACTTGATTTCAAACAAATCTTTCCATTAGGACCAGCCATGCAGTGCTAGGAAACTAACGTCCACCATCATAATACATGTCATTGTCACAGCTTAGAGACTACATATCACACATAAATCGGTAGCTATTGCTGGTGACAGCTTCATTATGTGTGTGATGGTATTGCCATACGTTCTGTTTGTCAGTTTACTACTCTCTTGTCGTGTTTCCAACAATGAATCACTACAGACATTTTTTAATGTGTAGGACATATCCTATAAAGTGGTTTGTGACTTAAAAATCCTCATGTGTACAGCATAATCCCAGCAAATTACACATATCCCTGAAACCATCTCGTCACAAGGATGATCTTGTAGTGCCAGGACGCTGAAATTTCCCATTGTAACGATTGTCATAATAAATGTCATTGTCACCTGTTTCAGCTGAGAGACTACATGACTTCACAATTGAGGTGTTCACCAAGAATCCTGCCACTGAAATTGGCGCGAGGGCTACACTGTGCGGAACCTACAATGGAGCAGTCACAGTGCCAGGACAGACGGTCAATGTAAAATGCATCTGGTCTGTAAAAGGACGATATGTCCGACTGAAGGGGAGGAAGAACGGTTCAGGCGACCTCCTTCAGTTCTGCGAGGTCAAGGTTTTCGGATCCATTGTTGATGGTGGTGAGAAGAATTTGAATTTATGAGGCAAAGTGTCATTCATGTTCAGTTTGTAAATTATAGAGCTTTCCTTAAAGAGAAATATAGAGCATGTTAGAAGCGCATTTGCTTGCGATGTAGAAATACACAGTGTGAAAGAATAATCAGTCTCTCTCATCCCCCGAAATAGATTCCATTTGGCATAAAAGGCTAAGTTATTTGATTTGTGAAAATGATATGAAAGGATCACTGAAGCTCAATCATGACACAAGTAATTCGTGAAAAAGGGTAAGCATGTCATGCTCTTCCAGTGACACCTGCCACTCACACAAGCACGTTTCCACTAAGTTTCATGTTGTCCCTTGATAAAAATATACATAAAAACATGATTTCCACTGAATCGCACTTTACTACAATTATTCCAGTGATTTGAAAGATGTCTTGAGATCTTACTTCAAAGAGTTTATGATGTTTTCTCACTTTTGGAATGAAGCAAATGACCCTTGCAACGTTAGTGTGGAACTCATTTACTGAATCATATGTCATTTTTGGTACACAATGCAGCCAAGTTCAACCTAGCTAGAGGCAAGCCAGCTACAGCGAGCTCTGTTTATGGGCCACTGCCTGGAGTTGCTGCAGACGGCCTCCCCTACACTGACTGGAAACACGGCAGTTGCTTTGCTGTAATAGAAGGAGACAATCATCCCTGGTGGCAAGTCGATTTGGAAGCTTATTCGAGCATTATTGACGTTGCTGTGACAAGCAGGAGTGATTGTTGTCGTGAGTAAATGTTACTTTCAGAACCGATGAACAGTAACTACTTTGATGAGATCGTATCAGTTTCTTAAACAATCTGTACATAGCATGATCTTTGCAAATTCCCGGGTATCGAGCAAACTAATGAGGAAATACATGTACCGGTACTTCCATTCCAAAACATTCAGAATGTATTGTGCTGTAGAAATAGGAATGCAGTTCTAGGAACCTGATGTCTCTTGTTGCAACCAGTGTCATAATGTAAGTCATTGTCACCTGTTACAGCTGAAAGACTACACGACTTCACATTGGAGGTGTTCACAAAGAACCCGGCCACTGAACACAGCGCCAAGGCTACACTGTGCGGAACCTACAATGGTGCTGTCACAGTGCCAGGGAAGACGGTCAACGTAAAATGTGTCCGACCTGTGAAAGGACGATATGTTAGACTGAAGGGGAGGAAGAATGGTACAGGCGACCTACTACAGTTCTGCGAAGTCAAGGTGTTTGGTTATGTGTCCTAAGACACTATGCTGTACGTTTGCAGAAGCCACTGCCGATATAATAAAAGTGTGCTGACATCTTTTGTTGTTTCCTTTAAAATAAGCCTCTTTGATGATAGGTAAAGGTATAAGGGCCTGGCAAAAAATTATCCTATTCCTTTCCTGCAACGTCATGGCCCGGGATTGACATTTCAACAGGACAACGCTCGTCCTCATACGGCTAGGGTCGCAATGGATTTCCTTCACCATAACAATGTCATGTTACTGCCATGGCCTGCAAATTCTCCAGATCTCTCCCCAAGTGAGCATGTGTGGGATGAAATGGAGCGCCGTCTGCGTCGTCTTCCACATCCTCGAGATAACGTGCCATTCTCCAGGCCTTCTATGCCCATTTGGTGGACTCCATGCGTCGCCGATGCACTGCTGTGATTCACGCACAGGGTGGTCATACCCATAATTGACTTTGTGACTTTGTCGTTTCACCCCCTACTCCATTTTGATCTTCTGACGTCATGGTAACAGATGTTGTTCAGGTCCCGTTGACATTTTCTGATAGTCCGATCATTCAGCTGCTACAGCGTCTGCATCATTTTGTTCTTGCTGTGTTGTATTTCAATCCAGAATATATTTTCTCTGTGCACAGTTTCTTTATGTGGCTAGTATATATATGCTCTAGGGATAATCATAGGTGTTTCTGACCCGTGAAGATTCCGGGGTAGAATAGGTCTTCAGCAACCCATGAAAGCCGTCAAAGGCGACTATGCTTGTCGTAAAAGGCGACTCAAGGGATCAGGTGGTCAGTCTCGCTGACTTGGTTGATGCATGTCATCGATCCCAATTGCGTGGATTAATGCTCATGATGTCAATCACTGGATTGTCTGTTCCAGACTCGATTATTTTGCAGACCACCGTCATGTAGCTGGAATATTGCTGAGTGCGGCGTTAAACAACAAACAAACAAAACATTAACCGAAAAAGCATTATTATTAATGACGTCTTCTGTGTCTGTAACTGAGGCTTGATAAACAAAGTAATCATTAAGAACATTAGCTTTATCAATATCGTCCTCATGTAGCACTCCCGCTTGTTCTGTGGGAAAGACTGGCCACTACGTTTTCTGGAGTTTTAAAGATTATTTTGACTGGTAGTCACAGAGAGTTGTTACCTTGCGTAGTATAATGGATTTTTCTGGAGACGTTCAGAAAGTCATACTGATGCTCTGGCACAAAAAGGCCGCCATTATGTTTGAAAGTGATTGGAACATTTTGCCGTTTTAAATTCATAAATAATGCACATTATCAAAGTTCCCTTTATAAGATTCCGAAAAATACTCGATTTAACCTTGTGCGATAATTTGGTGCTGTTTTTTGAGCATTTGAAAATTTGTGTTGCGGAATACCCGGTAATAGCCAATCTATTGAAGAAAAATGGTATTTCGAGTTTGCAATACCTTAATCAAACTGATAGGCAGTAGAAAACATTCCCTTGATTCAATAAAAGGATTTCAACACTTTCTTACATAATAGTAGCATAGCCAATCACCTGGTGGAGCCGGAATATATTATGTACCTGGGACTTATGTCCAGTGTTATTATATTGTTCATGAGCAGCTGCAAAGTAGTTAGCATTTTTGTCCAGTATAAAAACTAAAACAGTATTTTTGGAAAGATCATTAAAAGAGAATTTATTTGACATTTAAACATATCATGAATATATATCTACAAAATTTCCAACATATGATCCAAGTATATGATCAATATACGGACTTACTCGTTATCCGTGTTGGATTCGTAATAATTTCTTCCATTCCTTATTTTCTTGGTATTTCAAGTTTATTTCAAAAGCTTGAAATTTCAACAACCCTATTGAAATAACGAGCAAATAATCGAAATTACGAGCAAAAAACTCGTAATTTCGAGTACAATAATTGATATAATGTGAAATAAATTGAAATGTTTGAAATAAACTTGAAATTAAATAACAAGAAAATACGGACCTGAAGAAATTATTACGGATAATAATAATAATAATAATGAGAAAATAATCGAGATTACAAGAAAATAATTGAAGTAACGAGAAAAATATTCATGCAAAGAGAAAATAATCCAAATGTCGAGAAAATAATGGATATAACGAGAAAATAATTGAATCAAGGAGATACAAATCACTTGAAATACCGAGATACTGTTGGAAACAACGAGTAAAAGCATGCCAATCTTTCACACAAAAAGTTTCATGCATTGTATTAAGAATCGAACACTGAACAAAGACTGTACATATCCATGAGACAAAATGGCCAGATGTGCTAAGAGCAACATGCACGTTTTTAACATGAAACATGGTTTGTTGATTGAAGCAACCCACGAAAGTGAAACGTTGCAACAACTGTAAAACAATTATTCTTTGAGTGACACCGAAAAGCCAAAGTCCAGATTAGGCAAAAACAATCGTCATTTAGTATTGATCATGATTGAAGCTGGAAAACACGGCAAGAAAGGCAAGAGATTTACACGTTCACACTACGATCTACTGTTCTACTGCAGATAATGCACAGACAAACAGTTGAGGTGTCCCCAAAGAAGCGGACGTAAACGTGGAACCTTTTAACGCAAAGACATGGTTACGATCCAGTCTCACTTGCGCCAACAACACTAACCAGAGTCAACTGCTACTAGACAGACAATTAGAACCCACCGCAGATTTCCACTGGAGCCAGATGCAGAACCCCCATCATCTGTACTACTCGATACGTTCTCACTTGCGCCAACAACACCTACCAGTGTCAACTGCTGCTAGACAGACAATTAGACCCACAACAGACCTGGACCCACTTGCACAAAGCGATCTTAGCGCTAAGATGATCGTAACTCTCATACTTTAACATAGGTTTACAATAGTCGTAGCGCTAAGCGACGTCCATATAACAAAGGACCAATTACATGTTTGACCGTTTTCGAAAAGTGAAGCCACTTACAGAAAACAGCCTTCAGTACAGTAACATGTAGACAATAAAGACATAAAGTTTAATGCTATGTTTCCTAAAACAGTGGACAAAACATTGAGAGCAGACAAAAGAAAACAAACCTACAGTACAGGTACATGTAGACAGTAAAGACATAAAGTTTAATGTATGTTTCCTAAAACAGTGGACAAAACATTGAGAGCAGACAAAAGAAAACAAACCTACAGTACAGTAACATGTAGACAATAAAGACATACTGTTTAATGTATGTTTCCTAAAACAGTGGACAAAACATTGAGAGCAGACAAAAGAAAACAAACCTACAGTACAGGTACATGTAGACAGTAAAGACATAAAGTTTAATGTATGTTTCCTAAAACAGTGGACAAAACATTGAGAGCAGACAAAAGAAAACAAACCTACAGTACAGGTACATGTAGACAATAAAGACATAAAGTTTAATGTATGTTTCCTAAAACAGTGGACAAAACATTGAGAGCAGACAAAAGAAAACAAACCTACAGTACAGGTACATGTAGACAGTAAAGACATAAAGTTTAATGTATGTTTCCTAAAACAGTGGACAAAACATTGAGAGCAGACAAAAGAAAACAAACCTACAGTACAGGTACATGTAGACAATAAAGACATAAAGTTTAATGTTATGTTTCCTAAAACAGTGGACATAACATTGAGAGCAGACAAAAGAAAACAAACCTACAGTACAGTAACATGTACACAATAAAGACATAAAGTTTAATGTTATGTTTCCTAAAACAGTGGACATAACATTGAGAGCAAACAAAAGAAAACAAACCTGCAGTACAGGTACATGTAGACAATAATGACATAAAGTTTAATGTATGTTTCCTAAAACAGTGGACAAAACATTGAGAGCAGACAAAAGAAAACAAACCTACAGTACAGGTACATGTAGACAATAAAGACATAAAGTTTAATGTTATGTTTCCTAAAACAGTGGACATAACATTGAGAGCAGACAAAAGAAAACAAACCTACAGTACAGTAACATGTAGACAATAAAGACATAAAGTTTAATGTTTTGTTTCCTAAAACAGTGGACATAACATTGAGAGCAAACAAAAGAAAACAAACCTACAGTACAGGTACATGTAGACAATAATGACATAAAGTTTAATGTATGTTTCCTATAACAGTGGACAAAACATTGAGAGCAGACAAAAGAAAACAAACCTACAGTACAGGTACATGTAGACAGTAAAGACATAAAGTTTAATGTATGTTTCCTAAAACAGTGGACAAAACATTGAGAGCAGACAAAAGAAAACAAACCTACAGTACAGGTACATGTAGACAATAAAGACATAAAGTTTAATGTATGTTTCCTCAAACAGTGGACAAAACATTGAGAGCAGACAAAAGAAAACAAACCTACAGTACAGGTACATGTAGACAGTAAAGACATAAAGTTTAATGTATGTTTCCTAAAACAGTGGACAAAACATTGAGAGCAGACAAAAGAAAACAAACCTACAGTACAGGTACATGTAGACAATAAAGACATAAAGTTTAATGTATGTTTCCTAAAACAGTGGACAAAACATTGAGAGCAGACAAAAGAAAACAAACCTACAGTACAGGTACATGTAGACAGTAAAGACATAAAGTTTAATGTATGTTTCCTAAAACAGTGGACAAAACATTGAGAGCAGACAAAAGAAAACAAACCTACAGTACAGGTACATGTAGACAGTAAAGACAAAGTTTAATGTTATGTTTCCTAAAACAGTGGACAAAACATTGAGAGCAGACAAAAGAAAACAAACCTACAGTACAGGTACATGTAGACAGTAAAGACATAAAGTTTAACGTTATGTTTCCTAAAACAGTGGACAAAACATTGAGAGCAGACAAAAGAAAACAAACCTACAGTACAGGTACATGTAGACAATAAAGACATAAAGTTTAATGTATGTTTCCTAAAACAGTGGACAAAACATTGAGAGCAGACAAAAGAAAACAAACCTACAGTACAGGTACATGTAGACAGTAAAGACATAAAGTTTAATGCTATGTTTCCTAAAACAGTGGACAAAACATTGAGAGCAGACAAAAGAAAACAAACCTACAGTACAGGTACATGTAGACAATAAAGACATAAAGTTTAATGTATGTTTCCTAAAACAGTGGACAAAACATTGAGAGCAGACAAAAGAAAACAAACCTACAGTACAGGTACATGTAGACAGTAAAGACATAACGTTTAATGTTATGTTTCCTAGAACAGTGGACAAAACATTGAGAGCAGACAAAAGAAAACAAACCTACAGTACAGGTACATGTAGACAGTAAAAACATCAAGTTTAATGTTATGTTTCCTAAAACAGTGGATAAAAGATTCAGAGCAGATAAAAGAAAACAAACCTACAGTACAGGTACATTTAGACAGTAAAGACATAAAGTTTAATGTTATGTTTCCTAAAACAGTGGACAAAACATTGAGAGCAGACAAAAGAAAACAAACCTACAGTACAGGTACATGTAGACAGTAAAGACATAAAGTTTAATGCTATGTTTCCTAAAACAGTGGACAAAACATTGAGAGCAGACAAAAGAAAACAAACCTACAGTACAGGTACATGTAGACAGTAAAGACATAAAGTTTAATGCTATGTTTCCTAAAACAGTGGACAAAACATTGAGAGCAGACAAAAGAAAACAAACCTACAGTACAGGTACATTTAGACAGTAAAGACATAAAGTTTAATGTTATGTTTCCTAAAACAGTGGACAAAACATTGAGAGCAGACAAAAGAAAACAAACCTACAGTACAGGTACATGTAGACAGTAAAGACATAAAGTTTAATGCTATGTTTCCTAAAACAGTGGACAAAACATTGAGAGCAGACAAAAGAAAACAAACCTACAGTACAGGTACATGTAGACAGTAAAGACATAAAGTTTAATGCTATGTTTCCTAAAACAGTGGACAAAACATTGAGAGCAGACAAAAGAAAACAAACCTACAGTACAGGTACATGTAGACAGTAAAGACATAAAGTTTAATGCTATGTTTCCTAAAACAGTGGACAAAACATTGAGAGCAGACAAAAGAAAACAAACCTACAGTACAGGTACATTTAGACAGTAAAGACATAAAGTTTAATGTTATGTTTCCTAAAACAGTGGACAAAACATTGAGAGCAGACAAAAGAAAACAAACCTACAGTACAGGTACATGTAGACAGTAAAGACATAAAGTTTAATGCTATGTTTCCTAAAACAGTGGACAAAACATTGAGAGCAGACAAAAGAAAACAAACCTACAGTACAGGTACATGTAGACAGTAAAGACATAAAGTTTAATGCTATGTTTCCTAAAACAGTGGACAAAACATTGAGAGCAGACAAAAGAAAACAAACCTACAGTACAGGTACATGTAGACAGTAAAGACAAAGTTTAATGTTATGTTTCCTAAAACAGTGGACAAAACATTGAGAGCAGACAAAAGAAAACAAACCTACAGTACAGGTACATGTAGACAGTAAAGACATAAAGTTTAACGTTATGTTTCCTAAAACAGTGGACAAAACATTGAGAGCAGACAAAAGAAAACAAACCTACAGTACAGGTACATGTAGACAGTAAAGACATAAAGTTTAACGTTATGTTTCCTAAAACAGTGGACAAAACATTGAGAGCAGACAAAAGAAAACAAACCTACAGTACAGGTACATGTAGACAGTAAAGACATAAAGTTTAACGTTATGTTTCCTAAAACAGTGGACAAAACATTGAGAGCAGACAAAAGAAAACAAACCTTCAGGGGAATAATTGCAAAAGTTCATACAAGTGCTTTCCAGCTGTATTAAGTGACAACCAAGTAAGATAAAAGCAGAGCAGCTTCTAATCAGCAAAGTAAGCTTAAAATGATGTTTCTTGAATTGCAACTGCATCCGACCATCCTGTCAAACCAAATTAGGTTGTTTTTATCAGAATGTCAAAAATATAGTTGCATGATTTTCAGTACAAAGCCACACTAAAAAAATCAACAACTCTGATGCACTAAAATAAAACTGACTCACTGCTTGACAAATGGTAGATGGAATATTCTTGACATAATAGTGATTACACAGACCTCGAGCAATGAAATACCTTAACAGTTGTATTGCGCTGTGTCACAAACAGTTCATCTCCGTGGACAGACAAACCATACGGCTGCTCGATTCCATCCTCAGATATCAGAAGGTCTCGGACTAACTCCCCTGCTGCTGTCAGTAGTGTTACCTTGTTTGTCCATTTGTCCGCCACCAGAATGTGTCCTGTTCTGGTAGTTGTGATACCTCGTGGCCCTCTCATTGCAGCTTCTCCTGTGGGTATGTAGGTGAACACAGCCTTCCCCTCTGGTGTCATACAGTAGAGAAAGTTTGAGTCATCATTTGACACCAGAAGGAACCTCGGGTCACATACCAGGTTCTCTACTGCGTTGAGTGTACTGATTGACCTCAGCACTTCCCCAGATATATCCAGGATGTCGACACAGGCAGGATATACACAACCTGCTGCTAATATTGATTTACTCAAGGCTGCAAGGCATCTGTACTGCAGTATACGGTCAGGGGTCACCTGTACAACTAGAATTTCATTGCTTGGCCAGAATGCTAAAGCCAGCAGGTTTTTTCCTAGTCTTGACAAAGAGTGTGGGAAACTTGCAAGTTTTAATTTTCTTTGTTGTGATTGGCTGTTTTTTTGTGAAAAAGGATTTCAGGCATTTATTATTTTAGTCTGCTATGACCAGTATCTCTTCAACATCCACATCGACGACCATGACATCATGAGGGGCGGGCTTCGCTTTGTCATCCTTTAACCTAGGATTGACTGTGTGACTTAACAGAGGGGTACCCATGATGTCGAATCTCCCAAACTCCAGTCTACCTAATCCGACATGCTTGTTAATGTTCCCAACATCTATTTTGCTAATGAATACAACTTTTGACTCTGGAACATCTGTAAATTTGACAGCCCTGACTGCTGCAGCAGCCATTGCCCCTGACTGACAATTCTGGTAAATATCAAACATGTCAGTCTCACTCCCTGACTTCAACACCTGGGAAATGTATTCTATGTATTGTTGATACATCTGCATGTCTATTTCTTTGGACCTCATCCGTCTTCTCAGTTTTCCAGAGTGCTTATCTGTCATGTCATTCAGTTCGGCCAGCAGTTGTTTTTCCTTCTGTTTGATCACGTCTATTGCCCTTTGTGAGGCCTGTCTGATCTTTGATTCAACTAAGACGTTGTTGTGGTCAAGTGCATCAATCTGAGATGTGTTTTGTAGAAGTGATTTGTTTGTGTCTTCAAACTGACGTCTGAACAAGCTCTCATTTTGTGTCAGAGCATGTTTCATCTCAGACATGAGGGACTGAATTGTGACCACGGAGATGCATGTTCTGTGAGATATGATACAACATTTTTGGCATATTGCTTTATTGCAATCCTTACAACAGAAGCCCACAACCTCATTGTGCTCCGTGCACATTTGTCTTCGTCGTCTGCTGACCTTTGATCCATCTCCAATGTCACCTAGGTCATGTTCTGATGTCGCAGGATTGGCCAAGTGCATCTTGACACATCTGTCACAGAGCGGGACAGAACAGTCCTGGCAGTGGGACCTGGCCTCACTTTTAACCCCAAGTTTCTCGCAGGAGAAGCAATCGTTGTCATTACCTAGAGATGCAAATGGTTATGTTAATTGCCTTCTCCATGCACTCATGTCTATTTTCACATGCAGTAGCATTGTATTGCCCTTACGTGTTACCCATGTCCACTTAACTCTTCCATATTGGCTACAATCAGTAGTCTTCGACATAGAATAACACATAATCAGTTAACACAGACTTAAACCTGATAGAGTCCTTACAATAACGACTAACGTCCAGTGATATAGTTTTCTTGGGGTGGTTTGTGGCTACGTAAATGTATTAACTGGGCCCTTACTCTTAGTAGAGAGACAAATGTATGGAAACAGCATCAACGACTAAAGTCCATTGACTATCATCAGTGTGCATCAATACTTTCTTCACCTGACTAGTACTGTTACATATTCATCATCCTCATCCCACCTATCACTGTGCCACATATAAATACCCTTGAACGTGTACGTCTCTAGTTACAATGTGCCGCTGCTTGATCGATTCTTTTCAAATCATAAGTTCTACTACTTGCTTTACCTCCGTTGGATAAGATTATTCCTCATCTTCAAACGCAAAAGCAAAACCGTACCTAATCAATCAGGATTTCTCGTCTTAGAAGCAACTGGCATGTTTTCTATGAGGTTTCTTCCATATTTTGGGGGACGGGTTTATAATTACACTTGTTGTCATCTGCTCGGGTCTTCAAATGCTGTTCACGCAACACGTGTGGTTCAGCAGAATAAACATAATTCTACCATAATCCGTTATTCTACTAATGCCAACAGTGCTTAAGTAGTTGTAGGCGATAACTCTACTTTGACCACTCCTTGGTAGGATTGCCTACCACGTTCTGAGTGCACTAAGTACAATAGCTGTACATTTGCAGCAGCCAAATCATGAGTATATTCCGACCCAAACTAACATGGCTTTGAGTAGACGAGGTATATGCAAGCTGAAAGGACAAGGGATTATTTAAGCTTTTCCCAGGGGATTGAACATTTGGTTACACCTGTGGTTACTGAATACTTCAGGACAGTGAGAAACACTGATTCAAGACATACTTTACTTGATAGCCCTCTTGTCGCAGCAACAGTTTCATCTTGACCTCACTTATATTTACTTACCATGATCAGTATTTTCCCCACAGGTTAGAGTGTCCAGAAGTCCCTGTATGAGGAAACTGGGCTTGATCTGTTTCACCCACTCCTCCACTGGTCTGTCAGGCCTGGGAACTCGGGTCATCTGACGACAGTAGGGACACGGGATGGACTTGGCTCTGATGGCGTCTTGTCTGGTCTTCAGGAATGCCCCCAGGCAGCCCTTACAGAAGGTGTGGCTACAGGTCAGAGTACAGGGATCTTTGTATCCTGTCGTACATATTGAACAGGTCAAGAAGTTCTCATGCACACTGTCCAGCTTTCTGGCGGCTGCCATCTACAAAGAGGAAGACATATTTTTATGTGCAGTGGAGAACCTCTAAATTCTTAAAAATATTTCTGTCTAAGCATGATGACATGACACAGCTGGCAAAACTGGATAGTTTTTTTTCTTGCAGCATAAATACTTAGTACCCATGCATTCTTACATGTCGCAGAAAATAGGTATATGACCACATCACAACCGTTTCGAAAAATGGTTGTTTCAGTGGCCATATTGAAAGTGATGGAATCATTACATTACAAATTCACTTTTGAAGAAAGTATGTAAAGTATCAGCGTTGTTGGTCCAGTGGTTTCAGAGTAGACTAGAGTGGGTTTAACAGAATTACTGCAAGAGCATGATCATAGTGCAAATGTCAGTTAAACTAAATTTATGATATCTTAAAACATGCGCCCCACAACCAACCAACTATACATTACCAAATTCCGTTACATTTGTAACAAAATCGGATTCAAACCTTGTGAACAATTTGCAGTATTGTCATTGGTTGGGAAATACATGTGAAGAATCAGGTTATTGGTTTAGTGGTGTCTGAAGAGAACATGTTCACAGAAGCTGCCACGTCGGGCAGGCAGTCAATGAAATAAGCTCATTTGACTTTCATTCAACCACACGGTATCACACATTGATATAAGCCAGAGTTGGGATTTACGAACGAAACTTATAAGCAATATAATATAACTGGTTATTTAACCATCATGGGTAGTCAGGTTGACTTGGTTGATGCATGTCATCGATCCCAATTGCGTGGATCTATGCTCATGATATCAATCACTGGATTTTCTGGTCCAGACTCGATTATTTACAGACCGCTGTCATACAGCTAGGATATATTGCTAAGCGGCGTTAAACAACAAAAATAATAATAATTAATCACTTTTAAATACTATTAAAAGACTTAATAAATAAACTTACAAAATGATGTCCAAAGCATACACACTGTGAGCAGCACTATATATCAACACACATTGATTACAATCTACTGAAAGGGAGGTATTTTTAAACAGAAGGATGTAGACGATGAATAGCTCTTGTATATATTTTGTAAATTTAATGTTTACACTAGAATCCAATGCAGAAGCATTGCGTTTAAATGGCCCGTGAGTACATTTGACTGATATGAATGTAGATTTACCGTTTATACATTATGGGATGAATTTCCTGAGGTTATAAATGTTTCGAAACAGTTATGTATCACTACATCGTTTGATTACCAAACATTACCACAACAGAACCTATTTAAATTTTCTTTCCATACGAAAATTACAATGAAAATAAAATAAAAAATAAAAACGTGTCCATTCATCCATATTGACCTTGACCTTGAATTCTTTCGGGCACGTTGGCAATAACCATGGCGCGAGTCATATCGAAAGTAGACATACTCCTCGTTCAGAATTAATTTCAAACATTTATCAATACTACCGTTACGCGTGTTATTTAAAGCCATGCATGTATTGCATAATGAAATATAAATTCAAATGGTTTGCCATATTGGTTTTACATCCATATCTGGCGCATTACTACTGAATAACCCACACACTCGTCTAACCCGTTTGTATTTGTGTTTGTAATATCGAAAGTAGAATCTACTCGTTGTGCTCGGTATATTGACTTGATGTTCCATTCACCGAGAGATGCCATTGTAAGTACATTAGAATGAAACGTGAACGCCAGAGAACAACCGCTCTCGGTTATCTGCACTTGGTTTGTAATCACGATCGACACCCCTCCTACCTTGTTTCCCTCCAACGCCCAGGACTATATGAGACTGTTACCCACAATCCTTTCTGCTGCGCAATAGAGTTATGGTAGTGTTTTGGCGAGTCACTCGTGTGTTTGAAAACAGCGTTTGGTGAGTAGTGGAAGGTAGATAAATGATCATTCATTTCATATTAAAGAATTAATTTATACCTTTAAGCTAACGTTAACGGATCCCTCTTCTGAAACAACGAGCCATAAAATACTTTACTTTGCCTGGATGATTCGAGTAAAGTTAAATTGCAGTTGAAAATATTAATTGACGACCCTCACAAGTTTGTCGAAAATTTATTTTCCATGTATTATTCTGAAATGTCATGTCCAGTGCGGAGTTTGGTACACGTGGGTCATATTTGACAGGGTTCCATTCCCGACATGGGTACAATGTGTGAAGCTCATTTCTGGTGTCCCCCGCCGTGATATTGCTGGAATATTGCTACAAGCGGTTTAAAACCATATTCACTCACTCACTCATATTTGACAGCATCCTAACTTCTACACTACACAGGGATACCTCTGCAGCCTCAGTAAACATTTCCAGACATATTTGGATCAGGAGCAAATAACAACGAAAACTCGTAAGGGAGGTTCAATCATTTCCTGACGATGGCTTCATCCACTTACACTGATGACGTCACGCATGACGTAGTTCACGCACAGAAGCATTCCCACCTTTACATTGCACATGGATACCTCTGCAGCCAAACTAAAAATTCCCAGACAGAGCTCCTCGTATACAGAACCGTATGTCTTACGTGGTGCATATCTCATCTCTGTCAAGGACAGAATATCTATTAATTGCATTTATTCTATCATTAAAATTAAAATTACTCTTAGTGTCTTGAAGGTTATTTTGATATTCTCTGTTTGTATATCTAGCGAACATTTTTAGTAACACACAAGTAACAATTGATTAACATGTTTCACCAAACAAACAATCAGATATCAATTATCAAAAAATGTCTAGCGTTCAACTTTTTGTAGGCACAAACATGAGTCTCCCCTTATCTATGATTTGTTCCTGTCTATGCACATTGCATAGTCGTGGTGCAGAATAATCGTACTTGGGGAATTAATGACAGTGAACAGACAGAAAGTAATATTTTAATGCCAAACGTTTTGTCCGAAGGTACCGGAAGTGCAGGCGATTCGATGTGACCTCCTCACTTCGTATTTCTACCCAATGTTACGGTACCGATTCATTCTGATTGTATATACTTGTACCTATTGTAACTGCGTTTTGGGGCGTAAAGGGACCCACAACACTAAACAGCTATTTAAACGTATTGCCATTATGTGTCGTCATGGTCAATGTAAGCCATGACTCTACAACCCGCATAGCCAGGAGTCAAGGAGTGAGGCGTCTGATGCTCATTAACTACATAGACATCCATGGACCGGGGCACACACTTACTGGACGAACACAAGGTTTGATTCTCACATAATTTTACGGCGGATGTGCTTGTAACGGCGGGTTGGCTTGACGCAGCGGCGGCGGTGGTTGGACTTGCGGCGGCGGCGGCGTTAGCGGGTGGGCTTGTAATGGCGGGTGGATTTGCGGCGGCGGCGGCGGTAGCGGATGGGCTTGCGGCGGCGGCGGCGGCGTTAGCGGGTGGGCTTGTAATGGCGAGTGGACTTGCGGCGGCGGGTGGGCTTGTAACGGCGGCGGTATGCTATGTTTATTTCTCCTGTGTCGTAACATGACATCTCTCCTTGAAAACATTTTTTCACAGTCCGGACAGGTGGCAACCCCCATGGTGATCCAATACGGTGTGCGATTAGAGGGTATGAAGCTTTCTTTTATACCCTTGACTCTGTTGACGCTTCAAGGCAGCAAGTGCCCATTCCACCACAGCCTTCACCTCCGACATATGTTGTATTTTCACGGGTTGGGGTGTTGTCTTCGATCCCTGTTTGGTTGTCATCGTTTTCATTTTAGGTGTTACCTGTCTCTACTTTGTCTTCAGCGTCGACTTCTTGGCTGCTTGTGGTTTCTTTCTCTGTTGTGATTTTCTCAACGTAGTCTTCCTAAATATATCTCTAGGGTCAAGTCTAATCTCTGATGCTTTCTTCATGTTGTTCCGGCCAATCCGTTTGCTGGCGAGAGTAAAACTGTTTGTCGGGCTACACTACTGTTGAGTTTATACTGTCTTACACGTGCAGGGATTCTTAGAAGACATTCTATTCTTCATAGCACACTTGTGAGTATGTTAAAAAAGCGATCATATTAGTATAAAGTCTTCGTCATACTACACCCGTGAAGGTCCGGGTTATAGAATCGACCTTCAGTAACCCATGCTTATCCGCGACTGACGGGGATCGGTTGGTCAGTCTCGCCGACTCGGATGACACGTGCCATCGGTTCCCAGTTGCACAGATCGCTGCTCATGCTGTTGATCACTGGATTGTCTAGTCCAAGCTCGTTTATTGACAGACCACCGTCCTAGAGCTGGAATAATGCCGAGTGTGGCGTAAAATTAAATTCACTCATTCACTGATACCAATACATCTAAAAAGTAATGTCATCATTTAAATGGTGAGTTTAAACGCGTATTTTACCCTTACAAGGACGAGTGCATTCCACACACCCTTCCTGTTATCAATGTGTCACTGTTTACAGTTCGGGCGATCATAACCCTATAGACATGTGTGCGGGCGATTTCATTCATCAGAAATCTATCATTTACGATGTGTTTATAAATATGAGCTGCTAACCACGCTCATAGTCATGTTGCGTGTCGTGGTTAGAACCGTTATTGATCTATTGAAAGGTGTCATACATTCGTGTTCGGATATAGGTACAACATCTACACGCACATACTTTCCTACATCATTCAAATGTATTAAATACCGGATACGTTTAATAGACACCAACGAAAGAAAGGTTTAATGAGGGGAATACCCATATATATCCTCTCTGAAATAACTCCCTTTTAAAATAACAAATGTACAACACATGTTCCCTAACATATAATAAATACGGGACACTGGTCACACAATTTATGAATGGGAAGCTTCAAGCGAGGCTGTTATGTTAACATTAATTGTAAGGCCGGGGTATGTTGACATTGTTATGGGCGGTCGGTCGCTTAGTCTCTCTGCTATACATTAGCTATGAATAAACCTGCTTCGACATATATTTCCAATAAAACATTTTCCTCGTCAAACAATTTTCCATGATAAATTCTGTTCTCTCTTCGAATTAAGGATGAGTATTGTAAACATGAAAATGTCCTATAGATTGCTTCCATCACTTTCCCAACAAACCTAGCTTCGTGCCGTCACACTGGTACATGTACTTAAAAGTTTTCTATCTATTTTCAAAATAGCACGTTCTGTAGTAAAACTGTGCACATCATGTTACACGGTTAAAACTCAAACCGTAGGGCTTATTTGTCATCGCGTTAAATGGAAAAGCTAGCATTGAAACATCAACTATGCAAGTCGGGACAGGGCCGAATAATTCTTTACAAATGGTTCACAATAGTACGCAGCGCGGGTGATTAGAAATCCGGCTGTCTTCAGCGTTATAGTCAATGCAGGGTGACGTGACTACCTCGTTTTTGCGCGCTAAATGTAAACTGCTAGCTTGCTGATTGTGTAGTCTTATCTATTTTGTCTATATTTTTTTCTATACAGGTTGTCTAACGTTCATGGTGTACAACGTGTAGACCGTACAAGATGAATTTGATCCAGCTAGACGTACATTTTTTGTTGTTGCCTACTATACCGGCGTATATCATGTTGACACAACCCGTCTCTATTTTGGTATGATGTACTTTCAACACACACCCTGTATTCATCAAACCAGGTCATAACCCTTTACTTTTGTTTTCTTATGAATTCTTTTCTGCCTTATAAACACACACCTTTCATCCCCCCTCACCTGTGACGTGCTGTTGATGCATGAGTCATCATATCCGATCACGTGACTTTGATCAGCCAATCAACTTCGGATTCGCCTGGATCAACCGGATCAACCAAAAAGGGTTTATATACTACTCAGATTGCAATCCAATGATTTTGTAAATTACTTGTGTTCATTGTTGGTGCACTGAGAATCTGTTGGCACATGCATAAGATAGATTCCTATATCTGGTAATTTTAAGAAGTATTATGTGGAGTTGTCAATGTGCGTAGAAAATGTTGGTACATGCATAATATGTGCTTCTGACTGATAATGTGTATTTTAGTTACGATTTAGATTTTGTGCTGATTATAACTTATCAATACTGACATTAAACTAAATCAAGTATGTATAGATGAAGTAAATATCTACAATATAAATGTAACTGAGGCCTTTAGTTTTGTTCATTGGGTATTCTTCAGACAATCCATCACAGAGGCCACTTGAACTCACTTTACACTATCCACTTATGATCAAAACATTAAGGATCAGGATATATTATAAGTATTGATTTACACAAATTGAATCAAATCGCAGCTAACTACATATTAAATATCTCAAATTGTAATTACTCTATGCTCATGGCTTAAGATTACCTTCCCAATCCAGTAAGTTTTAGGATTCAAAACACTGATATGGTTCACTTTGCCTGGATATAATATGATTGTTGATATAGTTATAAACCCGGCTGACCACTCATTCTGATTCAGCGCCATATACTTCCCTCAACCAAACATTATTCAAACATCTATTGCATAACTCCCCTTAAACTGTATTCAAACATCTATTTCATAACTCCCCTAAAACTGTATTCAAACATCTTTTGCAGAACTCTCCTAAAACTGTATTCAACAAATTACTTACTTTTTTTGTTTTTCTTTCTTTATTGTGACAGGTATCCAACGATATGAAAACACATGACAGACTTGCATTAAGGCCACTTGCGTAAAGCGTGCAGCCAGCTTATGTTATGTACTTAATCCTGTCTCTCGCCTCACCCTAGTATGCTGGCGCCATCCTGCAGGATGTCTACTTCAACCACACAAAATCAGAATCAGTCGTTCGGCCGGCAGCTTTTAGAGAAAGATTGAATGTAGATTGATAGATCTGGCAGCTGTGATTGGATGAC